ATAGCATATTATAATAAAAATGATTTTATACGATGACTATTGGTTTTTACGTAAACCAAAGATGTTTTGTTTGAAACTCCTAATACTACAAGTGATATTTAACATAAAATAGATGCGGAGAAGCAAGTTTCCCCATCATAATGTGTATGGTAAATTTTCTTGTCTTTAGCAAGAAAAAACTTCGAAACACAAGAGAGCAATTTTGGTTATCTTTTAACAGTGACCAGTGAAGATAAATGACGTTTGAACGACGTCAAAGAGCGTAAGGGAGAACATTGTTCAGGAAAAGGTAAAGTCTGAACTCAAACGAGCGTTCCACGGAGGTGATCCATTATTGGCCTTGGGAATCGCGTGCTCTTATCGTACGCTAATGTCCTGAAGGGCCAGGAGCATTACGATGCCATGAATATCTGCAGTTCATTTCATAGAAACATTCGTCATCGGGATATTTGGGAGCTATGCCGTTCGTAGTCACATAAAAGTTTAGTACATTCAACGTAGCCAATCGGATGCAAAAGAGGCACACGTATGAGTTCAGACTAAACTTCATCATATGGAAATAGGCGCTTGTTCGGTAGACGAGATATAAACTGTCACATTGATTACAATTATGCAAGAAGAATAAAAAACAAAAATATTGGCGTCAAATGTATTGTGTATTGCGCCTGGTGAAGGTAGAGTTCGGGTGTGGCATATTTGGTATTTCCCCTTCCGGAAAAAAATAACCCACGAAAGTCTTAAGCATCATCGTCTTCGATCTCCGCTAGTAGTTTCTTTATTTACTCAATGATGTTATTTTGAAGCGTTGTTTTGTGAAGGAGAGAGACTTTGGTTCTGTAATTTAGAGTGAGATGAAACTTTGGCACAGGAGAGATCTTGAGATGAGCACAAGTTACAATAAAATAACTATAAGGGGCCATTGGTTGTGGAAAACTTCTTAACCGAAGCCTAGACTGGGCATGCGGGTTCATTTAATTTGAGGCGACAAAGTGGCCACGCAGGCAGCGAAAAGTCCAAGATAGGGCGATGAGAACAACCACCTCCTGAATATTCTTCAGCTGCCGCCGTCCACCGCAGAGTTTTTTACCTCTATAATTATCTTTGAATGATAAACCTCAAACAGTGGAAAATCGATTCCATATGCACTGACCACAACACAGGACTGGTCACTCTACCTGCGACAGTGCCAGTACATCTCAGCCAGGGAGGAAAGAGTCACCAATCAGTAAAGGCATTCAAGAGGTAACATATTGGAGAATCATACGGGTTAAGTCATCGCTAAGAAGAGCTGTTTGAGATCTATAATTTATCTTTGATAATTCAATTTATTTTATTTTGATAAGATATAAATTGCCAGTTTATGTTAAGCACAAACATGATGTAAAATAGGTATTCTGATCTATATTTTTATTCGTGAAGGCTGTTGTTATCTATTTCGTGCGCAGCGTGGCCCCGGTAGGATATTAATCACAGTATTTTGGGGGGTTCGAACTAAACAAATGCAACCCTTTAATTCTCGCTGTCTTCAATAGCAGCACTATGCGCCTGGTAGTGAAGGCTCATCCTCCTCTGCCTTCTGTCATCTCCAACTACTCTTGCCGCTATTGGTATCAAATAAACAGGTATGACATGGTAGAAAATTAATGTCATGAGAAGCGTCGGACAACTCCGCCGCACACCGAATAATTTTTAGCTAGACAAAAAAATAATTTCACAGGTATCATGTGTACGAAAATTAGAGGAGATAGTGTGGCCAAATGATAGGCATTTTTTCCTGGGTATTCATTACTTGTACCCTTCATTAGATGCATTTAATAAAACACTCAACTCCATTGAAATCTTTCTTATGTAATGCCTACTTCAAGCTCTCCCAAGCTAAAGGTCCACGAAATTTGTGGTCACAAGCAGACCATAGAAATAATAGACACCAATTTCTTTGGTCTTTCAAACGTTCTTAGTTCAAATAAGAAACTATGGATTCATTTTGATATATGACTTTTTGAGATTCACATGGATTTATAAGAAAGAGTGTGTCAAGTATTTCTCAATATTTGAGAAGTGATTTTCAGTCATAAAGAAATTTAAATCAGTTGTATTTTGACTTAACATGGATATGAATGTAAGGTTTTTCTTATTTATATTATAAATGGCCTTTTAAAAAAACTCAACAACAAAATGTAGTAGAGAAAAAAATAGATTTTATTTGACTTTAAAAAAATTGAAAAATCATTTTCCAATTTATATTTTGGTTGAAGCAGTGATTAGTCCTTACAACATAGTGAATAGATTTTAAATGAGATGAATCCTCAAAAGATGCCATAGGAGGTCTTGAAAGACAAAAACGTCCAACTTGCACTATTTTAAGTCATTTGGATGCAAGTATTTCATCTTAGCAAATGAAAAACAGGAGTTCAAAAAATTTGGTCCAAACATTAATAAAGCTCTATTTATGGTTACTTAGAGCGTTCTTAGACTCTACCATATTTATAATATAAGAATATATTCATATTATCTTTAATGTGAAACTTTCCCTTGATAATTTTGGGTGAAACTTGAAACTATTAAGATGAAATAGCCTAGTTAACAAATGAGATGACTTTTCTGATTTGAAGCATCTATAATCAGAACGGAAATATTCCCCATTGTCTAAGAAATATAAGTTTATTAAATAGAATACAAAGAAACACATTTTGGGAAATAATGAAGAAGGGATTATAACTAAATCAACTAAATCCTCTTTGGCGTAGCAATGAAATTTATTGCATTCACATCTGGTATTTAACCTAAAATTATGAAGTATGCATGATAATTGTTTGAAAGATGGAATTTATGAAGAATAAATCAGTTTGAAAAACATTGCTTGGACACAAACAACTAAATTAGAAAATCAAATGTGATTGGTGCTCACTATTTTGATAAAGGAACAAACTGAATGAAGATAAAAAAATTCAAAAAAAAAAAAAAGGAAGAATAGTTTTGCACGGATACAAACATGAAGAAGTATTGATTTTATTGAAACCCATGCCAGTATAGCAGGAGTAGGTACCATCGGAGATTTCTTGCAGTCCCTTGGTTTAAAGATTTCAAAAATGATTACAAATGGTTTTTCGAAGTGTCTTTCTTGATAGTTTTATCTGTGAGGGTTTATGTTTCACACCCATTTGCTTTAAGTATAACAATTTCAGAATCATGTTTTAAACTTTATAAGGCTTCATATGATTTAACGTAAGCAATGAGAGCCAAGTGTGAACGATTTTATAGGTCCCTGCATTATAAAAGATTTTATAGGAGTAGCATTGATAATACTTTGTTTATTAATAGCCAGTCTCCTGTTCTTTAAATTTTTTAGATTTATGTGGATGATATTATTCTTAATTTCTTTGATGGCAGTCTAGCGTCATGAGAACTGCATTTCAAAACTGGATGATATTATTTATTGGTTATAATGTATTCACGTAAGGAACTTAGCCCAATAATTGGAAAGTTAAGTAAAAGGTGCGTCCTGTTAATATCTTCTACTTTGAAAGCAACTAATCCCCTTGAGGACCCTTCGCGTGCGGTGTAAGAAAATCAATTAGACTTCGAGGTCGCGACACGGGAGAGTACTCACCTCAGGAGACTGTCTTCATCATATTTTATAATTAAATCTTGGCGTCTGAAGCGACGAAATTCAATGGGATAACTTGTCACTCGTGTGTGAAACCGGAGGACGGCGAGCTGGTCTACATTTTGGACCACATCAGATCCCTATGCGTATCTACCTTTAGGTGAAATACTGAGATATTATATTTTGAAGGGTAAGCAACGTAGGAGTTTAGGCGAGGTGGGTTGTGTATTTTGAATGGCTAGCAACAAGGTTCGTTGTATCCATACGTATAAGAAAACATGCAGAGGCAATAGTCCTCTACATCGGGATTTTTTCCATGATGATTCTGAAATATTTTCCGTATAATCACCGTTAAACAGTCTCGAATAGCTCTATAGACGCGAGGAAATGTTAGTTGATTTTGCTGTCGCTGTTCACGGAAGAAACGGTGGGAGATCCATATCCAGCATTTTGACGACCAAGTATCACTTAGGGACTTACTACGGGTATCACTGGCTATTAATGTAAGACAAAATCTGCTGCTGTTTGCTGCGTCAGCCATCCCACAGTGATGAAAGAGAGTCATTCGAAAAAAGAGGTAGATGAAGAAAGACGCGGATCGCGCGACTACGTTAAGTACAGAGATGAATGACTCAGATTGACATTTGCTTGGTGGACAAAAACCAATGTGATCGTACTCTATGGCCACAAATCAGAAGCCTCCCCCTCGCTCCCTCTCTCTCTCCCCCTTCCTCCCTCCCTCTCGTTCTGCTCCCTCAGACACACTTCACATGTATATCCGTTATTCTTATTTACTCTACTTTCCTCTCACTCTCTCCCTCTCTCTCTCTCTCTCTCTCTCTCTCCCTCACACACACTTCACCTATACACTTCTCCCTCACAGACACAGTGATCATGCCTGGCATAACTTCTTTATGAGGATGCAGATTGGATGGGGAGCTTGGGGAGGAACTATTGGCTTTAGATTTTTATTTTTTGATCTCGAATTGGCGACGCTGTCTTTTCAAAACGTTTGAGGAGGCCCGGTTGAGTTTATTGTTAGTGTTACAATGAACTTCCGTCTCCAAATGCTCTTTTGTAAAATATTTATTCAAAAGATGGGGGTCTCAAAAAAGAAAGAGTCAGAATATCAGTTCTATGTCAGATGCCTAATTTTAGTTAATAATCCAAGTATCTCTAAGGGCCTTTTTCTTTCAAAGAAATATTGCAATGGCAAGCCTGGCTCATCGAGCTCGGCTTAGTGGCCCGTTCCAAGCATTTGGTGATCTTCTGTGCACGCCGTTGAAACTCCAGTTCAGTCGACACGCTGTCATGTAATGCGTTGACTTCAACGAGGGGGCCTCATGAGGACACTACATTTTCTGTCCACACTGACTCTGAAAATATTCTGTTCATGTTAATATCTCATGTTGACGGTAATCTTCAGGGTGAGCATGCCATCGCTTAAGAATTTCAAGGGGTGGAGATAATTCGAGGAAATTAACTGGCGTTTATTCAGATTTGTCCCCCACAGTGAGTGAACGTGGGTCTTGCTGAAAAAGTCAACTTGCGATTATTTATTTATATTATAGTGCTTGAAAAAATCAGGGAGACTCATAATTGTGTGGCCGTAAGGAGAGGGAATACGAAATTTATTGGAAATTGCTAGATTTTGTGTAGAATCTATCCAAGTAACGAGTAACCAAATGTGGGCCGCGGAACGAAAACAAAAGACCATCGATACACTGGGGGCCCAAGAGCATCATCATTGCGAATCTTGTACACGATCGAACGCATAATAACTAGTAACACATTGGGTCAGAATACCCAGAATAGCCCTCATGAGAGGAGTGGAGAGAGAGAGTCTCTCTCTCTCACTCTTTCATCCAAACGTAGGCCATCCGTCCCTGCCAGCCGCCTTCTCCTTCGCCTTTGCTTACACACCCATGATTGTTATGGCAGATTGGTTTAATATGAGAGAGAGAGAGAGAGAGAGAGAGAGAGAGAGATGGGGTTACGGAATCTACCATTCAGACCTCTCTCTCTCTCTCCCTCTCCCTCTGCCCCCGCCCCCCCCCCCCGCCCCCCCCGGCCTTTACACATGCATGCGCCCGTCTTTTCGACTATAAATGTTGCACTACAACACATCCCCTCTCCCCCCTTTCTATTCTCTCTCTCCAGCCTCCAGATTTGTTCCTTGTAGTTTAGATTGCTCAAGGGATCGCGTCTTGCTCCTTTTCTCCCTCTTCGTCTTCCTCTCAGGGTCAGCTTCTTCGCGACTTTCCTTGACAGGTGAGAGAAACCCCGGAAGAACCCTTCAGCCGGGTGCAGTATGTTTATATACGATGTACATGGATTATCAACCTCTTCGCCTTGTGCTTCTTCTTCGCAGAGTAGATCCGATGGAGAGGCTCAACTAATCTCAACCTGCAGAACTGCTATATCATCAAGGAGAACGAGAGGCTGAGGAAGAAGGCGGCGCTCCTGAACCAGGAGAACGAGACCCTCCTCTCCGAGCTGAACCAGAGCCTGGCCAAGGCCAAGCCCCAGAGCAAGGGCAACGTCCGCAGCCCCCCCGCCGCCACCGCCGGGACCGGGAGAGACCAGCCCTGATCTCTTTTCGGAGAGGAGGAGAATCTCCTGCCATTGTGGTGTAACAGGTTGTGTACTGGAATGGTCCGCGATAAGCCAGCATGAGATCTCCCTATTAAAGGTGTTCCCTTTTCTCGTTGCGTATTTAGCCCTATCCACGCGATCATGCCGACTCACAACCTTCTTTGAAGGGACGGGGATAAGAGAGAGAAAAGAAGAAGCAGAGATGTCCGGTCGGAGTTTTTTTAGTCGCCACGAAGAGCAAGTTCTCTTCTCCTCTCGAAGATTTGCCGCATTGTCCGCGTTGCCAGTAATTCTCTTGGAAAATGTTCAGTCTCACTTAGAGAGAGCGAGAGAGAGAGAGGGGGCACGGGGAGCATCGTCATAGATATGAAAGAGATGGGTCCGTCTCCGTGTGCCTCATGACTAACCCTCCACAGCTCCGATCATGATTCACCGCCGGATCCGGCGGAGAGCCCCACCGTCTTAATTCCAGAACTGGGGCCATCTTCATCTTGATGAACTTGTAAAGGCAGAGATGGCGCTGTAAGGTCACGATAACAGACCCAATATGTTATCTTGAAGTATTTGTCCCCCAAGACACCAGTCTATGTCACACAGAGCGGTTAGTCCACTGCTATTTCACAATCCAGTCAGTCGTCCCAGCCAGTCATAGATACACCTCCAAAATTTCCATCAGCGCCTCCAGGTACCCAAAACATAAGCCACAAGAGAGAGCGACAGAGCAGGAGAGAGAGAGGGAGGAAGACCGCGAATGGTTTCTTGAGGAACACTCGGGTCTATTCCGCCGTGTCGTAGTCCACGTTCATCTCTTCGTAGTTGACCGCCACGAGGAACCTGATGGCGACCTGGGAAGGAAAGAAGAGAGTGGTGAGGTCAGACTGCGGAAGAGCGGTCCTTTCCTCGCCTGATGAAGCAACTCGTTCGGGATAGACCTGCTTGGGGTCGTAGACAGCGTACTCGTTGTACTCCAGTGGGCTATCCTTGTGCTCTGAAGGAAGAAGCCGGCCGCCGGGAACGATAACGTCATCCTTCCACCTTGTGTGCTCCGCCGCGGCAGTCTTCTTTCTCCCCAGCCCCTTCACGCCCGTCTTCTTCTCCTCCAGGCCATTGGTGTCCTGAGAGAGCCCACGGTGGAGGACTAAAAGCCTTAAACCAGGGTCGTCGCCTTCTCCAGAAGGCGCTGACGGCCATGACATTAGATGAAGAGCCGTGGACGGAGGTACCTCCGGCAGTGCAGATATATCAATCATCTTCTCCCCCACGGAGACGACGGCCAAGACGAGAAAACCTTCGCGCCTGTCCACGGCTGTGAATCCGTATCTTGCGGCCTCTGCTGCAGCGTCGGAGCACACAATCGCCCTTCCAAACTACCAGAAAATCCGCATATCAGGAAGTCATGCATATAAGTGATCAGCTCTCTCTGAGCCCGTTTTCTGAACTTCTATCCGGAGCTGATAGAGATGGGGATTCCTCATACCATATATCCAGGAACGGGCAGGGAGCAGGCGGCGGGGAAGAAGCCCTTGTGCAAGTGCCTGAGCAGGTTAGAGCTTCTGGTTCCTATTCAACAGGAGTCCTCCCATCAGCTTCGAACATCCAGTGCAAATCGAACCCAAGGTCGGATCGGGTCACTCACCACACCATAGGAGCATCTTGTTGGGAAGTTTCTTCATCTCGTCGTAGGAGGGACAGCCGCTCGACTCCACTGCAAAGATGTTCTCCACAGAAACTCCGTATTTCTACGGAGTAATGCAAAGTTTAAAGGCTAATATTGTGACAAAGTGATAAAAAAATATATGTATTTATTATGTACATAAAACACGATAAACTGCGTAATACGAAACATATGATTTACTATCGTAATGATTGTACATCTCATGAGTCTACCCCATAGCGAAAGAGAGAGAGAGAGACAGAGAGAGAGAGGAGGGGGAGGGAGGAGGGGGGAGGGTTCTGGACTTGTTGACACCTCAAATAATATACTCACATGCATACGTTATCGTTTTTGAGGAATTAATGATTCCTCTCTGCATATAAATTTTCGTGATTTGATGTTGTTTTCGTTGATTTATGCAGAGATGTACTTACCACCTCGCCGTGGCTGACGGGTTCATAGGTTTTCTCCAAGTAGCTCAAGATCATCTTGTAGTCGTCGGATTCCTTATCCACCGGAGAAATAGTGCAGCCGAGCTTCTTGTAGCAGTCGGACAATGGGTCATCAATGGTCGATCTGGTCATGTCTCCGACGAGGTGGGACGCGACCGTGATATCCCTTACAGCCTCCAATGCCGCCGCCACCTTCATGTCCGCGAGTCCGAGTAAAATATCAAAAATTATTTATGAAAAGATAAAGCAATTTATTCAAAGAGAGAGAGAGAGAGCGGCCGCAGTTTGGGAGGAGCGTGGTAGAAAGCGGAAGAGAGCGTTCGGGTCTGACGTAATCAGCGAGTTCTTGGTAGTTTCTGATTGTGAATGGTCTGGTAGAATGCATGAGGGTGAACCACTTGTTGCTGAAGTCCAGCCACACCATCTTGGCCTCATCCTCCACTCTCGGCATCTTCTTGCTGACCTCTATGAATTCCAGGAGGATCTCCTCGCACCTCTTCAGATGGAGCCCGGTGACCATCCCCACGGGGAGGTCCGGCGAGTCCAGACCCATCTCCGTGAGAGCGTACCTGTCGCACCACGTTCACAGAACAGCTGAGAAAGACTGCCTCCTCCCTCAGCCCAGCGGAGAAATGGCCTCGAAGAAGAGACACACCTGTAGATTTCTTGGCTACACAGAATCTTCATGAGATTGGACACCAAAGGTTGGAGCTTGCAGTGGGAGGCGGCAGAACCGAGCTGCCGGAGACCTAGGCCACCGTAGCGGACGTCATAGCCGTCGTCCTACAGGTTGGAAAAGTTTGACCCTTCATAATATACCTATTCGGTCAATCCATAGGAGGAGGAATGATGGGGGAGCTTAGCAATCACCATGTCGATCGGATAGAACTTGAGGCTCTTCTTCACGAACCTCTTCTCCCTCTCCCACGGCTCGAACTCGTTGCCCGTGACCTCCTCAAAGAGCCGGGCGAACTCTTTGATTGCACAGTCAACGTCAGCCTTCTCCTCGACCCGTTCCTCGGCTCTGGGGTCGTCGCCGACGCGTCCCTTCTTGTAGTAGAGATAGAGGCGGTCGTCGGGTAGCGCGATCAGCTGCATGATGCAGTACCTGCGTCGAGACGGAAATGTCAAGGGGATATGGGCCGGAAAAGCCGCCGGAGATTTCCAGTTTGGGGGTGGGTAATATCGTACTCGTTTAGTCTCTTTCCCTGATCGCAGATAGAGAAGGCGCAGTTGAAGAAGATTCCCTCCCTCTCGAGTATTCGCCCTCCCATTTCTCGCAGCTTTGAGTCCTTGTAGACCGCTCTCTTTCCGTAGAGTTTGAGCTGTGTTAATGTTGACAACGCCAAACACATAACATGTTAGATTTGCATGATGTTCTGCAATAACAACCTGGCTCTGCAGAAAAGACCAGCAAAAGGATTCAAGCCATCGTATAGAGAGAGAGAGAGAGAGAGAAAGAGAGAGAAACGTGGGTCATTATGGAATAATTACTTGAAAGTCTTCAGAGAGAGATGCCGATGCTAATGGAGCAGTCACTAAGAAAATCGAGAGAGAGAGAGAGAGAGAGATGTGGATATCTTTGAAATACGAAGCTGAGCACTGATATCACATAAAATGGTCAAACCTCACATAGACTTGCCAAGCAGCGCAATCATAGTCGAGCAAGTATGCTTCTAGCATGAGGTCATTTCACCATAATGAGCAAGACTTGGATGAATAGCTTTACCTCTGCGGAGAGAGATTCCAGTGCCTCCTGGCCGAGCTCCATCTTGTCCCACGCCGTTCCTTTCCCTGCCGAGGGGACATCAGAGACAACGTCGTAGGCATCCAAGGGCTGGGCCTCCTGCTCCCGGATGCTGTCTCTCAGCCAAGCTTCTCTCACCACCGGAATATTCCTCTCCCTGCAAACGGTCCCGTCATGCGCCGCTTGATCAAAGAACAAGAGTTCGACGAGGCGAGTGATGGCGACGGTCTTACATCGCTTCCGCGAGTTTGCTGGACCCTCCCCTCTCGCGCTCAGATGGCGGGACGACGAGACACGTAACCCCTAGTACCCACCGTTTGAGGGGTGGGGGAGTCAATCAGTAGGACTTACGGAGGTTCTGCGAAGGAGTTAGAGAAGATGATACCAGAGATCGTGTTGGAGACCTTCCCCCCGTGCCTCTCTATCTCTTCCCTCCACACGTGCTGGTTTCAACGACGAGGCCGTCAACGTGGAAACAGCAGAAATAAAGAAGCACAAATCGAGCACATTGACGAAGCAGAGTTGCACCCAACTACCGACATGAGTTCGTGAGAGCCGGCCCGAGAGAGATATCATCATCCCCGTAAAAGGCTTGTCGAGGGGAGTCAACTCCCGGTGAGGGTACCGATTCGGGTCTCGCTTCCTGACCCACTGCAGTTAAATGGCTCGAAGACCAAGTCAACCCAGCACTGACGTTTAGATACTAGATTCTTGAGGAGATTCCGAGGTTGATCTCACCTCCGCAACCATTGGGCTGCCGACTCCCTCAGGGACCTTCACGGCCTCCGCCTTCCTCGGCGACTCCCTAGAGGTGTATGTGCAGGTCGTCCACTCGCTGTAAGGACCTCTGCATGCGTAGTGGCTCCGCTCGTACTTTATGTGGTGTCCGCAGACTGGGCATTTCTTCAGAGGCCCGAAGAATAGCATGTCTTGGCTGTTTTTACATCGTTATCATGAGAGAGAGAGAGAGAGAGAGAGAGAGAGAGAGAGGGAGAGAGAGAAGGATAGAGAGGGAGATAGTTCGGAACATGCCATCTAGAAAGGACGTCCTCATCAGAGCCGGAAGCCTCCTGATCGTTGGTTTCCAGTAGCTTGCGAATGTCCTCGACGGGGAGGTGCTCGGAGACGGCCTTGCAGAAATCTTGGAACTCCCTGGCGGTGCACTCCACAGTCTTGCCGCCCTCCGCGTCGGCGGGCTTGGCCTTCTTGTTCTTCTCCGCCTCGTGGGCTCTGGCCTCAGCCTTCTGCTTCCTGGTCGCCATCTTCCCCTCTTCCTCGCCCACCCCATGGGTGTGGGACCTCGTCTCGTGGACCTTCATCTTTAGCAGTCACTCTCTGGGCCCTTCTTCTTCTTCTTCTTCCTCCTCCTGGAGCGATGAGGAGAAACCAGGGAGGTAGAGAGAAAATAACTGTCCTTATCCTTCCAAGATTCCTCCTCTCACAGATATAGAGAGATCCAGCCTTTCGAGACACCTGTTGCTCTCTAAACCATAGAAGCTTCAGCGATCCACGCCTGTCCTCCGCAGAGTACACGCGTCAAGGATGTTTTGTCAAGTCCGACCACGTGGTCTTTCTCATTAATGCAAGGGCCCACTTGTCTTAATTATATCTCGGCTCATGCAGTTTTAGGGGGATCGCAATCGGGCCTCTTATGAGACTTGCCTTCATCGGTCTGAACACGCGTTGACTCTTTTGACCCCGACCTGTTGCGCGCAGCGATGACGCTCCTTCCCTTCGCTTTCACGTGGGAAAGCGAGTTTGATGTGCTTGACGAGATGCGAACTGTGGACCAAGCTCAAACGGGTAGAGCCTACTGTTCTGAAAACGGATTGTACGCAAATCATATCAAATCTCATGTATCTTGGTCAAAGATATTATAATTTGGGATTATGGAAAAGCTCCCAGGGTCCAAAGTTTTCGGCTTTCTATATGTGGACGGAGCTGGTCTTCACGCTTCGAGGAATCGGCGGAATCCCCTAAACAACGCGAAACAATCAGGCAGAGATTAATTCACAAGGAAAGAGGGGCTTGGAGCGACCTTCGGAAAGTGATCCCTAGTCTCTGAGGCTCTCTCTCTCTCTCTCTCGCGCGCGCGCTCGCTCGCTCGCTACATCTCTCTCTCTCTTTCATGGGTGTGTCCAATTTTTCCTCCCCCGACGAAAGATGGTGGCCTAAGTCCTCGCAGCAACATCCTCTTCCATGGCCTAACCTTTATTTGATTCTTCAAAACAGAATGCTGAAACAACCCCCGTGGGCGTTATCACTCATTTTCTTCACCTAGTCAAGCCCAACATCAACTCCCTCGCTCCCTCTCTCTCTCTCTCTCTCTCTCTCTCTCTCTCTCTCTCTCTCTCTCTCTCTCTCTCTCTCTCTCTCTCTCTCTCTCTCTGGGTCTCTCTTTCTCTCTAGCTCTCACTTTCTCTCTCTCTCCCTCTCTCTGGCTAAAATTCATAGCCTGCAGCTTCTTTTGAAGTATCCACAACGACCGCAAGACATCTTGGCCGGAGGAGAATGAAGAAAAGCGAAAGAACGATAAAAAATGTGACCGCCACACCAACCATCGTTCGTTGTCTCACCTTCCTTCCCCCGCCATTGAACTTTTGCAATTGCGGCCTAAGAGGTGTCCATGGATCAGCTAGAGCCTCAAAGTTGGACCTGTCAAGTCCCTATACACACCGTCTTTCAAAATTATTGCAAGATTAGATCCTGGCTCGGCATCAAAACCAGACTCGGGACAAAGACATTGGTGGGGTTCTGCCTGGCACTGTCTCTCTATTTTTGCCAGGTTTGGACTTTGATAGGGTTGGACCTCGGCGTTCAATGCCCGCCATCTCTTATTCCGTCCACATCTGTCTCACAATCACCCACGCAGCGGCCCGTCCCCTGTCTCTCCCTCTCTCTTTCTCTCTCTCAGAGACAAACACACACACAAAAACACATAGGGACATATAGAGTATGGGGGCAGGTCTCTGGCCCGTGCTCTAGCTTGATAGGGTTCTGGCGTGGTCCGAGCCTCGTCGAAGATGCCCGAGATCGAGCTACCCGGGCCCCAGTCTGACCTACTACCATCCATTGGCGAAATCAACACGGCTTGTGGAATATTTGAAACATTGATTTCTGATGCAACTGATTAATCTGAAGGCGAACAGCGGGAAACTGGTGATCTCTTTTCATGTTCATCACCAATCGGAGGTGATAATCAGACGGAAAAATCTAAAAGCCTTGACGATAATCCTCGAGAAAATAATGGACTCAGTGAGGGTCCCCTTTAAAATATGCACATGAAAATTTTATTCAGACCCCCCAAATCCTATATTATATGGACCCATCGTAAAGCATATTCTCGGATACAAATGACTCTTCATGCGAAGCGTCTTCCATGGCGAGAAACACTTCTCAAGAGCCCTTTGTTGCTGAGCACAGCCTCAGGACGAGCCCCCTTACCTAATATAATTTCTCTACATAACCTAAAAAGCTTCTTCTAGGGGATGCAGTGAACTCTTCCCTCTACAACTTCCCCGCCCGAAGATTTCTCCATGAACCTGTTCTCGTTCCCGAAGCCAGCATGAAAATGGTGAGAAGAGATGCCGCTGCCGCCGAAGGACCTTATGTGATCCTTGAGGGACCTCTTATGCTTGAAATCGGATCCGCAGGCGCAGATCCACAGCTTCCCGCAGTTCTTCTCGTGAGTCCTCCAGTCTCCTCTGACTGCGAAACTCTTGGCACATCGCCTGCACGAGAAGGGCTTCGCTCCGTGCTTCCTCTTGTAGTGAGTTTGCAGGGTTCTGAAGTCCTTGAGGGGCTTTGCCCTCGGATGGTTGATGTTGTTCTTGCACCCGTCAGCGCAGCAGTAGCAAGGGAGCTTCAGCATGGCGGCCGGTTGGGCACCTCTCAGCGATTCCGGGCCCTTCCTGTACTCCGGCCCGTGCCCCCACATATGCATCTGAGTTCAAGATCCACAGATTCAGTCAAATGATAACGCGTTAGAATACCCATCTCAATCGTTGTTGATTTCCAGAAATGTCTAATCGGAGGGCTAATCTCTGAGAGAATACCGGATGGTTTCTCTTGAAGAACAACATTACAACGAGCATACGAGGTGAATACATGTAGAGTTAGCAAAACTATAGTTTCCATAAGATAACGACAATATATACACGGTTATTTGATCCTGCATGGCCGATTCAGAATTAATCTTTGATTAACCAAGCACCGATCAGGCCACAATAAATGTGATCAGAAGTCTTGTTACGTATATGCATACCACTCTGAAAACACTCATTTGGTACCCATTAGCTTATCTAATCAATCCACATTATTTAGCATTGTCAAAGAACTCGTCATCTGGGAACTTTGATTTTCTATGAAAGATAGGGACAAGAGAACCGAAGCAATAGAGGCGACGAGGATATCTGATTATCTTGTTGTAATTCATTGGCGAGAAAACAGCGAGATCTCTCACCCCTTTGGATGGCGAGGTGCGCTATCTTCCTCAAATCCATCAAGCGAAAAATTATGTTTTATAATATCTGTTCAGATATAATTGACGGATGACGGCGTAGATAGGAAGAAAAACTCGAATATGGGAGGAAATCAAGTATAAAGGGGTGGAAAAGTTGAAGCAATTCTGACCTGCATGTTGTTATATCTGTTGAAGGTCTTGGTGCAGACGGAGCAAGAGAAGAGAATGGGCCCCATGAGGATCTGAGCCGGCGTGGGGATCCAGAATCTGTTCTCCGGCGCCGGATGATGTCTCCCAGGCCTCTTCTCTCCAACCTCTACCTCGTCACAGACCAAAGATTTGGCCTCCCCGTCAGAATCTTCAGACAGACCGGGCAGTCCGATGTTCAGGTCCACCTCTCCAAGGCCCTTCCATTTCGTCGATGCCTCTTCATCCACCATACCCATACTCAGTGGGAGAAGGCTCTCGTCTGCGAGATGGGGTCGCGGGGAAGTCGAGGAAGAGAAGGGGCAGAAGGACGAGGCGGAGGAGGAGTAGGAGGGGGAGAAGGGTTGTGACTTGAGCCACTCGATGAGAGGAGGATGCTGTGGGGAGCGGCCCACTCCACTGACCATCCGCCCTAATCTCCCGGAGGACGGAGGACTCAATAGGGATGAGGAACAGCCTCCTTTTATTCACCGAGTGCATACCCGGCACAGAGAGAGAGAGAGAGAGGAGAGAGAAGGGGCTTGGTGCAAGCTCACCTTTTCCCGACTCCACCCATCGTCAAGGGTTTCATTCCTCTTTCAATAAGTTCATCCCCAAGCGATCGGACCCAGACGAGTGCCGTCTTCCCACAGAGTCCATCACATCCACAGATTAGCCTACCTTGGTTTGAATAGAGGACTCTTACTCGTCACAGGAGGTCACCGTCGCCCCTCTCTAGAAGACGGAATCGTACGGGTTCCCTCTCTTCCTTCTTGTTCTTGAATTTTCCTAGTCCACACCTGAAGGTGACGACCAATCTGAACGGGGCAGGGGATCGCTGTGGGAAGGTCGATCCAGGCCAACGCCAAGATTTGTCCGATGCAGAAGCTTCGTCAGAGGCAATAGGGCATCAGCTGAAGGCTACTCAACATCAGCCAGAGACCACACAAGTTTATTATGCATGGGCTTACGTCGACCAACCAAAAGCTTCTTCAGAGGCGATATGAAGAACATCTGAAGGCCACTTAAACACCAAGCTAAAAACCTGACAACTTACGTTAATCATACGTGATTTACGTACCCTGCTGCATGAGTACTATATTGATCAGAGGCGACCGTGGACATTACATCCTCACCGAGAGGCCGAGGCAATACGAGTAGATTGACTGGTGAAGCCACCTAAATGGACTCCTTTTAGGACTCCAAGGCGTGTGGCCTCTAGGTTCGCGTTCACGGCTTAATATTTCCTCTCCGTGGGTCCCTTTCCCACCGTTCATTTGTGAAGACCATCGCGTGGACCGTTCCCAAGCTTCTCTAGCAATTAATATGGACATCGATGGGCGGGACCCCGTGGGGCCGCTTCAAAGCCAGAGCCCTCCTCGGAAATCTGTAGGCACCTATTTGAGAGAGTGAAAGAAAGAGAGAGATAGACAGACAGAAGATTCCACATGCCTTGTTGCCGAACAGTTCTGTTATCGTGAACAGTGGTTCTCGGATTCCAGGTTGCTTCGATGGGATGGGCGGCCCAACGGAGACTACTTTTCTCTGGAGAGAGAGAGAGAGAGAGAGAGAGAGAGAAAGAAAGAAGGAGACCAAGACCGGAGGACAAGGACCGAGCCCGGTTACTTGCGTTGCGGCCTTGATTTTCAGTCCGAAGCCTAAGAATGATCTCGCGGCACTCGGGGGGTAATTCGCTCATTGATACTCCCGGTCCGCCGTCCAACTTCACGAATCAGATGGTGTTAGATAGATCGTACGATTCCGAAGGTCTGGCCGTACGCATGAATTCCCCGGCTTGTTCAAACATGGGTCTCTGCACGTATAAACACACCACTTGCCGCGACGACACCTTCCCCGCCCACCCTTCTCTCTGAAAACGATCCCCGGATGTTGACCCGGCGGGCCCCAGTCTCAGTAAAATCCCAGGTCAACCCACGTTGCGGAAGTCGCCGTGGACGGTGAGACTCCCCTCAATCCGGGGTTCCCCTTCCCGGCGCCGCTCGCCAACAGGCGACAGGGACGCCCGCGTCGCCGGTGGAAATCTCCCCGGTGGGTAACTCGCCGCCGGCATAATGATGGTGGGCGGCGTCTCTCCTCCGGGCTTGATGTGGGATTCCACCGCCTGGCCGACCGATAACTTCCGTCGTAGTCTATCGCCTCGGCTCGGTGAGGGATATTGATGAGCTTGGACGTAGAAAAATCAAACCCGAATGCAGAAATATCCTCGCCATTTATCCGATCTTCAGTCATGGCATGATTTAACACGCAATGACTTTTCAATTAAGTCGAATCTCATGACTAGTCATCCACGTTAGGTATTAATGCAGAGGACAATTCAATCGCAATTAATCCAGCATTAACTTGCTAATGACCTGATTATGGAGATACTATGAACAATGTAATTAATCGTATGAATCGACGTGTTGGACGAGTTAAGGCTCAACGATATTAATGGGTTTGGGTCATTTTAATTCTGGAAAAAATTAAATGTGACCAAGATTTGTGTCCAACGAAGCGAATCTCCCCTTTGAAAAATGTGTCAAGATCAATCTGCAGTAGAGCCCATTTTCTTATCCCATTGTTGGCGACTAGTCTGGTTGTGAAATCTAGTTGATGACATGGTGCACGAGGGGATGGGGGAATGAAAGGGAACCCACAGTTAATGGAGATAATGTATGGAATTGAGGTTCATTCATGAGCACATTGTGAGGAGAGAGAGAGAGAGAGAGAGAGCTGAATCCAAAGATTGCATATAGATGCCTCTCTCTCTCTCTCTCTCTCTCTCTCTCTCTATATATATATATATATATATATATCTAAAGAAAAAAAAGTTTTTTGCTAGTTTGCATCACCTTTTCATAAAGTATAGAGGCTGATGTTGGATCCACCTAGGGGCATATGACCTTGGGTAAGTATCTAATGCATTGCATTCCCCAATTGGATACAGAATTTGGGAGGGGAAACCCAAATGAGAAATATATTATTTTTTGAAATTTCTACTCAACATAGTACATAAATTAATAAGTAACCAAACATGCACACATAATAGTTTCAATTACGTTGCAAAGATCAAATGGAGTGTGGATTGTGTACACGTATACGCTCCACTCATAAGAATTGAAAAAATAATAACTTATTGGCCTCAATAAAATGAAAGAAAAATGACTTTGATATATATATATATTTACTTTTAGATGTATTTCTACTAAAAATCACATTTTGAAGGTATGCTTCTCAATTTCGGGATAATCTGAGAATGCAAAAAAAAATGAAATATATATATATATTTACGGAGAAATCAAAATCAAGAAAATGTAATTATTTGCAAATAAATCGATTTATCGTTTTTGTATATTTAGTACAGATATATATATATATATATATATCAATAATAAAAGTGACCGGACAGGCCGGTTCCGACCGTTTATTGCGGCCGTTGGAGCGCCTCCTGGCCTCCTTTGGGGGGGGGCGTTCTTACGTCATAGCCCTCCCTCGCGACGATGGGAGATCAGTGATGGAGAAGATGGCGGGGTTTCTCAGAAGCTCGACGTCTCCGGACGCCGCGCGGTCCTTCAGCCCGATCTCTCCGCAACTCCCCACCTGAGGAAGACGACGAGGTGGGATAATTATGTTCAGATCATGGAATCGATTATAAGAAAACGATGACCATGTGGGTCGTCGGATTCTTGAATGTGATATCCCGCAGCGCGCCTTCGTCTCCTCCCGTCTCCCCTGCTCACTCGCCTCCCCCATCGCAGGCGATATGGTGGTGGGAGCCCTTCCATGCCTCGTCTTCCGGCCGCCGCCCGCGGCCGGGATGCACCCCCGACGCCCGAGGATCCCTCTGGCCGTCGATTATGCCGCGCGACACGCTGTTCGGAACCCCTTGCGGATCCCGCCGCCGCCTCTATTCGGGGGAGCATCTCGCCGCATCTCGATCGTTGCTGGAGCCGCGGGTGGCTCGTACAAGGTATAGTTCGGCCTGGTAATCCGCACACTTTGGTTCCTGTTGGCATTGTCGTTCGAATTGCGCATATCTCATCTCAGGTTGCCGGCGGGGGTGATGAGCTCGCTGGGAATCCGAAGGGTGGAGGCTTATTGAGCTGGGCGCGACCTCTCTTAAACTTCGTCTCTTCCAACTTCCTACCTTTAGGTGAAATCCTTGGACGTCTCGTCTCGTCTCATTTCAAAAGAACAGGCTCAGTCGGACGATGATTTCTCGCCAGTTAATTTTGGTGGTTCTCGATAATGGATCGATGTTATGAGTAACATGAAACATTTGTTTCAGAAAAAAAAAATTGTACAGGAAATTAAAATCGAGACTGATGGCTTCTTGATAGTGTGTATTTCAAAGTATTTGATGGCCATTTCTAATTTTCTTCTGCAGAATAACCCGTGCATAAATCTAAATGTGAGCTAGTGATAAATTTTTAAAAACTTTGTAAGGTTCCAGCTGAACTCCACTAGAAAATCCATGGTTGAGGCGGCACCGAGGAGTGGCAATCGCACTTGGCATTACACCCAAGGATCTTACATCTAATCTCCACGCTTATCCATTAAAACACCATCATCTACTTTCTGCCACCCGCTGCCACAATTCTCGTTTAATTCCATTGCTAGGTCATGTTACCACAATCCTCCACCTAACATTGTCGTATCACTCTCAGTACTGCCTATCATTGCTGTCTCAAGCTTCCTACCACCAACCACCGGTGCTATTATTATCTTTTTAATCAGTCTATGTCAGTTGACTCGAAGTTGATGTTGCTGGCTTGCCACGATGCATGACTTGAAGTCATCAAATAGTCTATTTCTCTTAATGGAAAATTCTAATTCTGAAAAATGCGAGATTATGCGTGGTTAGTATACGTATGGGGTAAGAGTGGAGTGCATAATTTCTGCATAATTTCTACTGAAAAATTAAACCAACTAGAGAATAGTTACTTTTTGAAGCTGGATAATGCTACATTGGCATCAAAAATTAAGAAGGGTGGAATATACAAGTATATTATTGAAAATATTCCAAAAAACCCCAGTACAACGTTTCATGGTCTACACCAGGACAGTGTAGACCGTACTAAGAGACCCTCAACGGCAAAACTGAGGAATAAAATCCTTATTTTCTTTTGTCTGATGAAATTTATCTGAAATGACGATTTTGACTGAAACAAAGCATGAGCACGCAACCCAAAATAGTAGAATGAGTTCTTCAAGTGTGAGCCTGTTCTGTTCTGTTTCGATTCTGCTTAAGAAATTCACTTTGATCATAGTTTTCTGACCAAGGACTAGTACTTGACACAAAAACCTTGTTAAAACTTAGAGAAGGCATATGTTCGGGCTTTATATGGTTAGAATTTATGTTTATGAGTGGTCGGGTAATCGAATTCTTCAGTTACATAACTCCATTCTTTTTCAGCTCTCCTAAGTGGTATTGCCCTGGGATTGCTGAACCCGACGCCTGGCTGTCTTGCCCACAAGTATTCTTTGTCAAAATTTAGCACATTTGGAATATTTGTTATATCAGGTAAGAATATTGAAAAACATCCCATCCATTTTATACCCAGAGTGTAATTTCTGCTCCTACTGCCAATATCTCCAATTTTCAGGACTTACATTACGGAGTGGGGATATTGGTGCGGCTGGAGAAGCTTGGCCTGCTGGATTACTTGGTCTAGTATGTTTCTGAATAAGTCATGAATTGTGTGTCATCGTTTGCTTATCTTCTGCTTCGCACAATTAGATTCTCCGTAAATATAGCTTTTAAAATAAAAAAAATGTTGTTTTATCACACACGAGAATTAAGTTATAGAGAATATTAAGTCCAATTCTAGTTGTCAGATGCATATTTAAGGCATTCCTTGTTTCATCTTTGTAACTAACAATTAAAGTAAGTTTTGATCTATTTCTTCAGTCAATTTATCAGTTTTAGTGAAATGAACTAAAAGGATGCTCGATTCATCCTGAAACATGCTGAACCTGATCAGGGCTAACAAAGTGTGATCCCAATCTTTCTGTTAACAGATGGAATTGGCCCAAAATTAGAAACTTAGCTGGATATTTTTTTCTGCCCTTTGTCTGTTGCTGGCATTAATCAAATACTTGTTCTTTCCTTACTTCGTGCTCTTTCTTCTTCTTCTTTTCCTTGTGTCCATGTCATAGACTTCATTAAAATTCTCCTGTTCTCTCATTTTTTCCATCTGAAATCAAATACTCCAAATGGAATCAGCTGATTAGTGTCTAGAAGTTCAACATCCAGCTAGGATCAGTCTGATCACAACCCCTACCCAGAAATCTACCGTCAGATATTTCTTTTGCATAGTTTATCTGCCATGCTCTGTGCCTAGTAATGAAGAAAGGAGTCTATGTGGGTATTGCCACCGGGATTATGATGAACATTGATGACTCACGTGTTATGGATGCATGTGGCATAATTATGTGTTATGCTCCCTGATGGGACTGTTTCTAGTTTCGAACTAGGATGGTTTTTTTGGGGGGAGGACGCATTCTCAGTCATTATTTTGGTACCTTTTATTGTCAGTGTTCTCAACTTTAGATGAGGGGGAGCATCCTGAAGTGGTTGGATAATTCGAGTTTGCTGCTTGCTTTCTCGAAATTATAGGATGAAGTGGTCTGTAGTTTGACTATTCACTAAATATTTATTCTTAAATGCCTTTAAATACTGGTTGAAGATGTTGTGGATGAGACGTACTGTAAAGGAGTCATAAAAGCACCAACATGAGAAGTGTATGATTAACCGTGCGAAGTTCTAGTTTTTCATTTTGATCAGATTGACATTTCCTTTAGTTTAAGTACGAAAGTGATAGCGCCGTGCAGAAATGTCAACTTCGTACGATACTTATCTACCAGCTGGAGACTTCGCATCAGATTACTCTCATTACGCCTATGTTTATTCTTTTTGGTCAGACACTTTTCATATGCTATACTATACTGCCTCGTGAATACCTAGATGATCTGTCACACCTAAAAAATATCAAAGCGACCTATCGTTCCCCATGAAGGAAAGTGAAGGAGGAATCTTAGAGTTCTGGATCTTTGAGCTCCTAACTGCGTGTTTATAATGTTAATAAGGTCCTATAATTGATACCTTCTTGTCATCTCATTGAGATTAGCACATTCTTGTCATCTCGTGTTTGAGACCTAAATAGGTTGAACTGGCTTCCGTCATTCTGCAGTTAAATCGTAATCAGACAATAAACTAACCCATGAGGATTTAGAATAATCTATCACTTCACGCATTTATAAATTAGGACCCTTTTATCTCACCCAGAACAGAATGTGGAGGATTTTTTTGGGAAGTAATAAGCCCCTTTGACATCTCTTCATCTGCGAAGAATTCTCACGTGAAAACTGAGAGAAAAAGGACTTATAGTTGAATAGGAATGTCACATATATTAATTGAACTATTTAACACTCCCTTTTTCGTCACTATGCCCTTCATTAGTTTTTTTTCTTTAATCATTATAATATTTTAATTTTTACAGGCGTCAATTTTATTGTTCACTCCCTTCTTTGCAAAACTAATTTTGCAACTTCATCTGGTACCTCGAGAATTTGTAACGGGTATGTCAGTTTTCAGATCCTATTCCTGTAGTAAATATATCTAATTGACGACTTTTCCATGTTTGCCCATATTTTTGACTTTGAAAAGTATAACAGGCTTGGCTATATTTTGTTGCATGCCTACCACATTGTCAAGTGGGATAGCATTGACACAGGTGCCACAGTTTCTTCAGCATCTCTTCTTACAACCTTTATGATTTAGATTATCATTCTGATGGGAAGGAATGAGCCTCATGCAGCTTGCGAAGGGGAACTCAGCTCTGGCTCTTGCAATGACAGTGATATCTAATCTGTTAGGCATTTTGCTCGTAAGTCCGTGATTGTTTCATTATCGATAACAATGTTTTATCCTTGTAATTCTTTCAACTTATATTTTTTAAGGTTTTGCCTTCCCTTGAGAATATCCTGCGCATAATTTTTCTTCCATCTTACTTGGGGAATCACAGTAAATATTAGAAGATGAAGATGATATCTAATAGCACACTTTTTTGCTTCATTTCCGCTCATTTTTTTTCCATCCTTTGTCGTCATCCCTCCACTCTCACAAAAATAAAGTCATGCTAGCCGGGGAATGGAAAAAGTGGGAAAATTCTTGTAAATGTGATATCAACTATTTGATCCAAAATTTTACGTTGTTTTCCTCCTCAATCGCATGGAGGTAAAAAGCATGATCCTTCATGGTAGCTTTTGAAGCCTTTGGAGGTGAAAAGGAAGAGCTGTATCTAATTTGTACTGTGGGCCGTTGAGTGTAATGCTTCCTGATGACATATTCCGAGTCTCCTGTGTCTTCTGGACTTCATTTGATGTGTAGTCTTTGTGGTAACAAGGTTATAGAGGATCCCTTTCTGGGGAAATCTCAAAAGCACACTCTTTATTTCTTCATGAATTCCTTGAGAAGCTATCTGAAAGATGCACCAGGGAAACATTTATGTTAAATTATCATCTCATTATTTCCTTTAATGTGATTGATGGAATAGCTTACCCTATAAAGCGGGTGTTAACATTTTTTAATGATAGTAAAACCAAAGCACTGTAGTTGCTTGAGGAGATTGTTATGGTGTCATCAACAAGACAGTATTAATGATGCTAGCGTATTTCATTTCTGTGTCGTGTCAATAAGCTTCTTCCACGTTTTAGCATAGTTATCATAGTAATCCGGAGTTTATGCTCTTTTATCATGTGCCTTCTATTTTTATTTGGTAACATACTTTGGTGAGTCATTCCGATCGAGAAAACTTTTTACACTTGTTTTTCTTCCATGTGACCAATATTTTCCTTGGTGTACTGGTCAGAAAATTTTTCAGGCATCTTCCTGTTTAGTTTTCTCTGTTTTCTTATAGGTGTCAACAAAATATATTACACAGTGTTATAAGTACTTTCTGATGAATGTTTGAATGTAATCCTCGTCAATAATTTTTTTTTAACAGAATGGAGTTACTCTTCGGTATAAATTTAATGTTCATAAAATAATTTGCATCTCCAAAGTTATTGTTCCCGCATCATTTCATCGTTTGACCTGTGAAAGAAACAAGCAATTGTGTCAGGGTTGGTTTTTCTGTATCTTTGATTGAATTAAGAGATGTCCTCCTAGTATCTCCGCACGTTTGTCATCATCCCGAACGCATGTCTAAGTATTTTTGTATTACGTGCATGATTAGCATCTGAAAATATTTGATAGTTGTTCCTCACTCCGATTTTTATCGGATGCTAATAGTCGGTTTACCATCCAAGGTGCCATTGTTCCTCTCCAACTTCATAGGACAAGGAGCTGGAGTATCGATACCAACCATGCCACTACTTAAAAGCCTTGTAGGGACACTTCTCGTCCCTCTAATACTTGGAAAGGTATTGATGATGAATTCAAAAGTAGCATTTTTTAATGTTTTATGAGATATATCCATTCCTTAAATAACAAAACCCTTTTATGATGAATTCAAAAATATTGTTAACTTTCAATGTATACAGTTACTGGGAAACGAGTATCTGACATCGTACCTTTTTTTTTCTTTTGACCTGCTATCAATTGATTTTTCATAAATTTTTTCTGTATCCTATTTAAATTATTTTGATGAACGCCCTTTTGTTTGCAGATCATTCGAGATTCGTTTGGTTGTAAGTCTCATGTTGCTTTTCCTTTTTTTAATTGAGAATCTGAAATTCATTCTATCTTTATTTTTCGCATTGAATAAACTATATACATGACAATTGGTATTACATGCGAACGTTGACTTCAACCTTAATTACCTGTGAATGTGAGACTAAATTTCTGTAAATATTCTTTATTGCCATCTGATTTTTCTTCAAATTCAACGAATTTTTTTTTCTTCTTGGCTAATCTCATGAGAATTATATTACGATTGCTGTATTGGTCTTAAAACATTTAACAGTATCAGGAAAAGCTACGATTGGATTATTTTTTTGTCCTTTGGTTCCTTTATTTGAGGTAAATTCACTTAGTTCACCTTTAACTTGATTTTGTCATTTTAATGGTTTGAATACTTCCGTTTGTATTATTTGAAAACATTGTATCATTTAATATTGCTCATAATTTATGTTAAAAACATCTAATCAAGTGGCAGACTTTGTCTCAATTACTAAAGGGGATCTATGTTGACAAGTAAAAAGTTCACCAAAACTAAATAACTATGATTTATCATGAATAGATTTAAGTTTCTGTGAAATTCTCGATTCATCGGATCTATGGGAAGTTAAAAATAAATTCATGATTTTGTCTCAATTTAAGTTTATATTCCCGTTGTCTATAGAGGAAAAATTAGCCTCATAACGGCTCTGAGAACTTCAGTCGTGTTTTAATCATCTATTTCTCATGGGCCTTTAGTTTGAATAGGTCACCACCTGTACTTTATTTTTTAGAACAAAAGAAACTCTGCATGATATTATGGTTCTTATTTCTATATCCGCAGGGGTGGCAGAATATGTTGATCAAAATCGTCGGCTATTCTCAACAGCGAGTGCAGTTTGTCTCAGTCTAGTATGACCCAGATTCCAATAGGAGATTATTTACTTAATATATTGCACTGGTTCTCTAAAAGATTAGACACAAAAACCCGGGCATTATTTACTGTATTCTTTCATATTATCTTGAAAATAAGTTCTTGCTTCCAATGTTCGTAATAAAATCACTGGTCTGGCCTTCCTCACCAAATCATAGTTTTGACATGTATTTTATCCTCATATCAGTGTGAGAGGCTTTACAGCATCATCCAACAACCATATTCTCAAGGTTTTCCTTCAGCTTGCAGTACTTAATTTCATGAGAAGCATCAACACGTGTTGCATCTTTAGATACCTTGTTGATTCTTTTAGTGCCATGAACGATATGCTACATGAGCACTGGAGAAAATCTTTCTTAGGTTCCTTGATTTGATAATATTTCTTTCATTTTTTTTTAATTTAATTTTCACGGATTATTTCAGGTGCCTTGGATACAAGTTAGCAGGTCAAGGACTTTGCTGTTGACCGTTCAGCCGGTGGCTTTTCTTGCCGCTGTGGCCACAGGAATGTATGTCCTTCGCAACCTTAGTTACATGACATGCTTAAATTCTTTCGTAAGGTTACATATCTTGTAGTCATCCAGCTGGAAGCACCCTACTAGTTTTCTATTCTGATGAATATTCAGGGCATATGGTTTCTCTGAATATCAAATGATTTGCGGGCTTGTAGTCGTTGACCTATCATCTCGTTATAGAATCCACTGGGAATCTACCGTCGCAGGATTCACTGTATACATTGTATGCAGCATGAAGAAGAATGTTCCCTCCTCTATGTGCTCTCGTCTGTTCTTTTAAGCCGCATGTTTGACCTTTGAGGGCGAGCCCCTAGACCTTTAGTCAAATCTGGGCAACTAAGAAACATCCCTTTGTATTATTTTGCCTGCAGGCTCCTCCATCTCACGTTGTTGACCTTCAATACCCTCGCATTGAAGAGCGCCTCAGCGATTTCTGTGAAGGGAGAATCTGTTTTCTCAAAGAAGGAGAATGCTCGCGCTGTGATACTCGTGGCCAGCCAGGTCAGTATTGCACGAGTGCCCTCAATCTCGTTGCTCATCTCCATGTTTCTTCAAGTTGCAACCACCCCCAAGGTCTTGAAAAGAGCTTCACTGTTGGTACCCACAGGCAGATGGGATCTTAAGGAAGCGGCCGATGTGGGAGTAGAAGAAAAATGTTATAGTTAGTAATCATGAATACCCCTGACAGACGTTGTTCCGGCTAGAGACATGAAGGGAAGTCAACGCCCTTCCTTCCTTCATGTCCCGGATCTGATGAAATAGGACGAATTAAGAGGGTATTTTGTGAAGAAGTAATTATCTTGAATATATCAACCATTTCTTTATTTTCTGATCGCCTGGAAGGAACAAAGGAAACATCTTGTCTTTTCTTCAAAAAAATCAGATCTTTTTGAGGATCCGATAAAGTTTGACCATTTTTTAGAGAAAAAAAGAACGAATTGATCTTGTAGGACCCCCAATTAGCTTCTATTTCTCGGCCGTTAAATTAGTTTCTGATTAATGAGAATATCTGTTCTCACTTCAACGCCCTTCATTTCTTCACTGATTTTCTCCTTGTCTCCTTAATGATACTAATTCGCGCCATCTCGCAGAAAACCCTTCCAGTAATGGTGGCCGTCGTGGAGCAGCTCGGAGGAGCGCTGGGGGAGCCCGGTCTGCTGGTTCTCCCTTGTGTAGCCGCGCACATAAACCAGGTGAAGAGCTTTGCTGACGTCATTTATTCCTATGCTAGTTCCCAGCTCTGCGTCTCTGGCCGTTGACCGGCGCAGCCGCCATGCAGATCATCATCGACTCCTTCCTCGTGAACAAGTGGCTGCGACGGGACCAGCTCTCCGCGTTGCCCAAAGAAGCATAGCAGCCGTGGGGAGCTGCTCTGACCCAGTTTGTATCATCCACTTTTCCGGGGCCGATTCATCCAGTTTTAGGAATAATCGAGAAGAAGAATAATTTTTTGCTGGTCAAAACTACTAATTTTGGTATCGGTCAGAGACAGAGACTCTGTGATGGTCCTAAACTGTCACGGTGCAGATAGATGGCTGCGTTTCAAGTACCTTATGAGATTCCTCCATTCGATCGCAGCCAAAGCTAATGGTGACAGGCGTCTGTACCAGGCCACTATACTCCCGTTTAACCCGGGGCCCCATTTCTTGCGTAGAGAGAGAGAGAGAGAGAGAGAGAGAGAGAGAGGCAGTGAACGTTATAAATGAGGAGGTTTTAGCCAGGGGAAGAAGACGAAGGTCCGAGTTGTATACTATTGACCTGGTGGGCTGATTGATGGAATTCTTGGGGGTGTAGTACAGGAGGAGCCTCTGCCAGAGATTGGCGAAGGGGCGGCGGGGGGGCATGCGGTAGGCGTCTCTCCACGGCCCCGGTCTCCCCTCAATGTTTCCCACTTTCCCACTTTCATTTTTATAAACACACCTAGCAGCAGCAGCAGCGAAGATAGACGGGCACCAGCTCTCTCTCTCTCTCTCTCTCTCTCTCTCTCTCTCTCACTCTCACTCACTCAGTTTATGGGGGGGCGGAGGAGTGAACGGGGGTTCACAAGTTCTAGCGCCTCCTGGAGGCGGTTTCCCGCTGGGCGTTGAAGTAGACGGCGGCGACGGGGAGGGCGAGCTCGTTCTCGGCCGCGAAGCGACGGGTGGAGAAGCGATCCCTGGATGGCGGCGCCGTCACCGATTGCCGCCGCTTCTGCTTGAAGAGCACGAACACGTACCTGTGGATGCCGATGTTCGGCCTCGGGCTCTCGTAGCTTACCACCTCCCTACCTGCTCCCCGAAAACACAGGGCAAAGACTACCGTCAAAAACCCCTCACTATACCACATAAACTAACCAACTCTCTCTGGCTCTCTCTCTCTACGTCGCAGTCTTCAAGGAGGAAGATGACCCACCAAAGGAAGAATCGGTGGTGCCCGGGATGTCCGTCACAATCCTGCAACAGCACCCATTTTAATGTTTAGATATATATATCTTGATATTGCGCACTACATGCGCGAATGATGCAAAGCATATGCGCCAATCTCCACGAGTTGCCACCACGTCGTGGATGACGAAGTCATGTTAGAGTTGTTACCAGTGAAGACGCTCCCTGAGGTATGGGTCACTGGGGCCTGGGGCGTCGGGGTCTATCATTACCTGCAACTCAGAGAGAGAGAGAGAGAGAGAGAGAATGAAAGAGAGAGAGAGATAGAGACCGAAAGAGAGGGAGAGAGAAAGGGTTGGAGAGTGCACCAGTGTAAAGAAGGACCTCATGTCGCCTCCCTGGATCTCAACCCTAGGCCTGGAGGTCACTGCGGAGGGGAAGAACTCGTGGCCATTGAAGACCAGCTTGTTGGAGTTGTAGGCTATGATCATCTTCACGGTGGGGTTGAAGGAGTCCAGGACCTCTCCTATCACTCTCCCAACAACCAGAGGATCCAGAGCCTTCGCCATGCTAGCAGGCCACCGCTGGAAGCAAGTGGAGCTGATGAGAGAGAAGCCAAGGCTCGTGGTGTACTTAAACAAGTTCTCTCTTGCTTATTGATCTGAGGAAGAGATGGCCTGCTATTTATAGCGTCCCCGGAGAGGTGGCTCGAGGTGGGACTTAAACAAGCGCTCATGTCTTCGACAGGGGAGGACGTAGCGAGCCATTTAACCCGCCCCTTGAGTCTGTGGAGGGGCAGGCAGAATCTCCCTCTCCCTCTCTCTCTCTCTCTCTCTCTCTCTCTCTCTCTCTCTCTCTCTCTCTCTCTCTCTCTCTCTCTCTCTCTCTCTCTCTCTCTCTCTCTCTCTCTCTCTCTCTCTCTCTCTCTCTCTCTCTCTCTCTCTCTCTCTCTCTCTCTCTCTCTCTCTCTCTCTCTCTCTCTCTCTCTCTCTCTCTCTCTCTCTCTCTCTCTCTCTCTCTCTCTCTCTCTCTCTCTCTCCTCTCTCTCCTTCTCTCTCTCTCTCTCTCTCTCTCTCTCTCTCTCTCTCTCTCTCTCTCTCTCTCTCTCTCTCTCTCTCTCTCTCTCTCTCTCTCTCTCTCTCTTCGCTCTCTCTCTCTCTCCTCTCTCTCTCTCTCTCTCTCTCTCTCTCTCTCGCTCTATCTCTCTCTCTCTCTGTCTCTCTCTCTCGCTCTCTCTCTCTCTCTCTCTCTCTCTCCTCATCACCGCCATCGATGACCGACCAAAAAAGATGTTTTTTTTTTTTCATTAGTTTACTCAGCAGAAGTGGCTTTTTATGTTTCATAATCATCACCGAGAGTAGTGAAATCGTAAAGTATTCAAAGAAGTAATCATCTTTATTTCCATCCATCGAAGAAGCGTACGGTTTAGAACTCTTCTCTTGCTCCCTGAAGTCATGAAAGTGGGCTTCACTGGGGAGTAAGTGCTGGAACAGAACATCCATCCAATCATTGTTCCTTCTGTAACAAACCCAGATGGATTAAAAGTCCCAGTAGCTCATTCAACCTCATTTGACTAGGCCCTATTCCTCTCTATTCTCCATTTTTTTCACTCTTAATCGTTGGAACGCCGCTCTGATTCTTCCTTTAACATTGAATATGTAGCACTTGTTCCCACTACTCAGCACACTCCGCATCAATCCATGCCTATAGCTTGTTCCTTAAAGCTATGGCAGTGCCCTTTTGTGGGGAACAAGGTGGGGGGTGGTAAGAACTCTTTAGTAAATTCCATCCATGTTTCAATGTGATGGGTTACATCACTTATTCCATCTAGGTCTCATGAGGCTTAATGTTGGTTCTATCTATCTTTTAATCGAGCCTTTTTTACACCGCATGATCAACCTAGAACACTTTCCCTGCAGATAACATTGAAAATCAGATGAATGTTCCCCTTGCTTGTAGTAAGGCCGACAAGATAGATGATTCTAAGAGTCTTTGTCCCCCACAACCCATCTTCATGTTAGGCCATCTTCTACTCGGGCAAGAATATAGTTTGATGAAATCCTCCGCATAAACTATAATTTAGCCTCTCACAGTTCATCCACATTCAACAACGCTTCGGGATATCATCATCCTCAAAAGAGTTACCTCCTTCATCCCCACCACGCCAAGTCATTATCTCCATTCATTGATGTCGCCATGTCTGACTTAAGTGGATGTTCTTCAGCAAGCTCTACTCTATCTGCAGGGCCTTTAATTTTTCTACTCTATAAGATGTGTCACTCTCAAGTCACACTTGGCTGGCAAGATTTCATCATACATTCATGGTAAATGACATTCTTATCACATGGGCATGGTCACTTGCACATTGTTTTGCTTCGACTATAGTACATCAATATGTACAATGCTGCATGTGCGACATATTTTATGCAATATTAACCAGCCCTATACTGACGTTTGTTGGCCTCCTATGTCATAGCAATAAAGTGGCATGAGTCCTCGTCTTCAATGTAACCACACAGCCTTCTTACTTCCTCGTATACTACTAGTCTTTAGTATAACAATACGGTCATTTCATTTGAAGATTGCCAATTTTGTTGATCTGCTTGTCCGCTTATGGGATAATATTGTTCATCATCATCATCAATGTCAATGGCCAATCAATCTGAAAGATTACTCTAATTTATTGTAAGAGCCCAATTATCATGCTAGGCTACGAACCTTATACTTATGATGTACGTGAATTATCTAATGCGGGCGGGCACAGGCGGGCGGGCCACGCGCGGACCGCGCGCGAACCTGTTCATCAACGAGTTCTGACCATGGTTGTGCTAGGCAGAGACGGAGGAAAAACGCGGCCAGCGCGGGCACCACGCGCGCGCCGGCGCCCGTGGCCGCCCGCGGCAGGGGCAGGTCGGGCGGGCCACGCGCAAATTCCGACCCTGGATAAGTGCCAGACAGCGAGGTAGGATAGATTATCAATGTATGACAATTTGTGAGAAATCACATTTAACTACAAAGTGTTTGCTTACCACAAGTAAATAAATTGAATGTATATACCACGTGATGTAAGTTTAAAATATTTTCATTACATACAAGAACAAACGTATAATATCACTGTTGTTTAGAGGTAGAGAGCCAAACAGAACTATATACAAGCCTCAACCATACATATCAATGAATGCATTTCACACGATAATTTTGATGAAGGCTATAATTTTAGCTCAACCCAAAAGTCAATCTCAATGAAATACTCCACTAGATTCGAATCATTATGAAACAAGTCAATGTGGGTGGACTATTTTTGTTTGAATATGTTTGCTAGAAACGAAGGTTGGGGTGTCGTTAATCTTCCAAGGCAATTAGGTGGAATATTATGCAATCAAAACCCACATTATTAATTCTAAATATAAGCAAAAATGTCTTTTGGAGAAAATAAAAATAATATATAATTCATCTGTTTTTGGAAGACATTTTGACAAGAAAACAATACTTCTTAATTTTCATAATGAAGCTTTAGGCATCCTCTCAGGTATTTTTCTGCGATCCATTTTTGTCATAGGTGAGTCTATTGGGGATACCTCTTGGAAATCTCTCTCTCTCTTCCTCTCTCTCTCTCTCTCTCTCTCTCTCTCTCTCTCCCTCTCTCCCTCTCTCCCTGCCTCCCTCCGTCCCTCCCTCCCTCTCTCTTGAGAAGACGACAGTTTTTTTACTACCAAATGTGAAAAACATCTATTTTCTCTCTCTATAGTGTCGAACAAATCTAGTAACCTCATAATAGAGAAAATGATCTCTCTCATCTTACATTGAGGGCAACGGGCTCAAACTGATGCACCCTGGCCCAAGAAAATATTAATAGGCCCATTAGGTATAATAACGGGCCCATTAACACCCGCTGGGCTCTTCCTCACCCTCTGACTCCCCGATGGGCTGGGCCAGCCCCTAGCTGGCTCTCCCCCCATGTTACCACTGCATTGTTGGCCGTCACTATGGAGAGGTGTAGTCTACGAAGGCAATTCTATAAAATGATAAATAAAAAATTCAGGTGATGTTATGTGATTTAAGATTTGCGCCCTGTAGATAAAGATACGGATTAATGGAGGAGCGTGGGCTGCAGATGACCTGGATTATTCGCCATCGGGCAAGTTGACCTACTGAAGTTGTTCATCTGCAAGGCCTAACTTGAACGGTAACAAGTTGTACATTGACACCCATAAATAGAAAAAGATACTATTCTGGACTTATGTATATACATATTTACGAGAGAGAGCGAGAGAGAGAGAGAGAGAGAGAGAGAGCCCGTCATCTGAGATTTCTAATTGAATGGGGGCGGTAGCTGCTGTCAGACATGACGTGCGTCGACCTCTCTGGGATCGTCGGCGGCGGCGGTTGATACTGTCCTAGTTGACTGATTCTGTGCCGCAAAAGTTTGCCTTTCGATACATGAGAGAGAGTGCCAGAGAGAGAGAGAGAGAGCGCTGACGCAAGGGAAGAAGGGAGAAAAAGAGATGGTTTTGATATTTTTCGGCTCATTTCAAAACTCGGGTCTGTTTCGTCGGAAAACACGAGTTCTTCCGCGTTCATTTTCTATCTGGAAACGAACAAAATTTGTGCTTCTTTTGCATTTATTAACTCTCCTTGGACGAGAAATAAAAGACGCAACCGGCGTATAAATGCTTCCAAGCCGACGGTGATCCAAGTCAGCACCTCCGCCGCCGGAAAAGGTTCCAGAGAAGGGGAAAATGGCTGCCACGGCCGGGAACAGGAGGGTCAACGCCGCCGCCGCACGAGCTCACACGCGGAAGCGGAAGCAAAGCTCCTCCTTTCTTTCCTCCGGTAAGCCCGCCGCCTCCGCTGCCATCTCTCTCCCCGTTGAATGTCCTTCGGATGCCTCCGGCAGGAGATGAGATGCGCCTCTCGTCTTTCAGGGTTGCTGGTGAAGCTGCTGGCGGTTTCTCTGGTGGGGCTGGCGGCGTGGTTCTACCAGGCCATCGAGCCGCCGCCGCCGAGGATCTGCGGATCCCCGAACGGCCCCCCTGTTGAATCCCCCAGAGTGCGGCTCAAGGACGGCAGGCATCTCTCCTACAAGGAAGGGGGCGTCCCCAGGGAGAAGGCGAAACACAGGATCGTCTACATCCATGGATTCGACTCCTGCAAGCACGACGTCCCCCCTCTATCCAAGGTACTGCAGCGTCATTCGTCTGATTTCCATCTTTTTCTCCATCTTCCTCGAAGTGGGGGAGCTCTGTGCCGACACAACCAGTCGTGGGTTCTTCTCCCAGGAGTTGGCGGAGGAGCTGGGGGTGTATCTGGTGTCCTTCGACAGAGCTGGCTATGGCGAGAGCGATCCAAACCCCAACAGGACCGAGAAGAGCACGGCTCTGGATGTGGAGGAGCTCGCCGACCAGCTGGGCCTCGGGCCCAAGTTCTACGTCATCGGGTTCTCCATGGGCGGGCAGGCTACCTGGGGCTGCATCAAATACGTCCCCCATCGGTTTGGCTCCTCTCTGACACTCCGTCGATTCATGAACCCTAATTTCTTCTCCGTGGATTGATTCATCGCTGATGATGTTTTTTCTCGGCTTTTTTCTTCTTCCATGTATAAACGGGTTCTCGGGTATGACGAAAATTGCAGGCTCGCCGGCGTGGGGCTGGTCACTCCGGTGACCAACTACTGGTGGCCTGGTTTTCCGGCGAACCTGTCCAGGGAGGCCTACTATAACCAGCTGGGCGCTGACCAGTGGGCACTCAGAGTCGCCCACTACCTCCCCTGGTTGACCTACTGGTGGAACACCCGGAGATGGATCCCGCCGTCCAACGTCATAGCCTACAACCCCGCCCTTTTCTCCCCAGACGATGTCAAGCAACTTCCCAAGTTCACGGATCGAGCTGCATACTATGTTGGTACCCAACTCGCGACTGTTCGTTTATTCCTACTTTTTAGGGGGCAAAGTTATCGTCTTTGAGAGATGCCGCGCCGCCATTGTTGCTCAGAAGATGTGGGTTTCTTTCTGGTGGCAGCACCAGGTGAGACAGCAGGGGGAGTACGAGTCGCTGCACCGGGACATGATAGTGGGCTTCGGGACTTGGGAGTTTGATCCCATGGAGATGGAGGACCCGTTCGCCGGCGGAGAGGCCGCCGCCGTCCACCTCTGGCAGGGAGACGACGACCGCCTCGTGCCGGTGAAGCTCCAGCGCTACGTGGCGGCGCGCCTACCTTGGGTTCGCTACCACGAGCTCCCCGGCGCCGGACACCTTTTCCTCCTCGCCGACGGCATGTTCGACACCATCGTGAAGACCCTCGTGCTCGGCGACGGCGAACAACTGTAGCCAGCAGCACCACCTTATCTCTCTCTCTCTCGCTCGCTCTCTCTGTCTCCTCTGGCTGAACATGCTGTCTCTGCTTGCAAGTGGCTGCCATGTTCTCCGGTGAAGTCGATGGCCTGACGACACTAGTAAATCGGCTGAGTATTTTATAAGATAATGTTGTTGTCAGTGGTGAGAATAGAAGAGAGAATGGGAGAGACAGAGAGAAGAGAGAGAGGGTGGTGCTACTGGCGACAGTTGTTCGCCCTCTCCCGCTAATCCCCACTCAAACATTTGGTCAACATAACCTGTCAACGCCGGCCTAAAAGGCCGTGCTCTTCCTGCGAAGAACAGTTGTGGGCTCAAAACTCGAGTTTCAGTTCCCCCCAAAGGTGGAGTTTTTCACAGGCCGAATCAGCCTGGAAGCTTAGTGCCAGATCGTAAATCGACCGCACGGGGAGATTCCTAGGGTTACCCCGATCGGAGAGGTCCATCGCAGGGATGCTTGCTCCGAGGCGTGGGGCCGAAGCTGTCTCCTTGCTCTGGCCGGAGCTCCTTAGGCCATCCTCTTCCTCCTTCATGATCGGGGGATTTGCAGGTGTTGAGGGTGGATGAGGCCCGCCAGCCTCGCGGCGGGGATTCGTCGCCTGCCGGCATGCCAGGAAGCGGTTCTCGCCCTGTGCCGGCGAGGAAGACTCGAGGAAGCTCTGCGGGCCGTCCGCGTCTGCGACCCTCGCTCGGTGGCTTCCTGCGTCTACTCGTCCCTTCTGCAACTGTGCACCGATTTGAGGGCCGAAAGAGAAGGAAGATCGCTCCACGAACTCATCGCCGCCGCCGCTCGATCGGACTTGTACTTGGAGACGAAGCTCATCATCTTCTACGGGAAGATCGCCGACCCCAACTCTGCCCGGAGAGTGTTCGATGGAATGCCCAGCAGAAGCGTCGTCTCCTGGAGCGCCATGATCTCCGGGTACGCCCGGAAGGGACTGGCAGAGGAAGCATTGGAGATCTTTGTATTGATGCAGCGGGCTGGATCGAAGGCGAACCAGTTCACCTACGGAAGCGTCCTCAGGGCGTGCACGGAGATGCTCTGCATGGGGAGAGGGCAGCAGATTCATGGGCGCATCGCCAAGACCCGATTTGCAGAGAATCCTTTCGTGCAGAGCGCCCTCGTGGATCTTCATTCTAAATGCGGCCTGATCGGGGACGCTAGGAGGCTGTTCGATGAGATCGAGCACAAGGACGTGACCTCCTGGAACTCCATGATCGGAGGATATGCAGTCCAGCGCCGTGAAGGTTTCGCATTTCGGCTTTTCAAGTCCATGTTGAAATATGGTAATCCCCTTGGCCTGCTCTGTTCAATCTGAAATAAATGGCTTGGTGCTCCGGTACGCTGACTTTCGACGCGCCACCGACTGGGCAGGTTTTCTCCCCGATCATTTCACCTTTGCGAGCGTTTTGAAGGCGTGCAGCGGGATTAGATGTCTGGCGATGATCTTCCAGATTCATGTGTTCGTCCTCAAGTCGGGTTTCGAACATCAGGAGCTCGTCGTCGGATCGTTCATCGACGCGTATGTAAAGTGCAGGAATGTTGACTGCGCGAGGCTCTTGTACGATTCTCTCCCGGACAAGGATCTCATCTCATCCACCGCCATGATCACCAGCTATGCTCGTGGAAATGGCGGCGGCGGCGAGGACCCGCTGAAGTTGTTCGCTCTGGTGAATCAGACCTGCGCAGAAACAGACGACGTCATCGTCTGCACCATCCTGAGCGCGTGCGCCAATCTCCTCTCTGTGAGCATGGGACGACAGATCCATGGTTTCACCTTCAAAAAGCTGCCTGGTTACGACGCCGCAGTGGGCAACGCCCTCATCGATATGTACGCCAAGTCCGGGGAACTCGAGGATGCTCGTAGAGTATTTGAAGAAATGCCTCTTAGAAATGTGATCTCCTGGACTTCGATGATCACCGCATGCGGGCGCCACGGGCACGGGAGAGCTGCCCTCACCTTGCTCGAAAAGATGGAGAGCGATGGATGCACGCCTAATGACGTCACTTTCTTGGCCGCTCTCTCTGCCTGCGGCCACGCAGGGTTGACCGACGAAGGGTGGAGATTATTCAACTCCATGGTCGTTGAACATGGGATTCTCCCCAGATCTGAGCACTATGCCTGCTTCGTTGACCTGCTTGCTCGCGGAGGTCGCCTGGAAGAGGCCTACGACTTCGTCCGGAAGATGGCGGCCGAGCCCAGTTCATCGCTATGGGGGGCTCTGCTGGGAGCCTGCAGAGTTCATGGCGACGTATCTCTGGGGGAGATCGCAGCCGTCCGTCTCTTTCATCTGGAACCCGAGAGCTCGGTCAACTACGTCGTTCTCTCCAATATATACGCCTCGGCTTGCCTGTGGGAGGATGCGATGAGCACGAGGAGGCGGATAGATGAGAGAAGCATACAGAAGAGCTGCGGTTACAGCTTGATCCACTCGGTGAGGAAGAGAGAAGTTCCTCTTTTGGAAAATAATTAGGGTTTGAAATGGGTTCCTCTCGTTGTTTCCGTGATGGGTCATGGTGTGGAAAAAGAAGCGGAGAACTTTCGCAGTCAGCTGCATGGACCAATGGAAAAGGTCAATTCTTCTTTTTCTTCTTCAAGCTCTGACTTTCATGCATCGCGAAGGAGAGAGAGATAGAGATAGATAGAGAGAGAGAGAGAGAGAGAGAGAGAGAGAGGAGAGATAGAGAGCTGAAGATCTGTCGAGCCCACATGAGCGTGTGATCATACTGAGCAATGTTTGTGTTAACTTGGGCCCGACCCAGTATGATTCGGGCTTTCATGTTTCCGGCCTTGGGAGCTCTCTCTCTCTCTCTCTCTCTACCCCTGCAAAACCCCTACTCTCCGGCGACGAGCAAAGGCCCTTCACGTCTGCCCTCCCCGGCCGCCTACCAGTTTCTCTCTCCCGAGCAGGCGGGCACTCGTTACCGGACATACCCTGTGCACTGGTTCCCCTGGAGCCTCCGAGGAAACTGGCAGGCGGAGGATGCAGATATTGGGGCAGAAGACGGCTGGGAAGGCCATATACAGCGATAAAAAGAGCAATCTGGCATCGAAACTGTCATCTCCAGGGCCCAAGATGAGAAGGGTACTTGTCCCTCCTCCTTTCCAGCGCTCTCGAGAACGTCTCATGTAGCCTAGAACGACGGGGGCCATCTTCTTCAGTGTTAGTGAGCGGGACAGGGATCCCGCTGGTACAGGAAGGATAACAGTTCAGAGTAAATAATTTGGTTTTGCTATATTTACAGGTATCTTTGGTCCGGTGTATGATGCTCTGCCGACAACAGAATTCACCTCACCCTGCTCTGTGCTCCTGAAGCAGGGGAAGGGATAGCCTCCAGGAGGTAAGCCCTTTGTTCTTCGAGAAGTTATTTGGCTTTCTCGTTCATCTAGAGATGCTGAAGAACATCTTTTTGGATGTTAAAACTGCTTCCCGGAGAGCTCCTGGGAAACCCCGAAATGGAAAGGTTGCTCGTGATCCTCCCCCACCTGCTATTGCTGCTACTGCGGCGATAAGTTTGTATGTGCACGACGTAAAGGCTACAAGTGGAAGGTATGCTCTACGGTTGCCCTTTAATTCATGCCATTTTGTTCCCTCAATTACTGTTTTTTAGAACAATTCGACTGAAAATCGCCCGTCTTTTCTAGTGAAAATGGTACCATTTTTGAGACAACGATGAATCGGAAGAATGGCAAGGTCAGGCGCTGGGAGCTTCAGCATAAGATGCAGGAATGTGCGAGATCGGGAGATCTAAGTGGAGCCCTGAGCTTGCTAGATCTCATGAGCCCACTGGCCATTCTGGACTACAACGCCCTTTTGCACGGTTTCATAAAGTCCGGGCATGCTTCTGTTGAACGCTTGAGGATGCTGTTTGATATGCTGGGAGCATCTGGGTTGCATTCAAATGTCTGGACATTCAATATAATTTTGAATGGGCTGTGCAGATTGGGGCATATAGAGAGTGCTCTCTGGTTTGTGAAGGAGATGTGCAGGCAGCAGTATGTCCCATCTTTCAGCTCCTTGTCCAGATTGATGAAGAAGTCGCTTAGGTCAAATACCTTGGAGACCTCTCTGAGTTTGCTGGACTTGATGCTAAGATTTGGCTATGTCCCTTCTCAATCTGTCCTGTGCTCCCTGATTTCATCCCTGAGCAGAACCAGTAGGATCGCAGAGGCCTATTCCATTTGCTCATTTCTTTTAGCCAGGGGCTTCTGCCCCAGTCCGAACAGCTATAACCCCATTCTTTTCACCTTATGCAAGTCGGGTGAGATACTTTGTGCCTTATCCTTCTTCTGTCTCCTGAGGAAGAAAGGGTGCGCTTGCAATGTTTATTCTTATACAGCTCTGGTCCTCGGGTTTTGCCAGAAAAGACTGTGGAAAGATGCCCATCGGATCCTGGAGCAGATGCAGGAGGAGGGCTGTGAGCCCAGTACTGTGACTTACACGGTGCTTGCCAAGTCTCTTTGCGATGGTGGGCATGTCAAGGAGGCGTTGGGGGTGCTCGATATCATGGCTAGGAGAGGGTGTGATGCAGATTTGGTGATCTACAATGTCCTCATACGTGCGCTTTGCTGCCAAAACATGCTTTCAGAAGTGTGCGAGCTGTTGAGAGCTGCCAATAAGAAAGGGCTCTCTCCAGACTGCTTCTCTTTGTCAGCCTTAACTGGAGGCATTTTGAAAGCGGGCAAAGTGGCTCACGCTCAAGCTTTCTACCTCGATGCTTCTGCCAGAGGTTTCACGGGTGATATTGTCACTTGGAACATTTATCTCCATTGTTTATGCCGTGACAATAAATCAAGGGAAGCCGCGCTCCTTCTGAGAAATAAAATAGGAGAGGGATTTCTACCAAATTCTGTGACGTATAACACGATATTGAGCGGCTACTGCAGGGAGCAGAACATCGATGGGGCTCTCAAGCTGTTGGATCACTTCAAATGGCCGGGTTGCGGACCAGACTTGATTTCCTTCAATACAGTCTTGGCTGCAGCCTGCAAGCAGGGAAATTCTCTGATGATCCAAAAGGTTCTGCATCGAATGGACTTTGCAGGAATTGATCTCGACAGTGTGAGTATTTCTTGCCTTAGTCAGTACTTCTGCAAGATGCGCAGACTCTCAGATTGTCGTGGAGTCCTCAGTTATATGTGCAGCAGCCAAAGTTCTAATAGAATCACGTACAACCTGTTGCTGGGAAGTCTTTGGGAGGAACAGAAGGACTTGGTACGATTCTCTCGAAATGCTGTACACCCAGAATGAAGAGTCTCTTAAACACCGAGGAACCTTCTGAGATGAGACAATCAGGAGGGAAAGGCTGTTCATAACCGGAGGGAATTATAAGGTTCGATCTTCTATGCTCCCCACCATTGTATTAGGAGGACGCTCCACCATGGCGCTTCAACTGTGATGATTGCTCGACAGGCATGTTGAATGGAGATGCTTAATTTTTGCTAAAGCCGTTGACACCGATGGGCCAGCTTCAGTCTCTTAGTATTCCTCCCCCCCCTCTGGCGCAATGACGAACAATAACTTGTCCGAATGGTGATGATCATCCAGGAATGTGCCTATCTTCATCCGGAATCAATCATTTCAGTGATCTCTTGGCGATGACGCCTGCAGGTAACGTACCCAAGTTAAATTGTAGTTCCTCTTTCTAATGTCATAAACTGATCTCTCATTGTCCTCATGTTTTTTTTTTTTTTTTATCCTGAAAAATACCTTTTTTTCTACCTTGTTATGCTGATCGAGGGTGGTGGGTTGGCTGGGTGTAATGGGTTGTCAATAGCCAAGGATTAAAGGGACGAATGGGTTCCGACTATCTTGGTCCCTTGACAATATACCAAGAACTATTTCAATTTCATGTTGGGTTTGGGGTTGGGGGTTGGGAGCAATGAGGGAGCTTTGGGCTCAATTGTGGCCCAACACAAAGCCCCCATTTCATGTCCCATACGCCGATGGCACCAGTCTGTCTGTAGATGGGATTTCAGAGTTCCTAGCCGGTCCCAGCTTGATAGCAGCAGCATCTATTAAGAGCGGAGACAGAAGTAACCTGTGAAGAGATCACGAAGGCTAAAGAGGAGTTGAAATGGACAGCGAGAGGAAGAAAAAGGGGAGTACAGATTAAAGGAAGTATCATTAGATTGAAAAAATAAAATGAATTGTTCAACCACTGTAACCAGCTGAGAAGGTCTACATCTTACCTTATTTACATCTTCATTTGGAAAACTATGAACCATTGTTTACCTCTTAAACATGGCCGTGTTACCAAGAAAAAACATGAGAGAGAGAGAGAGAGAGAGAGAGAGAGGAAAGCGGGGTCTTTGATGAATGCCAGAAAGTTTACTCGATAAAAATGCATTCTTTAAGTTCAGCCTTGTGGTGATTCGATAAAAATGCTTTCTTTAATTGGCTTGATCGTAGGAATTCATGTAGTAATCAGTGACAGGTAGCGGGTCACCCAACCAGTTGAGGAGCAAGGTGGGTAATGGTGGAGGACAGAAGCGACGATGTTAGATGAAGTTAGTGGGTATAGTTGACATTAGATGCATGCTTAGGACGTCATCTTTCCCCTTTCTTACGCCGCCGTTCTTTTCCTCTTGCTATTTTTTTTCTTTTCTTACTTTCTGCTTTCTTTATTTATCTGATTTTAAATGTATAAATATGGACGCATTAGGCATTATATGTTTATTTAATTTCTCACCGACAGATCGTGCGACGTATTCTTGCTTTAGATGAGGAGTCTTCAGTGGCCTGGCGGGAGGGTAGGAAGAAGATAGGATATCACTTCTGGGTCTGATCAGAAGGCACGCTCCTCCATCTATCGGATATGGGAAAGTCAACGAGAACGGATGAGGCTCAAGCTTGTTTAAGGTGATCTGTTCAGGCCCATGATGCGCACTCATGAGAGACAGAAAAGGGGAGAGAGAGAGAGAGAAGAGAGAGAGAGAGGCTTTCTTGTGGATGATCATGACACCGTGAAATGACAGGAGAGAGTTAGCTTAGAGATTAAAAGTTTGACTCTATTAAAAAGTCCAAGCCTGACGCGGTCAGGGCGTCATTTCTTGTTCAGACATGGACTTTATTTTAATTGATCTAAAATATCCTATGAAAAGCCGTCATCTTGCCCAACCCATTGACGTTGATGAACTAAGTATATGCAGTTCGTCTCTATCATGATCTCTTCTGCTTTTCTTTGTCGGGGGGGAGGGGGTTCGGGATCGTCCATCAACCGGCGCGGACGACGAGTGTCCATGGAGAATCCGAGTCTCTGGATGCCAGCGGCAAGAACCCCATTGAAGAAGGTTTTCATTTCCATCAGATCCAAGTGGATGGCTACTGCGGCTGATCCTGGCGTATTAGGTGACCTATCCGCCTGCGACCGTCTGCCCTCCCCATGACACCCAGCACAGCAGATGACCTGGAGAGAGCAGTTCTCTCTGTCTTTCTTCCTCTGGCAGCGTTTGAATCGGGGGCAGGCCACATGCTGGGCACCAGCCCAAGGAAGAGACTAGGGTTCCAAGGATGTGGGCTCGGTCTCAAGATTCGTTTTATGGCTTTGATGAAGCATCTGGGAAGCGGATAGAATCGCCGTCGCGGTCGCCCGTCGTCATCAGACGTCAGTCGCCAAGGTATGTCCTCTCTCTCTCTCTCTCTCTCTAGATTCCTGCCTACATCTCAGCAGGTTGATGAGGGCGACTTCCGCCCTGGAATGATTTGAACACGCAGGGCACGCAATCGAGGGTGGAGTGGTGGCGGTGACGACGCCGGGGGAACTACATACTTTAACAGTTTACTTTTCAGAGGGAGGATTAAATAGGGACATTGGGGGAAGGAGGGAGCGCCACCACCAGTCACGCGGCTGCCCAGCTTCCCCACCGCTCTCTTCCCCAGGTTCTATCCGTTGCGGCAACCCCTCATGAGCCGTGTCATTTTGAACGCCGAGAAAAGCTCCTCAGCGGAGAGGAGGTAGACGGGGGCACCCACTCGCCTGGTAAATCCTTCTCCCTCTGTGTGGAGTTGGGAGGTTCGAAAAGGTAAATCTATTCTTGCCCAGCGGCGCCGGCTATGGCAGAGGTGCTCCTCTCGCCGTCTCATATCCCCTCCTCCTCTTCCTCGTCCTTCTCCCCCGGAGGCGGCGGGGAGTTGAGCTCGTCGCCGGCGGGGAGAAAGGGGCGGCGGAGGAGCGGCGGTGGCGGTGGCAGTGGCGGAGGGAGGGAGAAGGTGGAGGAGGACCAGCTTTCTCTATTGACGCTGCTGGTGGCAGCGGTGAGGAAGTCCCTGGTCGGGTGCCGGAAGGACGGCGGAGACGAGCTTCAGTCCATGGAGATCGGGGGGCCGACCAATGTCAGGCACCTCGTCCATGTCACCTTCGATCGGTTCCATGGGTTCCTCGGATTGCCGGTGGAGCTCGAGCCCGAAGTCCCCCGGAGGCCGCCCAGTGCCAGGTAATTCCTCTCCTCTCCTCTCCTCTCTCTCTCTCTCTCTCTCTCTCTCCCTCCTGTCTCTCCCTCTCCCTCTCTCTCTCTGCTCGCTGGAAAGATTTCATCTTCTTTCCCATTCAAAGCAATTTTCTTCATGAAACATCTATGTAGCTGCTGGCAGCTTACCCCAGCTGTTCTCTCTCTCTCTCTCTCTCTAGCTGAGATCGGATTATTGACCAGAATTTGATAGATCTCTTGATTTTGATCGTCGAGCAGTGCGAGTGTGTTCGGGGTCTCCACAGAGTCAATGCAGTGCTCTTACGATCCTCGGGGAAACAGCGTGCCCACTATTCTGCTCTTGATGCAGCGCCGTCTGTATGAACACGGAGGCCTGCAGGTGCGTTGACTTAGCCCAAAAAACTCAACTTTTCCTCCCTGGGGGGAAATCATCCGCTGACCATCTGGGTATGATCCGATCTCCAGGCGGAGGGGATATTCAGAATCAACGCCGAGAACAGCCAGGAAGAGCACGTACGGGGTCAACTCAACAGCGGCATCGTCCCCGACGACATCGACGTTCACTGCCTGGCAGGGCTAATCAAGGTACCCTCCCTCTCCTACCCCAAACCCTAACCCTAAGCCGAACCCTGATCTCTGGTTCTTGAGATGCTTCCGTTGCAGGCTTGGTTCAGGGAGCTGCCATCGGGGGTGTTGGACCCGTTGACTCCGGAGCAGGTGATGGCGTCCCAGACAGAAGATGACTGCGCCGCCTTGGCGAAGCTCCTGCCGCCGCCGCAGGCGGCTCTGCTGGACTGGGCGGTCAACCTTATGGCCGACGTCGCCCAGCACGAGCTCCACAACAAGATGAACGCCCGCAACGTCGCCATGGTCTTCGCCCCCAACATGACCCAGGTGATCAGGAATCTCCATCTCTCTCTCTCTCTCTCTCTCTCTCTCTCTCTCTCTCTCCTCTCTCTCTTACTCGTTCGTCTTCTTCCTTGCTGATTCAGATGGCAGATCCTCTGACGGCGCTCATGTACGCCGTCCAAGTGATGAACTTGCTCAAGACCCTGATCTTGAGGACGCTCAGAGAGAGACAGGAGGCTGTGCCGACGGCGGCGGCGGCGGCCTTGCCTTCCGGGCCCTCCGACGAGGATGACCAGAATGGGGCTCATCTCCCCATTGAGGGTGCTTCAGCCCATGAGGGAGGACAGAGCGAGCCGGCCTGCAGCCCGGATGAAGCAGTCTTAGAGAAGAAGAAGAAGAAGAAACCAAGGAGAACCAGCTTGAATCCCAGGAAAGGAGCCAAGAAAACAACTGGGCAAGCTGCTGCTGCTGCAACCACCACCCTCCTCACAAAGAAGTCCAAGGAGGCCACCACCAGCATTGTGAGCCGGATAAACCCTAGAATCGAGCGAGCAGAGGCATGGCGTTGACTTTAGCCAACACTCTAGCTCCGTGAAATTCCTCACCGCAGCATTATAGCCTCCCACTGGCATGATTGTTATATGTTGAACCGCATCTTAAACTACCAAAAGTGGCAAATTTCACCGATCATGTGAAATTTTCCGTCTCTGTAATTCATACTTACTGCAGGAGTTCTTACTAGAACTGCAGATATGGGAAGCATTCAGCTCAAGGTGACCCCGCTGGGGAGGGGCGGCGCCGCCATCAGGCTTGCCGACTGCCGTCGAGCGTCAAGAGCGCCTTGTATAGATCTGGCCGGCGGTCCCTGAAGACCCCCCAGCTGTGCCTCTGAGATCTTATCTTCTCCAAGTTGAATTCGGCCGTCAGAACTGCCTCATCCTTGTCGCCAGCCAGCGCCAATATTTCCCCATTCGGCCCTGTTCTTGGCAGCATCAGCCGGCAGAATCCGAAAGAATATCTAGATGAATTTAATTCAATAAACCCATGTGGGATGGTATGAACGGCGCGCACCAGCTATAAACGAATTGCCATAAAAGGTGATGGTGCTGTTCCCGTGCTCCGTTCTGATCGTCTCTCTTCCCACCCGGTTGGAGGCCACAAGGGGGACCTGATGGAGTGTAAAAAGTCAATTACCATGAGTAACACGTTGACCTTTAAATTCCCAACTCTTTAGCAGCAAGCACCGGGGTGAGGGGAATTGCCAGATTTGCCCCGGCGTGACCCTGCATCACTCGCTTCCAATGCTCCCGGGAGTCAAGGTTCTGGTCCTGCGGTTCTGATCCAATGGCCGTCGGGTAGAGCAGGATCTCAGCACCCTGGAGAACCATAGCCCGGGCGGCTTCGGGAAACCACTGGTCCCAACAGATCGCTGGTAAAAATGTAATTTTTAGGAGAATCTTGTCAGAAAGTTGGGAAAAGTCAACATGGGCGAACCCAGTGTAGTAATAATGTAATTCACCAAAAGTCAACTCACCAACACCAATCTTGGCAAACCTGGTATCGAAAACCTGCGCGCTCACTTATTAGTCCAGAAATCCGACCATGTGAGAAACAATCATCGACGAAAGAAGCATGCAAACAAGGGTCAAACCTTGAAGCCTGTGTCGCCCGGGTTAAAGTAGAACTTTTCTTGATAGCCTGAGGATTTATCCCACGCGGATAATTTTTATATACCAGGAAATATAAGTGAAGGGTCCTTCGAATCTATTCAAAACCAACAACAGAGTTCTTACCTGGACCATCCGGAATATGCGATTTCCGATATAATCCAAGATCGGCTCCATCAGCATCAACCATAGCCACAGAATTGTAGTGAGCATTATTAGCTTCTTCAAAGAAGCTAACGGGGATGACCACACCCAGCTCCTTTGCCAGTTTCTGCATCCTGTCAAGTACATTCAATGATGTTACGGCGGCTAAGTACAGAGTTCTTCCCGTTCAGTTTCCGGGAAAATTATGGAACATCGAAGCCTGTGATTAGAGCTCTTCCCACCTAATTATTGTGGGGTGCCCTTTATAAGGTTTCGCCCGCTGAAAGAAGTCCTCCCTCTGAGCTTGGCAAAAATAGTAGCCTTCAAACAGTTCCTAATGAAGTTAAGCCAGAGGATTGGAGATGAGAGAACACCCTTTTTGGCCAAGAATCGTGGGCAGCATCTGATGGAACCCATCTATGAAGCATGAGCATTCAGTAGGAGCATGGGAAGGCATTCCAAGGGCGGTCCCCAGCTTTTTTGGAGCATGAAAGTGTAATCCATGAACGTGATTTAGAACATGCATTTCCATAATTGAAGGTCGGAACCTCGCCCCCCTCTGGTTGTGGGGGGGATTAGCCATCCGACATTGTCGTTGAAAAATGTCTCAAAAATGATGATCAGACTTCGATGACGGAAACTAGTTATGGAAACAATTAAGAAGCTGGCAGGTGCCGTCATCATGCTCGTTGTCGAGGATATTGCTTTCATTTTCTCATTTACCTGAATGAGGATTATGTTTGCACCCTTCTCATGAGCAGCCCGGACCAGCCTGCAACAAAAAGAGATATGAAGCTATAACTTTACAGCTAGATGGACAGTCGTAATCAGATTTCCAAGCAAGAACCTATGGTCATAAAATCAAATCGAAAGGATGATCAAAGAGGGAGCCGGGAAAGTCAGGTGAGGGCATATTTGACAAGAACAGCATGAACTAGAAATAATCAAAACCCAACACATCAGCATCACGGATGCGCTGTCATCTTGAACAATTGCACTGGCAGTTCACAATATCCACCCACCCAAGCCTTTCATAGGCCGCTCCTCAATTTTTCTCTATCATCCTAATAGCTAACAAAACCTGGTGGTAACATCACGGATATGCAAAAGCGTCTGAAAACTTTTTGGGAAGAGAGATAACTCAAGGCGAACAAGTAGAAGATGAGTTATGCCAGGTAGGGAAGATCAATCGTCGTTTCCACAGAGTGTTTTTATATAGTCTAGTCATAACCACAGCCCCCGCATCATCTGCGCCTTGTTTTCTCCCCTACCGATCCCGCGCTGTTCAACTACAAAGAATCCAAGGATAATACAGAGAGAGAGAGAGAGAGAGAGAGGTAAGAGCGATCTTCATTTCCACAGCGTGTTTCCAGTTAACCTAGTCATGACCACAGCCCTCGCATCATCTGCGCCCTGTTTTCTCCCACCGATCCCCCCCTGTTCAAACACAAAGGATCCAAGGAGAACACCGAGGGAGGGAGGGAGGGACCTCTCCGCAGTGTCGACATTCTCGGAGGCGGAGTCGGAGCAGGCGAATTGGAGGGCGGCAAGGACCACCTTCCTCTGGCCCGCTCCTCCATCCATCTCTGCTCGACGGAGAGAAGGCTGCGTTCGATTTGGCCTGTAGTTACCCTCGCGGGAGCCGGAGGCTGGGCGATATCTTCTAGCACCGAAGACCCACTTACGGCCACAGCTATTCGGATCCGGTCTCGCGGAGCGGATCTGGAGCAGATCAAGCCACTGGTCGCGAGAGTACGCGGATCAAGCGTCGGTTCGGATCAGAGGAATGTGCGAAGGAGCACCTGGTCGATCCACGTTCTCATGAAGAAGATTCAGAAGAAGCGGGAGAAAATGAAGAATAGATGAAGCCACTGACTTTTCTACAGAAGTCAAAGAACCAGTGTTCTATCTGCATACTGCCCAGTTGACTTCCGACTCATCACGATAATACCGAGTTGCCAATTCCCACGACAGAATAGTTTGAGGGCATAAGTGAGAGAAAATCCAGCATCCCTTCTGTTCTGAAAAGTCCTTGGATAGACCAAGCATACCTACCGCTTGGGGTCAACACCCCAGCTCACTGCGAACACGGGGACTTGCAGCATTTCAGAGCAGAGACCGCTGCTAAAAGATCGAGAGGAGTAAGAGAGAGGAGAGAGAGAGAGAGAGAGAGAGAGAGGGGAGGAGCATTGGACACATTCTCCATGCCCCTTCCTTCTCTGATAGCAGGTGTTGTTGAATGATAAATGATCTAAAATAGTGAAGATGAAGAACAAGAAGAAGAAGTTATGCGAGCTTCGTCAACCTGATTATATGAGTAATTTGTCGAGAAATATTCAGTCCTTGTTCATGGGTGTTGAAACCCAATCCCAAGGCTGTTGATCTAATGGTCCGAGTACCCAATAGAAACATAATCACAAATTTATTTCTGTAGACAGGAGAATCCATTTCTCACATCCACCAAATGTCATCCCACATCTACCATTCTCCTCCCAATGTTTGAAGAACAATGGCATCAGATCAATGAAGGGCGGAGCACTGGACACATCCTCCATGCCCCTTTCCTTCTCTGATAGCGCGTGTCGTCGAATAAGAAGTGATACGAAATAGCGAAGATTCACTGGGCGAATCAATAGCCGGGCTTCACCCCATTTACTGCCGGCGGAGACCCTCTGATCCTCTTCACGTAGGCCACGTAGTCGCTGTAGTGCATGGTGTAGAGCGTGCTCTGATAGCGGGTCACTCGAACGCGCCGGCGCAGCGACTCGGTGATGGAGCCATTGAAGCCTGCTTTGCGCATCAGCGAGTCAATCGTCTCCACTTTTGTCCACCCTGCGAGAGCAACTGTGAGGACCCCAAACAAAGAGCAGAGACCGACCCCCTCCTTCTCCACCAACCCATGTTTACATAGCCAGCATATGGTACCTTCATTAGGATGATACATTAATGGCGGCATGCATACCTTCATGGGCTGCCACTTCGGGCAAGTAGGTGGCGCTGCGCCTTGAATTGTAATCCGGGTCAGTGAATTCGATGATCAGACCATGCTTTCCAACCTGCAGATACAGGGCATCATCCACTTTGATCATGAAGATGCCATCACATTAAGAGAGCAAACAAAAGAGTTATGGAAGATAACAATGATCTCAGATACATCAGTCATTTATTGTTTCTGCCTTCAGATCATGGCTAATATGATGTGTACCTCCCAATCAAGGTAGTGGATAGCGACTTCGTAATCAGTTAGAATGGAAACTGTACACTCCAAGTGAGGTAATTCTTTAGCCTGTATGGGAGGGAAGCGCCTGTCCTTCAGTGCACTGTGACATGGCATAGAAGATCATCAGGTGGAATTCCAGAAACGCTCTCGACTGAACTGAGCAAAGGATCAATCTCGTGTTATACGTAAAATCTAGAGAAAATAAGGATGAATCAACAGAAGAACGTGAAAGCAATAATAGATGCAGATGCATGAGAATGACTCTCCATTATGGAAAATTAGGTAGATACCAACCGATGTTGCTAGGGGAATACGAACATTCGATCTCGTGTTATATGTAAAATCTAGAGAAAATAAGGATGAATCAACAGAAGAACGTGACAGCAATAATAGATGCAGATGCATGAGAATGACTCTCCATTATGGAAAATTAGGTAGATACCAACCGATGTTGCTAGGGGAATACGAACATTCGTTCATAGGTAATGAACAGAATGAAATGGAGAGATTTTCGCACAGATGAAAAACAGAAAAATGCCCTCTAGAGAGATTGATTAAATGCCCATACTTATGACATTTTTGCATCTCTACAATGCATTGTCACACACCAAAGAAAAAAGAAAAGAAAAGAATATTGCTCTTTTGGTGGCGAGGATAACCTTAGCTGGGGCAAAGAAAGCCTCAGAGAGGGCTGGATACCTGCAACTCATCCCGGATCATTTCGGGCTTCAGCCTCAGGCTGGTTTCTACCACGAGCTCTACTTCATGAGGTGAGCAACATGTATTCACGTTTTAATTTTATAGTACATAAAGCTGTTCGTCTAAAAATCGACTCAGAATCTATTTACCTGGTTAAAGCATAGTCTCTGAAACCAGTGATCAAGGCACGGGCTTCTAAAGTGCCAATGCATCCACGCAATCGAGGCTCTGTGCCATTGATTGCTTTCTTCCAAGTGACAAACAATGGGCTGCAATCAGAGGTAAACATGATGCGAGGAACATAAGATAGCCATAAAGAATTTCAGTATATAATTTGAAGAAACTTTATGAGCATTTTTCTCTTGTTCTACCAATTTCAATTCGCTCAAGAGTAGTATGCATTTAACTAGTTATAAGTACCAACGTAGAAAGTGCTAAATATTGGCAAGCTACGATCAATAATTATTGAACAGGAACCAGTGACAATGGAAAACACATAGCTTTGGCCTATAAACCCAATATCATGGTTAGGCAATCTTCAACTCAGCACCCTACAATGGAAACATTCATGGTTTTATCCTACTTTCTTCTAATAAATCTTCCAGGAACCACATGAGATGAGCTTCAGACCAACGAAAACGCAAACCACATCGGAATGGGAATATAATAGTCCCCACGTAGAACAAAAAATACTCAGATGAAACCCTACACGACTGAACTTCCCAAAAACGTTATGAAACCGCAGGAAAATAAAACTGATAGCGAATGCAAAAGCGGGTGGATGGTCAAAAAAAAAAAGAAGGTGTAAAATTAAATGAATCAAAAATTCAAAGAAATGGGGATATGAGAAAGAAATAATCTGATACTTTGTCGGATTCTGGAATGACCAAAATCCAAATAACGTACCAAGAACCAGCAATTCACTGACCAGGCGATGTGGAATTCCAACCATAAAAAAAGATGAAAATCTTCGTGGACAAAGCCGAATGAAACATGTGGAGGAGGGAAGAAGCCGATTTATCATGCAATTATCATTTACTTTTAAATCGCCCCAGACCACTTAAAACTGATTACCATGAAAAAGAAGAAAGTATAAAAATCAAAACACAGCCACAGGCCCATCTGGAAACCCGTCGATCAAAAAATTGAAGTCCTCCAAAAGCGAAACGAGTCCAGCCCGACGAAGCATGATCAGAAGGAAAATGAGTACGATACGTGGGAGGACGATCGGGACTCTTACTGCTGGCCCTCGTCGAAGGCCGGGGGAGGGGTCTCCTCGCAGTTGTAGTGGGCGACGAGCGTGTCGAAGCAGTAGACCGCCATTTCCCGATTAGCGGATACCATTTTCACCACGAGAAATGGGGCTCACCACTCCGACGGTAAGGCGAAGGAGAACCAAAGCACCCCCTACCGGCGCACAAGGATCCACCCACGGCCGAACACAGCCCCCAGAAGCGAGGAGGAGAAGACTATATCGCTCCCCCGATATCTCGGAGGAGGAAGGGGAAGGAAGGAGCTCCTGCTTCAGGCCGAGAGAGAGAGACAGAGAGAGAAAGAGAGAACTTTTGACGGAAGGAAGGGGGGGGGGGGATGCGCTTTATTCCGGATTTTTGAGGAGTCACACATGGGGATACATATTTCCGAAAATATACATAAAATATAAATAATACCCGATGTACCCTCTCCTCGGCCGATGGCGGTGACGATATCTGGGAATCCCTCCTATCCGCAACTATCGTATATAGAAGTTCATGTTTCTCACGCGACAACCTAACCTCGCTGACGCAAGCTAATATTTGGCCGGTAACCTCACCTCCTGGTGAACACGTATCGTAAGAAAACTCGTGCGCCACGCGGACTCCCCACAGACCCATCTGCGGGGAATAATATGATAGGGGTATTTTTGGTGTTTAAGGGAGAATGGGGGGCCGTACTGGAGATCGCAAACGTCGCCTTATTCGCCGTCTATTCGACGGCTTTGTTCCTATCACGCTTTCGGACCGGCCCGCCGACCGGGCCGAACCGGTGTGACTGTTGAACCAGTGATGACGTGGCAGATTGGGGGGGGGGGGGGTTCGCTTTTTCTATCTTATCTTTTTTTTTCAGAAGCTCTCTTCCATCGCCTTCCTCACTTCCCCTCGCTCTCTCTTTCCTTCCACTCCGAGCTCCCGCCATCCACCGTTGCCACCATGGAGGCGATCCTCGCTTCCTCCACCGTGACGGCGGCCCCGTCCTCCTTGTCCTCCCCCCGACGTTGTCTCTTTGCTGGAGGGGGCTCTGGCGATCGGAGGAGTGCGGGGGGGGCGAGATTCTCTTCCTCCTGTACCTGGACCGGCGCGACCCTCGCAGTAGGATCGTCGGTTTCACTGGGGAGCCAGTTCACGGTGAGTCTGGCTGGCAGGAGCTCATTCTTTGGTGGAAGTCGGATAAGGATGCCGTTTTCTTTTCTTTGTTCCTTCGTGGTATAAGGATTTTATGATTCGAGAACTTGTTGCTTCGTTTCTCCAGAGGGAGACGTGGGATTGGGTGCATTCCAAGTCCCGGAGCATTGAAAATGGGAACAAGAATGGACTCTACGTGAAGGCGGAAATGTTTGGGCAGCTGACGGGAGGCCTTGAAGCTGCCTGGAGCAAGCTTAGAGGCGTAGGTACGAATCATCCGACCACATTACTCCTGTCGGTTTTTTATCATGGCTTATTTCTTTGATGAAGATTATGCAAAGATGGAATAATTTGTGCTGACGATTGTATTCATATTCCTTTGATCCTCGACTTAGTTTTCTTCTGTGTGGTGTGTCAGATGTTTTGACAAAAGAGAACATAGCAGAGCCCATGCGTGATATCAGGAGGGCTCTCCTAGAAGCTGATGTGAGTTATAGTTTCCTCGTCAAAAGTTTGCGACACTTTTCCTTAAGTCCATTCCCATGTGTACTGACTCTCTCATGAAATTGATGCATTCAGGTAAGTCTACCGGTCGTGCGGAGATTTGTACAGTCTGTCAGTGACCAGGCTGTTGGTGTCGATCTCATTAAAGGGGTGAAACCCGATCAGCAGTTGGTGAAGGTGGGACAAGCGCTTCACACTTCGTACTAGAATTCTACCCCTGCAATCTGGGTTCTCCTAGATTGGTTTATACATTGCGTGGTATTAATTGTTTGCATGTCTGCGTGCGAACTACGTAGGTTTTTCAGTTTTTTGTTCACTTACTTAAAATACTAGATCTGTTCGTCTTTAGAATTTTCACTTTCAACACTTGACAGGTTAAATACTTATGCCAAAAGGCACATACTATTTGATATAGTCGGGAATGTCTACTCAGTTTCTGCTAACATCTTGTAACTCGGATGGTTTGCCCAGCTTAGTCTGATCCGCGCAATAAATGTGAACAATGTTTATAGTTTATAGTTGGTGTCTTAAGAGAGTGAGGTCCTAATGCTGATTTTTATGGTACTTTATACAGAAGCTTATGGCTGGCCACTAACTTTCTTTCCAACTGCATTTTACAGATTGTTCACGATGAGCTAGTGGGACTGATGGGTGGAGACGTATCAGACCTAGTGTTCGCAAAAACTGGTCCCACAGTAATATTGTTGGCAGGGCTGCAAGGTGTTGGGAAGACCACCGTTTGTGCGAAGCTTGCATTCTACCTTAAGAAGCTGGTGGTGTCATAACCGAAGAAATTAAACCCATTATAATCTCTATTTTTGTGTCTTATTTACCAATACTAACATGTGCAACACAGAATTCAGGGGAAGAGCTGCATGCTGGTTGCTGGGGATGTGTACAGGCCTGCTGCGATTGATCAACTTAAAATTTTGGGTGAACAGGTATTTCTGAGTCTCAGTTTTTCTACCTAGGTAGTGGTTGCCTCGACCTTGGAAGTAACATTATCTTCCACGCTCCATTAGTTTCTTTTGTAATGAAATTCTGTGTTATGTTCATTATATGCTCAATAGTGGAATATCATTGATTTTGGCGATTCGCAAGTTTAGACAGATTTCACTAACGTTCAAGAAATTTAGTCGTCCCAATTTATATGTTTAAATAGTAATTATTGTGTATTTGATGAACTGGATGTTATTTCTACATACGTATGTCAAAAAAGGTTACTGTGATTTCTATGTTAGACATATATAATAGGGCTTTTCTGCTGACGTTCACTTGTGGCATTTGACAGGTTGGTGTCCCTGTTTACGCACCAGGAAGTGAGTTAAAGCCAGCACAGATTGCAAAACAAGGCCTTGAAGAGGCCAAAAAGACGATGACTGATGTGGTCATAGTAGATACCGCTGGAAGGCTTCAGGTTTTTAACATCTGCTTTGTTCATTTTTTTTAATTTATTCTTCACTTTTTTTGGTCAGTTCCGTTTCCACATGGATATACGCAAAACTCTGACCTAGTAAATCTCTTATTATTTCTTCATAGTAAACCAAAATGAAGAAAAAATAAATAAATATTGGAATTGGAAAAATAGTCAAGAGTAGCATCAGGAAGTTGATAACCCAAATGATAGTGATGGGAGCTTATGCGCAGCATTGTGCTCATTTCAAATTGTGGAAAATAATGTCATTTCTTATGAAAAGTTGTTCATCTGGAAGTATGCAATATGAACTATCTGGAATTTACATTCACTCATGGTCTACATCCTATGGTTTGGTTTTTGAGAGGGCAGGATTTTCGTCCAATTGTCTAAGCTATAGACTGTCCGATTGGATTTTGAACTCCCAACTAATGAAAAACAAAAATGGAAAGCATGTTCAGGAACAAAAGTGGGTCTAAATATAAATAAGTGGCATTTTAGGATAACAAATGAAGCCATGTTAGACTTTCCCCTGGGATATATATCCATTGCAATCTCCATTATACTGTGGTACATTGGTGATCTGCATCAAGATCATGGAAATTTGTACATTCTTATATGGTAGACAGGATAGACATCTCTCATCGGCTTTGTACAACCTAAGCTTTATTAATAGCATGAGTCCAAAAAACATCCGTGACAAATCCTCAGTATCCACGTGAACATCATTATGGTGTACTCTAGAAAAATTGATGTCGATTGATAGTGTAAAAATTTGTAATTTCTTGCACCTAGTTCCTTAATATCAACTTCTCATGCTTCTCAAGCAATTTGGATCGTTGTTTGTTGAAGTCTCAGCTATGGAACGTTGACCAGTATAAAAATTTTAGATACTTTGAAAATGTACACGCATCCATGCTTACAACTTGATTGTTATAGTCCGTCTTTTCTTTCTGTTATCTAGTGTGTAGTTTATTCCGGTTCATAGTGCTCCTATTAATTCTAATTTTATCTCCTTTGCAGATAGACAAAGGAATGATGGATGAGTTAAAGGAAACAAAGAAGGTTCTGAACCCAACGGAAGTGTTGCTTGTTGTTGATGCAATGACAGGTCAAGAAGCTGCAGGTGATATTTCTCTACTTGGAAATCACGGATTCTAATTTGATATAAAATTATAGGTATTTAATGCTACTTTTCCTTGCGAAAATAGTGGATGGGATCAAATATAGGTATAAAATTATAGGTATTTAACAGCTAATATTTTTGGAATGTTCTCCATAGGTGTAGCAGCTATAATTTTTTTCTTATTTAACATGCTCCTGTCTTCATATTCTTACAGCCTTAGTTACAACATTCAATCTTGAGATTGGGATTACGGGTGCCATATTAACAAAGCTTGATGGTGACTCAAGAGGTGGTGCAGCTCTAAGCATTAAAGAGGTATGACTTTTCCATTTTCACCTTTGTATCCACTTGTTATAGATCCTTTATTAGCTGTTCTCATTGTTACTGTTCTGTCAGGTATATTTGATGGTATGAGACTCATTCTGATAAACAACATTTTATGGATGAACATATTAGATGGAAAGTCCACTGTGATACCCATGTCCGTGAACTTGAAATAATTATAATTATGTTTCTGATTGTTGCCTGGACATGGCATTAGGATTAAACTATTCTTTTTGCGATTTGTTTCCTCTTGTGTTTGGTTATAAATATCCAAAGTGCAAAACGATTAAACAGTTAGGCTGTTGGCCATCAAGTTATGATTTTAATATGCTCATGCTTCCTCAGTAATCAACACTTCTGAGTTCACTTCTGAGTTTTCTTTGGCATTTGGGAAGACGCATCTAGATAGTTAGACATGGTGTTGAGCACTTTCATGTCTGAAGAAAACAGGGTAATCAAATTTTAGGACGATCAGTGAGCTTTTTCTTTGTTAAAGGCAATGTTCGATTTCACGGTAATAGTCAATGTATCGACTCTTATGCACATTCTTTAAGCTATCCACTGCTAAGAAAGTTACGCCGGCCAAACTCTGTTTCTTGGACGAAAATTAGACCTTTCTAGGGGTCTATCTATTTTAGTGAGTTTAGAAGACTAGACGATGAAGGATTATAGTAACCAATGTGAGAGTGATAAAAATTGTGTGCTTAGCATTCTATACAGGTAATAAAGTTTGCGAAATTAAAGTATATGAAATAGAAATTTCATTTTCCTTATTTATATTGTTTGGGAGTGGTGGACATGGTTTCTCTCAGGTGGCACTCAAAAAGAAAATTCCAGCCGCAGAAAAGTTCTAAGACCTAAGAAAGTACTGGGAAAATGCTTTTAATACACAAACCAATTGCTTATTTAAGTTAATTGTGAATATTGGCAGGTATCCGGGAAGCCAATTAAGCTTGTAGGACGAGGAGAACGTATGGAGGATCTCGAACCATTTTACCCTGATCGCATGGCTGGACGCATTCTAGGAATGGGGGATGTTCTTACGTTTGTTGAAAAAGCCCAAGAAGTTGTAAGTGTCTGTTACTTCTGAGGTTTGTCTCGTTGTCCAGAGTGTCGCAGTCAAATCCTGACGATGATTATTTTCTATACCAGATGAAGCAAGAAGAAGCTGAAGATCTACAAAAGAAGATTATGAGTGCGAAGTTTGACTTCAATGACTTCTTGAAGCAGACCCGTGCTGTTGCACAAATGGGTTCTATGAGTCGTGTAATTGGAATGATTCCTGGCATGGGAAAGGTGATATTCCTGCCCTCCTTGTTTATTTTATTTTATTTTATTTGGACCCCCTATCTGTCCATTTAGCCATATGACAATCGATGATATATTAACAATTCATTTTCCTTGTTCATGATACTGATAGGTAACTCCATCTCAAATTCGTGAGGCAGAGAGAAACTTAAAAGAAATGGAAGTAATGATTAACGCAATGACTCCAGGTTTGTTCTTTATTCCCTATTTCTATGGAATATTTCGTGGTCCAATAAACTTCCAAGCAGTCTCTCCTGGCCAGTCATTACGTCTTCTGTGTTAGAAAATTATTAGTTTAATTTCCTAGCTTTGCCAACTTTTTAAAATTTTGTTGGAAACATCATATGCTCATCATCTGCCAGTAAAAACAAGACAACACTGATTCTTTATGATCCCCAAGTGAACATCTACATTTGAATTTATCGATAATAAAAAAAATCAATCATTTATTGTTGTTCGTTGACCCAAGGACCCAATAGGCTTTTAAAATTATGGACACTGATTCATCTCATTAATAAGAGCCTTTCAAAATATCTTCAAGTTCTGTTGAAGCCAGTTCATTACAGTCAACTGTGCCTGCTGTCGGATGACTGTAATAGCAAGTCGAGCCTTTCAGATGTATCATTTCAAACAAATGCAATAGGCATGGTGGTACAGCTTCATACCAAAAAGGAAATGGATATTGTAGATCAAGAACGAGAACTAATGATCTCCCCCCCTTAGTAGTATCACCTGTATAGGCATCCGACTAAACGTCACTTGTTATCATGGATTGCCATTTATTTATTTCTCATCTTCAATTGAAAGCTTTATGCTTCTCACTCTCTGTCGTTTCTTAATCAAAAGAGGAAAGGGAAAAGCCGGAATTGTTAGCAGAATCACCAGCTAGGCGAAAGAGAGTTGCCACGGAATCAGGGAAACCCGAGAAGCAGGTATACATGGAAGCAATGATTCTCAACTCTGTTGATAAGTTTCTTAGATAATAATAGCGGAAGAAGACTAACTATAGGTAAATTTCTCCTGCATTGAGTGTACCAGGTAGCCCAACTCGTTGCCCAACTCTTTCAAATGCGTGTTCGAATGAAAAATTTAATGGGAGCCATGGAAGGCGGCTCCATCCCCGCATTAAGCAATCTAGAGGAGGCCCTTAAGTCTGAACAAAAGGTTGGGTTTCCTCTCTCGCTTGCCGTAAATCATTTCTGTATTTTATATGCGGCTGGATTTATTTTTATTTTGATTTCTTAAAGTATCTGTATCTGTTCTTGTAGAATTTATGTTAGTTGCCATGCAAGCTGGTATCGCAGAGGCAAATTAATTATCTACACTCTGTCTCATGCTAAGTCCAAGATTAATTACCCCTACTCTGCTTCGTGCATCTACCTAGAGGACAATCTTGCAACAGTACCTCCACTGCTACTCTTTAGTTGAATCCACTGTTCATCATTGTCTGAGAAAAGGTTGAATCCCATAGTTCCCCAGTCTGGCTGAGAATTCCTGTTCTGTGGAGGGGCGGATGCTCAGAGATTGAGAAGTGATGAAGGGGGGGCTGTTCTGTATGATTTTTTTTAATTTCTTTCTAAACTAAGATTCATCCTTCTTGTCTGAAGTATTTAATTAGTCTTAAAAGGCATAGAAAAACATTCTATTTTTGGCGAAATATTTTCAAATTATATAAATCAGGAAAAAAGTTGGCCTTCGAAAGCACATCATTAGATGAGTCGCTTCCTCTCCCATATGCATTCACGGAGGAATCTGAAGATCCTGTTTATGTGATCTCTAATCATCTTCATCTCCATCAGGCGCCCGCCGGCACTGCAAGGAGGAGGAGGAGATCAGACTCTCGGAGACAGTTTGCAGATTCGGCAGCTTCAAGACCGAGTCCTCGTGGCTTTGGGGCCAAAAACTGAGGGCCCCCCGGGCTTCACTCATGCGGCCTCGAACACACCGGCAAGCTCCGGTTGCCCTCAGTGAGCCTCTCTCTCTCTCTCTCTCTAAGCAGATAACCATGAATGGAAGGGAGAGCTGACAGGGGGAAGTTCTTTCTTGTTTCACAAGGGGGGAGGGGGAGTGGGGTGGCGTTGGAATTGAGCTGGGTTCCGTGGGCTTGCCTGCCGACCAACTTCGGAGCTGGGCCCCTCTTTATCTTCTGCGAACCAGATAGAGTCGCTTGTTTTCGGGTGAATTCTTCTCTCTCTCTCTCTTCCCGGCTGATCTTTTTATTTCCAGAAGGTCAGTCAGCTTAGACCAACTCGATCATTTGAAGGCTCCTCTTGATTATCATTTTGCTTTTTTGAAATCTCATTCGTTATTCTTATTTTACTCGATTATGGGTTTTTCTTAATGATTAAAACCCATGCAACCCATGCAAGATGAGGCACAGAAGAGAGAGAGAGAGAGAGAGAGAGAGAGAGAGAGAGGGAGGGATACGTGGTACCAAGAGACTGGCTTACCGGCGACGTCGCCGCCTCCGCCGCCACCTTCTGCCGGCCCCTCTAATCGCAAAATGCGGGCGGAGGAAGCTTAGAGCCTTCCGGGCCCAGCCAAGCAGCCGCCCGCGAGCTGCACGAGGAGGCCCGCCGGAAAACTTCCAGGCTCTCTGAATGTCCCGGTTAGAGCCCACGATAATCACGTTAGAAATCTCCTCTGTTTTTTCCGATTAACCTAACGTCCTCTGGCATTGCTCCGGTGAACTGTGTCCACGATTTTATTTCATTTTTGATCTTATTCGCATGTAACCAGCAGAGATGAGAGGAAGTCAATGGGCTCTGAAAATTATGAACGCAGTGGGTGTGGTCCTGGCCAAAACCTGAGTTCAGTGATGCAAAAACAAGGCAGTTCCCTCGTCTCTGCTCGTCAATACCTTCTTTTCTTCCTCTTTTGCTGCGATTCATCGTCAGCTGAAATTCGCCGGAGCAGGAGGAAAGCCGAGAGAGAGAGAGAGAGAGAGAGAGAAGACCCTGGCAGTTGACTATGGCATGCTTAAACTCTCCTGACGTAAATGCAAGGCTTCTTCACCTTTCTTCGCTTTCTAAAACCACCCCAGTATGCATCTGTATATATCTGCCAGCGCCCGCCATTTCTTCCTTTTTCTTTGCTGCAGGTCAACGATGGGCCTGCCAAGAGATCCGGGCTTGGGCCGTCAAACGACAAGGAGATCGCTGAGCATCCATACTGATACCCAGAAGACTGACGGGCAAGAACCAGATGTTCGGATCAAGAGCATCGCAACAACCGGCCTGACCCCGTTCTTCCTGCATTATTCAGCACCAAGGAAGCCACAGGCTGAGTATGATGTTCATCTGAGCCTTCACATAATCTAATTCCGGGACAAAGAACGGCCCAGATGAGTTCACAAAGTAAGAACAGATCGAATGCTTCCACAAAAGGAAATGGCAGGCAAGCAGAGACTACTACTAGTCCTGGGCTTCCTCCGTCTTCTTGTCTCTGGTGCTGAGATACCAGCCGAGCCCGGCGAGTGCAGTCACTGTGCCGGCCAGCACGGCGTAGTTCCTGTTCTTGTCGGTGGAAACGCCCCTGGAGGTGGAGGATCCCGCTGAGCCGCTTGCAGCATTGGCTGCAGGTGTCGCTGTGTCCGATGATGTGGCCGGAGCTTCTGATTTCACACCCTGCATCCATCATCGTGAACCTTGTGATTCTATGGAGGAAGATGATGAGGATCCGATGAGACTATTTAAGAGTGGGCTTGATATGATGTGAGAAGAAGATCTTCGCGGGTAAGAAGAAATTTCTCATGAACAGTGAGTGGGTTTGTTCGAGTAATCATTCATGAGGAGTTCTGCCATCGTTTTTTTCCATTCTTGGTGATTGTATGAGCATTGGGAGCGTGTTATATAACTTGATGACTGAATGATGCAGAGGAAATTATCAGAAAGCTTCGTACGACCGCACCTTCCGAGCGAGCTTCTCCAACTTCTCTTGCTCGAGTTTCTGCAACAGCATGAAGCAGGTTCGTGTCAACACCATGAACAGCGACCAGTACTGGTGCGTAGTTAAAAGTCGTTGCTCCCTCAGAATTCACGAGAGAAGTGATGAACATCAGAGAAAAAGCAATGGGCATCAGCCAAGTCAGCCTGATTTCTTTACATTGCATGGCGGACCCAGTGAGTATCTGGTAACCACGAATTTTTGGGGCAGAATCTGGGATTTGAGAGCATAAGCAATAAAGAAGACCAAATATATTATAATTTCCAAAGCTACGTGATAAGATTGATTTCCTAATGTAATGGCATGTAATCAATCTGAAAGTTATAAATTGACGGAGCACCGCACCTGGATGCCTTACAGAATAAGACAAAGGAAAAGAATATCCACTCAGCATATCCATATGAAAATAAAATAAAAAATATAAATTCAGGCACCATCTAAACCCATTTAGCAGATTGCGTAATGTTAAAAAAATAGGCGAGTTGACTTAAGAACCAGTTGCCAAATCATGAACATGACTATTTCCTGTCGGTCATCTTTCCAAATCATAATGAGGCCACTAATAACTTGAACATCCTCAACGTGTGCATGAGATATGCTATTGATTGAGGAGAAACTAGAGCATGACCTTGAGATGTAACACTCTTACGGTCAGTGATGAAAAGGTTGGTTACTGATAACTTCCTTTCTTATCTTATCCAGATCAACTGCGATTAAATCTGCACATGCTTGTATCCTTCAGGAACGCCATGATCATCAGCTGGTTTTCAATTCTTAAATAATATGGCCGACGTACTCATTTTCTCCACGTACTAAAATTTTTCGGCCAATGTCTTACGACACCAACTCAGTATAACCCATAAAACCATGGTGGCTCACCCAAGATACCATAACACCGCGGCGAATTGTCCTGCCTTGTTAAAATGATATGACCAATGATGCAAGAAAAGAAGTCAATGCTCATCGGTGTTAGCATTTAAATAAGGCAACCTTACTTTTAACAGAATGATAGGTTCCATGTACACAGAGGACAAGGGAAGGGGTTCTCATTACGCAAAAGTACGTTAAATAACTTAATCGGTTCAACAAAGGATGCTTAATGAGGATCTAAAGTGAATAAACGTCTGCCCCAAAAAATTCGGGCATAGTAGAACATAAGCCGAAATTCACGCAAATAAAATGACAGGCATTCAGTATATATTGGTCGAGCGCCCAAAGACCTCAGGCATTACTGAAAAAATAAGAGCCCAAATATACAGTCCGCGCCTACGGATAAATCACTCATGAACAAACGCAGTAGAAAAAACAACGAGCTCCTCATGTGAATCCATAATCTAGAAGGGGACAAGCTACATAATCCTAGGCTCCAAAAGGCACAAAGCACCCCCACCATTTAGAACTCTACTGATGTGAAACGCCCGGAAACGATTAAATTGCCGACAAAAACAGCGTAGCGAGGGTTTGTGAATAGCGCACGTTGAAAAACTAACCTAGTGACAGCATTAACATCCACATATGAAAGCACAGAAAATAAGAATCCATCATGATCCGAAGAAGAATCGGACCTAATACAAGTGGCTCAAGAGGATGATGGAAAGACGCAAAACATAATGTACCAAGGTGAGGAATCAGACCTTGATGTAGACATTCTCCACAGCCTTCTCCTCCTCACTCAGGATCTTCCCCCCGCTAGAGAGCCGTCGGCTGATGAAACGGCTCGCCGCCCTCGTCGCCGCCATGGCCCCTCACTCCGGTCACCACTCCCAACCCCGAACAAGAGAGAGAAGTAAGAGAATCAAGCTTGAAGAGTTGCAGTCCTCTAGATCCTCATTCTTGACCATAATACCCAAAATACCCTCTTGAACCGGAAGAAGGTTCATAAAGATCAGGGAATCCAACAATCGAGCGGTTATGGATTGTAGAGGGAGCGTAGCCGCTTGATCTCGATCAAAGGGTAAGGGGTCTGGATCCTTATGGTGCTGATAGTTTCGAGTTGGGCCGGGCTTTGGCGCATTACGGCCGTCAGATCGGGTCCCGCGCTGTCTTCATCTGACGGTGCGTATTAAGAAAAACCCTAACGAACGCCCCTTTTATTCCCATTCATCTGCTTCTTGGTGCCAGATCTCTACCTCCTCGCCGCCGCCGCCTCGTCGGAGAAGGATTTTGATTCAAGGGAGGAAGAGTCCTTGCATTGCCTGACATGGTAGGTCATTTTCTGTGCCCTCGTAGGGCGTTCATTTGACTGCTTGATGACGTTTTCAGGTGTTTGATGATGTTCTTCTGGTCTCTGCAGGCACCGAAGAAGGACAAGGCTCCTCCCCCATCGTCGAAGCCCGCCAAGTCAGGCGGTGGCGGCAAGCAGAAGAAGAAGGTCCTGATGTTTTAGCTCAAGTGATTCACATCTCGTAATCGACTATTGGTGTTTTTGCGCCTCGTTCTCAATCAGTGAATCTTTCACGGATGCAGAAGTGGAGCAAGGGGAAGCAAAAGGAGAAGGTGAACAATTCTGTGCTGTTCGATCAGGCAACCTACGACAAGATGCTTACCGAAGTCCCCAAGTTCAAGCAGATCACCCCGTCCGTGCTGTCGGAGAGATTGAGGGTACGATTTCTGGCGCACTCGTGCCGTCCATCCTCATCTACTTTTTTGAACCCCTTCTTCGTCCTCTTACGTTCTGCAAGTGTTCATCTGTGAACGGTGAGATGACACCCGCACCGTTCACGTTCCCTCTGTTTGCTTCCCATGGAATACGTTTTGAGGGATATATCAGTAGATCTGAAGGCTCACGTCTGGTTGTGCATTGATTATCTCGTTTTCATGCGAAGCATCTCGTCTGAGATGGCGCAACCCTTTGGCTCAGTATCGGCCCAATCCAGCTACGATGATAAACATATCGAAATCCGTGCCTTCGTATAATCAGTTTACTTTGATGTTCACAGTTTCTGATTTTTCCGAAGTCAATAATTTATATATATATATGGTGAGAGAGGACATGCTCCGAGATTCATAGGCGCCTGCTGAATAACATAAATATTTTGGAAAAACAATGCTCAGACTTGAGAGATTTTAAGATCCGGTGAATGATTAATTGAGAAGATGGCTGTCAATCGCCTTATAGAACATTTATGATTCTGCCATGAAATATTTTTTTATTTTTTTAAAAGTTTATTGCTTATCACATGCTGGGAAATAAAAAACCCTTCTTGACACCCACTGATTCAGCTTCTATCTCAGATGGTCAAACCATGTGGCGCCATTGCAAGATTTGTGATATGATTTTCTATTGCTGACTTATATCTACGGGAATTATTCTTGGCTTCGTTTGACTTTCTAACTGATAGCTATTCTTCCGGGTTGATGTTTCTTCTCACCCACTCATTCAGCTTCTATATCAGAAGGTCAAACCATGTGGAACCATTGCAAGATTTTGTGATATGATTTTCTCTCTGACTTACATCTATCGGGAATTATTATTGTCTTCGTCTGACTTTCTAACTGGTAGCTATTGTTCCTGGTTGCTGTTTCTTGACATCCACTTATTTAGCTTCTATCTCAGAAGGTCAAACCATGTGGAGCCATTGCAAGAATTGTGATATGATTTTCTATCGCTGACTTATATCTATCGAGAATTATTCTTGGCTTCGTTTGACTTTCTAACTGGTAGCTATTTTTCCGGGTTGGTGTTTCAGATCAGTGGATCACTGGCGCGGAGGGCCATAAAGGATCTTATGGCGAGGGGGTCGATCAGGATGGTGGCCGCACACGCCTCACAGCAGATCTACACCAGAGCCACGAACACCTAGGTAGGGAGGTGGGGGAGGCCCTCCTTCAGTCCGTTGCCTTAGATTTTGTTCCACCTTCCTGCAATCTAGCATCCATGGAGTTGACTTTGTGTTCAGCGAAGACCTATTTTCTCTCTCCTATTTCGCAAGACAGCGTTCTTGGTGTTGACTTTTTTGAGTATCTCGTCCATTGAAGACCCGCCTGCTAGGGAAAATTGCCGGCGATATTATGGAAAAATATTTGACGAATTTGGGGAGGTTTTAGGCCTTTTTTTCCGAATTAGTATATAAAAATGGCTCAAATCTTGTCAGTAATTATTAATTATGGTGCAAGTCAACCCTGGTTGAGAAAATCTCGTTTCATATATGTGGCGTCATAATTAGATGTTGACTTTAGTCATACGGACGTGTCTCACAGTAATTCTCGAGGTACTCTCGTAGTAGTAATTGATAATCGTCTGTTTTTAATATATATATATATAATGCTTAATATATGTTATTTCCTCTTATTATATTTTGTAACCTCAAAATTGGCATTTTTTTGACGAGAAATACTCGACGGCCAGCTCGTAAGTATAAAAGTCAATGCATAATTATTCGGGATATACTATCAGAAATAATATGATTAAAAATAACTAATTTATTGTCGATAATCCCGAGGCTGTCGCTGGTTCGATGACGTCATAAAACAGAGCCTTTTTCCAGTGTTCATGAACGCGGCTACAGGTGGTATAGGCCCAATATGAGCCTAATATGGGCCCAATGGACCTTTATGACCTGGGCCCTATTTTGACGTGGCCGATGTCGATCCGACGGCTGACGTAGCAGAGTAACGACTGTATAAAGACGTCCCGGCGGCCCTAGCGGCTACGGCAGACGAGAACGTTCGGAGCTAATGAAAGAGGAGCCTCTTCTCGCCCTCCCGCTCCGGAAACCTGGTGGCAGATATCAAAGTTTCTCTCTGAAGACCTCTTCTTCCTCCCCCCTCGCCGCCCAAGGCAGAGCTCTTTCTCTCTCCTTCGGCCCGTCCGTGGCCCGTGATCATCTGGGGCGCCCGCTTTCCTAGTGTGGAGACAGTGGCTCTGGGGGCTCCCTCGGCCCTCACCGTGCCATCAGGTATGGTATTTTTCATCTTTGCTCTGTGTCGCTGTCGGGTTTTGATACGGGATGTTGTGCTGAGCTGGGCGTCTTCGTCTGGCTGTTAGGGTAGATCTAGGGTTTGGCTTGCCCATTGTGCTGCTTCTCTTGCTGCCGAGGGAAGCGCGAGGTTTCCGTCGGATTTAGGGTTATCTTGATTTTGGACATTGGGGCTCGCGGTTGCAAACAAGGTTTCGTTAGGTCGGATTCTGATTCCGAGGTTTAGTTTTGGATTTAGCTCGAGGAGTGGGAATTTGGACGGGGCAGGTCAACAATGGACCTGGGGCTCCCAGGAGATGTATCCTGGCCGACTAAGGACAACTTCACTACTGTATACAATTTTCAGCCGTTAGAGCGTTCTCTTATGCTTATCTAGTGGGGGGAATGCCGTCTTTTCCTATGGGTTTCTATTTTACAGTGTAAATTTATTTCTGAAGGGTGTTTGCAAATATAAATGCCAGTCGAGTTTTTTTCAGTCTCCTTTTTCTATTGTATGGTCATCCTTACTCCGGCTTCTTCACTTATTTTGGGAGAAGCCTCACTCATACAGTCACCTCATATATGTCCATGCCACGGCACAGTTCTTCCTTGCCCCTGAACGCTGGAAGGGTTACCCTATGAATACAACTTTTCTCAAAATACCTGGTTTGCGTATTTCTGACATCGGGCTTCTGTCCTGTTGGTGAATGCCGAGTTTTGAGAATCGTGTCTCACCCTCATGTTCACCGCTCACATTCGTCATTTTCTAAATTAGTATTCTTTCATTAACCGTGGGCATCTCATGCGTGAACCAGTGGATGATAAATAGTTGCAGATACCTGATAACTTGTATATTATTTATTATTTATTGGTAATGTTTCATTATTCTGTTCATTTAACATTCTCGTTAGGAATTATGTAAGTGTTGGAGAATTTTCCATATCAGGGTAACAAACTTGAATTCCGAAAAAAAAAAGTATTCCTTGTGGCGGTTCTTTTTTATCTTTGATTTGCCTCCTTGCTGCCCGGAATAATAGAGAATTATAACCATATAAAAAGCGTTCTCGAAATCATGAATTAAAGCTCTGCTTGATGCTTTGCTCGTAATTTTCTGATATTCTTGAGGAAATTTCACGACAGCTACCGGGCTGTAACGAACGTGGTTAGCATTGTGTTTTTAACGACTATTGTGTTGACTTGTCTGAGTAAACCTTTTTTTAATTTGATAAAAGCGAATAAATCCTTTTCACGCATTCTTTAGTCTTTGCGTGAGTATTGACATATTAAAAATACGCCCACTATATATAGCCAGTACAGCTGTATCTACAGTCAATTACATTTCATGGTTGAATGTTTCTATTGATGTGTCTCATAATTGACCCGGAGTAATGTTCTGTTTTGAGTCTTCATTTTCGTGAAGGATTACATTAGAAACTTAACAGGAAGGCAGTACGTCAACGTTCAGACATAATTTTCTGTATCTTCTTATGTGCTTTTTTTATTGAGGTGTGTGGCATTACTGTTCATTTGGAGGAGTTGTTTCGGACGATACCGATTGAAAAGGTGGACAAGTTCTCAGAATTGATTGTCAATTGATATTGGTGTAACTGTGTCTGTTTCTGTAACCATTACAGGATAGCTTACCCAAACAGCGTGCTAGAATCTTGTGAAAGATCGACAAGGCCTTTCTGGGGTAACATCGGTGTGGTCTGCAAGAAATGGATCCTGGGCGCTATATGCTCCAACAAGGATGGGATAACAACAGCGTAATTGCAGTTCTTTCTTTAATCACTTATCCGAGATGAAATGAAGAATATTATGGCTCATGTGATTGTACTCCACGTTTAGTGGCTTCTCATCCTAAATGAACAATCAAGAAAAGCGGTTTGCCATTTTGGATATGGACTGGATACCATAAGTACACGCTACCATAAGTATTAGTTCCTGACTTGGCTTATTCTGTTGCATCCACAGGCTCTTGAGGGGTACAGTGCAATACATGAGCCAGACTTCAGGTGAGTGCATATATATCTTGTAGTTTCTTCTTTTACGATCTAATATGTTCTTGGTACCCTCTTCCCAGTAATATGTATTCTACTATTACTCATTGAGTATGCTGAGCACCACCTTCATAATTGCCACGTTTTTCCATGAACGCACACGTACTTTGAAACTAATGGTTCTGTTAGTCATAAATCGTATGATTTTGAATTATTCATCCTATTTCTCATTTGATGTGTTTTATCATACTTTGGTTTTTTTTCTGCTTTGTGTTCTGATAGAGTTGACGGATCATACAGCGGTAGAAGGATTTTAGATGAAGGATTTTCTAGAGACCCTGTCTATCCAAGGAGTGGATATAATCGAGACGTACTCAGCAGAGATCCCTACCCAGCCCCACCTCATGTCCCTGAACTCTGGCATCAAGAAAGGAGAAACCTTGAGGAAGACTATGGAACAATCAGAGATTCTAGAAGACATGCCGATTCTTACCATGAAATTGATTCGTTCCGTGACAGTGAAAGATATCATGATGTTGATAGGTTCCCTGATGCTGATAAATTTCACACTGGCTACCGGAGTGGAGATGGTTATCGTGATTTGGACAACTATAATGATTATGCAATCGATCGGTCATCCAGGCTTGCTGGGCGAGGGCATGATGAATTTTCCAATGACGATTATGAGCACTTAAATCGTGTGCCACATCAGAGTAGAGAGAACAGCCGGGATAGAGAGTCTGAATTCAGCCGGTATAATTATGACTCTGATTATGATAGGGCCAAAAGAGATAATAGCTGGCGAAGACGTGATACACGTGAACGTGATAGTAGGGACAGTCGTGAGAGAGAACCGAGTCCACGTAGGAGGCGTGAACGCTCTAGATCGAGAGGACACGATGATAGATCTAGATCAAGATCTCCTCGTGGTCGAAGTCATAGTAGAAGTCATAGAGAAGATAGCTATGATGACACTCGTTATGCTAGGAGTGACAGGAAAAGAGAACGAGATCGTGATGACAGGCGGCATAATGATTCAACATCAGTGGTATGTCTTGATTTTCCGTTCATTGTGTGTATGTGATTTGTGAATATCATGTATTCTAACCATTGTATTAATGTCTACCTGAAGGCTCCATCTGCAACAGTTGTCGTTAAGGGTTTGTCTCAAAAGACGACTGAAGAAGACCTGTATCAGATACTAGTACGGATCATAAACCTTTTACCTTTTCTGGATTGTGTTTCTGATTAGTTTGAGTCATTTTCTTATGTATATTCCCTATTTTCCAGACCGAGTGGGGGCCACTTCGTCATGTTCGCATTATTAAGGAACGAAATTCTGGGGTATCTCGAGGGTTTGCTTTTATTGATTTCCCTTCTGTGGTAATCATCTGACTTGCAACTTGCTCTTAAATTTCTCTTCCATCTTGTATTTTTGTTGTCATTGATCAAGGGATACGTTTACTGCCACTCAGGAAGCTGCTCAAAGCATGATGGATGGCATTAGGGATGATGGTTTTGTTGTTGATGGAAGGAAGCTTTTCTTTGAATATAGGTACTAGCAACTCTTGGGATCCCTTTCTGATAACTATTTCATTTTGGTTAAGCTGCGTTAATGTTTATGATGAATAATTCAAAAAATAACACAATAGATAGGGTCTTGGTTATAAAAAAACTTGTGTAGAAAACTGCAGGTTATTATATTGAGAATCTTGTGACCAGTTTGAACTTTACCTTGTAAAACTTCAGAATATATATATTACAGTCATCAGGGGATTGCTTATTATTGTCGATTTTTTAGTTCTCCTCGTTTCACATTACCTATGCGTCACAACTTTATGTTAGAAGGCTGAGGTTGCTTCTTTGTTCTTTCTAAGCTTTTTTCAGATTTTTTTTCCTGCTTCTTGCCCTCTTAAAATGTTTGTTCTAGTCTCATTGGAAAAAAACGCCGTCATCTGCAGGATTATCCTAGAAAACGAGTTTAATTTCATTTTTTTTTTAAGTTTATTGTAATATTTTCCATGTATTGCAGTAGCAAGCCGACTGGAACAGCTGGCCCCTCCTTTGAGAATCCTGCAAAATCTGGCCATGGAAACAGCCGGGGTTGTGTACCATCTGACTGGATGTGCACGATTTGTGGTTGCATCAATTTTGCACGCCGGACATCCTGTTTTCAGGTTTGATTCTATATTTTTTATGACTTCTGCGACTGTAGAACGTACCTTTCTTCCTTGATATTGATGTTCTAAGAAGCATCAAGCGTGTGGATCTTGTATTGCTAGGATAGCTTAGTGAATAAATTGTCATGCAATTCACTAATGGGATGCAATTTTAAGAAGTTAGTTCATTTGTAATTGATGGTTCCAAGGAAAGAAAAGCTTTTATTTTGCAGAAAAGCTTTTATTTTGCATAGACAGCACATTTATTTCACATAATAGTAATATAATATAGTTTCATTAACCCTGATACTAAGAGAGCTGTGACTATTATGTAGAAGTATGTGGGGGGGGGGGCATGTGGTAGTTCGTAAATGTCATCTTTGCTTGGATTTCAGTATACAAAATCTATTGACCAACTATTGCTCATCAAGAGTTTTTTCCCCATGCTAACCAGTGTAACGAAGCACGTACAGATGATGCACCTCCTGCTGATGTCTCATCATCCAATCTAACCCCGATTGGAAAGAAGGGAGAAGCTGGTATGTTCTACATTTTGAAAGCTTGTAACTGCATATTCCCTTGGATGAAACTGCATTTAAAATAGTGTTACAAAATTAACCTTGTGTCTTTTCAGGCCCCACTCATGTTTTGGTTGTACGCGGATTAGATGAAAATGCTGATGAAGAAATGCTTCGCTACGAATTCTCCAAACATGCTCCGATCAAAGTAAGGGAATTTAACTGGGATCACGGTTTTTTGTATGTACGAGGGGAAATTTAACTGGGAGACTTAAATTTTTCTTTCCTTCTACTGTGCAGGATCTCCGTTTAGTCAGGGACAAGTTCACACATGTATCTCGGGGATTTGCATTTGTACACTTCCATTCCGTAAGTACTAGACTTGTATTTTCTATATTTCCCGAGTTCCTCCGGTGATAGTCTTTTATGCTAATAGTGGTGTTATTCTCTGTTTATTTTGGTAGGTCGGCGATGCAACAAAGGCTTTGGAAGCAACAAATGGGACCACGCTGGAGAGAAATGGCCAGATACTGCGTGTTGCTTACGCAAAAAGCATTCATGGACCTGGTTCTGCTACATCTGGGGCTCCACATTCGAGTAGCCTTGCTGCTGCTGCAATTGAAGCCGCAGCATTTTCTCAACAGGTGCTATTTATTTGCTTCCATATCTTTTCCTTTATTGGCTTCTTTGGACCCTTTTAAGTGTGGAGCTTTATATTATTCCATAGAGGTGCGGTAGAGTGAAGTGAAAACTGGACCACAAGTATCTCTGTACATTGTTTTGAGTTTACATCCAGCCCATTGCCGTACCTCCTCATTTGCAGATGTTGTTAGATTTGTTCAGTTGATGGACAACATTTCTGCCTGTGATACTGTTAAGTGTTTATATCTCATCCTTTTAGTTCCGGGTGGGGTGGGTGGGGTGGTGGAATTTTATCTTCTAATGGAACGGCCATATTTTCATTTTTTTGGTGTATGCCCGTGTACTTTTTCTCCGATGAATTTATTTGTCTACAAGTATAATATGTAAATCATTGAAAAAAGAATTCCGCATCTGGTACTTACTCCGTCCACCATATGTCAGTATGATGCCATTGGGTGGGCACCGAAGGAATACAATCCAGATGAAAAACAACCCACTGCTGGGAATCAGCAAAATGGAACTGCAGAAGGCCAGAACACTGGGTCTGCTCCACAGTCTGGTTTTGTATGGGACGAAACGACCGGCTATTATTATGATGCTTCTTCTGGCTTTTATTATGATGGAAACACAGGTCAGTGTCTTACCGTCTATTATTTTGTCAATAAATGGGGATTTATTTGGATTCGGTAGTGTGTGATAATTGTAATTTATAATTCACTTCCCTCAATCCTTTGATTCTTAAAATTGTGGCTTCCATCCATGATCATTGTCGATTTAGGGGGGGGGGGGGGAAGTTTCCAACTCTTATCTTCTATCTTGACGGCCAAGAATCTGACAAACCCAGTTGACCTGGGGGTGAGCATTATCTCTAAAACATGTAAACATCTCAGTTTGTGTTTTGTTCATGAGAAATCGAGTCCACCGTTGATCAAGTAGAAGCACAAAATGTTATTCAAGGAGGATCCCAAACACAAAAGTAAATAAGTGGAGAACAGAGAAACCATGCATGTAACGTCAGAGGTATAGAGTTAACGAAGAATTACGGAGTTGTGCTCTTGCCTCACTCTGAAGTATAAGGCTCAACTTGAGGTTGACCATCTTTTGACAAAGGCAAGTCTCTACTATTACAGTCAAGCCGTATTATTTAGTTACTAGCTCATTGGTTCGCGCAGGTCTGTACTATGATGGAAACAATGGCACTTGGTACTCCTATGATCAAAAAACTCAACAGTATGTTCCGTGCAACGATCAAAATGAGAGCAAGCCTGCCACTGAAAATGCAAAAGCATCCGATGGCTCCAATTCAAGAAAGGTTGTGATATCAGCTCCTGCTGCTACGATATCCTCCAGTGAGAAAGCCTCTCTACCTGATGCTGTCCAGGCTGCTGCGGCAGCGGCATTGGCTGCTGAAAAGAAAGAAAAGGAAAAGCTCAAGGAGATTAAATTGGCATCAAAGGGCAGTATCATGGCAAACAAGAAGAAGATGAATAATGTCTTGATGATGTGGAAGCAGAGAAATCACGAGGGTCAGACTGCTCGCATCATTGTTGATGACAATGAACCATCATCTGGCATAGATGATAGGCAACCTGCCTCTGCTAGGAATAAGCCCAAAGCCGACGTTGCTTCCTCTGGATTGGGTAATTATAGTAACACACCTGTGGCTGGTACCATTCCAAAGGCTCCTATGGATACCCAGGTCAAACCTGTTCCAGTTAGCAACAGCTCCGGAGGCGCGTTAATGGGTGTGATCCGAGGTTCTGGAAGGGGTGTGGTGAAATCGGATACAGTCTTTTCAGGACAAGAAGGCGTTGGCGGCGCTTCTACTTCTGCCCCTTCATCCGATCTCAAAAGTACTGCAGAATTGTCTTCAGGAAACTCTGTGAGACCATCGGCTGCTACAACCTTTAGAACAGATGCATCGGCTCTTGGTTCCTATGCACCTCCTGCGTCTTCTGCGGGTGGGAAACGGAGGTTTTCTGAAATGCCGGCTCAGGCTGCACCCTACAGGGATCGTGCAGCTGAGAGAAGAAGCTTATATGGGTCATCTTCCTCTTCTGCTGGAGATGACTCTTCCCATGTTGGTGGGGGGGATTCAAGTAAGCACAAGCGACTGGTCTAGTTTCACTCACCCTTGGCCCTTTATTTTATTTTTTTCCATGTTCGTCAGTTTATCTCTGGTGCATCATACAGCATGTGAAGCATCTGTTGGTTGAATAATCATCATCCGAAATCTCTGTGGGATCATTTATTAAATATTCCCCTTAGAAGTTAGTTTTATGAGCAGAAAGCTGGTGTTACATCATACAGCATATGAAGCTTCTGTTGGTTGACTGATCATCATCCGAAATATTAATGGCTCATTTTTTCCCCTTAAAAGTTAGTTTTATGAGCAGAAAACTAGTGCTGTATAATACAGCATTGAAGCCTCTGTAGGTTGAATAATCATCTTCGAAAATCTGTGGGCTCAATTTTTCCCCTTAAAAGTTAGTTTTATGAGCAGAAAATTGGTGCTGCATACAGCATGTGAAGCCTCTGTTGGTTGAATAATCATCATCCGAAATCTCTGTGGGATCATTTACTAAATATTCCCCTTAAAAGTTAGTTTTATGAGGCAGAAAACTGGTGCTGCATTATACAGCATATGAAGCTTCTGCTTGTTGAATAATCATCATCCGAAATCTTTGTGGGTTCATTTATATTCCCCTTAAAAGTTACTTTTATGAGGCAGAAAATTGGTGTATACGGCATATGAAGCGCTTGTTTGTTGAATAATCATCATCCCCCGAAATTTCTGTGGGCTCATTTCTTCCCCTTAAAAGTTACTTTTACGAGGCAGAATTGGGTTGGGTTGGGGTGGGTTTGGTTGGGTTGAGTTTCTGTGCATCGTCTGAAATTTCTGTGGGCTCTTCTCTCTCTCTCTCTCTCTCTCTCTCTCTCTCTCTCTCTCTCTCTCTCTCTCAAGATTTTGTTCAATGAGGAAGAAAATTGGGCATGGCTGTGAATTACTTCGAGACAAGCACATTTTCAGGCCGTTGATTGATTCCATCCCGTGTGAGATTCATCATTAACATCAGAGAAATGCCTTTGTTTGTCAAGATCGTGAGTTTCCTTATCGGAAGGGCTCTTCGTCAGACATCGGAACGATGCCTTTCCCTCCAGGAGTTGGCCGGGGCTCTGCTGACTCTGCGAGCGATGCTCCCAGTTATGAGGTGATCACAGCCGATCGTGCTATCGACGAGAGCAACGTCGGCAACCGGATGCTCCGCAACATGGGATGGCAAGAAGGATCGGTGAGTCTCCTTTTCTTTTTCTTCTCTTTTCTTTTCTTTTTTTAATCCGTGTTTCTTAGTTAAAAAAATCCATTTTCATCTTGTTTATTTATATAGAAAGCCGTAGAACTCACAGAACCTTCACAATTCATGTGGGTCAACGTCACCCTCGTTCAAATCTCCAGTTTGACCTTGTTTTCCGTCTCATATGTGAAAAAAGTCAGCGCAGGATCCAACCCCCCCCCCCCTTTCCCCTTCTCGTGGTCTGATTTCCAGCTCTCTGTGTTCTGTTCCTCCAGGGGCTCGGGAAGGATGGGAGCGGCATCACGGAGCCCGTCCAGGCGCAGTCGATGGATGTCAGAGCGGGTCTCGGGACCCAACAGAAGAAGCCGGTCAACCCCCAGCTGGAAGTCCACCCCGGCGACAGCTATCGCACCCTCATCCAAAAGAAGGCCATCGCCAGGTTCAGGGAGATGTCTTGACCACACCCACGTCAACCGGCGGCGCCACCTGTACAATTCCAAGCTCCGTACACCGTTTGGTGGTACTCCAATCAAAAATCTTCTTCCGTCTTCCTCCCGCGAGATCTTTTTGGTCAAAGAGTAATCAGTAGAGAGAGAGAGAGAGATCAAGTAGGGTTACTGCTTGGTGGCGAAAGTCTTCCCCGGCGGACCGGAGGGAACCGCAGCATGAGGAATGTCCGCATCTCGTCGCAAGGCTGATTTCTTTTTCATAAGGGGGGCAGCGCAGTCTGGGGCACAAGGGTCCTGGTACTATCCAGCGAGGAAGGAGTGGACGAGGCCAGCTCCCTGTATAGAGCTACGACCGGCTTCCTTCTTCTTCATCGTCTTCCTCAGATTCTGCGCCTCTTCCCATCTGCCGGCGGCGGCGTAGAGGTTGGCAAGAAGAACGCGGTATCCTGCCTCATCGGGCTTGAGCTCCATGGCCTTCTTCGCCGCCGCCTCGCCCAGCTCAACTCGCCGGTGGATCTTGCAGGCTCCGAGCAGAGCCCCCCACACGGCGTCGTCCGGCTCCACGGGCATCCCCATGATGAACTCGTACGCCTCCTCCACCCTTCCTGCGCGGGCTAGAAGGTCCACCACGGCGGCGTAGTGCCTCGTCTCCGGCAGAAGGTCGAAGTCTCTGCTCATGGAAGTGAAGACCTTCAACCCTTCCTCCACCATCCCCGCGTGGCCGCAGGCAGAGATGAGGGAGATGAAGGTGCTATGGTTCGGGGCGGCGCCGCCGCCGCCACCGGCGAGAAGCATTCGCTGGAAGGTTTCCAGCGCCTCCCGGCCCTGCCCCTGGAGGCCGTACCCGCTGATCATGGCGTTCCAGGAGACGACGGTTCTGTGCGGCATTTCGTCGAAGATCCTTCTTGCGTCCTCTGCGCAGCCGCATTTGGCGTACATGTCCAGGAGAGCGGTGCCCACGACGGCGTCAGCGTCGTCGAGTCCCTTCTTGACGCAGAGCCCGTGGATGGCCGCCCCCAGATGGAAGTCGGCGAGGTCTGCACAGAGAGGGAGCACGGTGGCGATGGTGACGGCGTTGGGCGGCGGTGCAGCAGCTCCTGCTGAGAGCCGCAGCATGGCGCGGAAGAGCTCAAGAGCTTTGGTGGCGGCGTTCGCGTTGATGGCGCAGGCGGAGATGGCGACGTTCCAGGAGACGACGCTCTTCTTCTTCTTCTTCTGATCGGGGAGGTCTGTGAAGATGCTCAGAGAGGCGTCCAGATCCCCGCATTTGCCGTACATGTCAATCAAGCAGTTCTTGGCTGGTTCCGTCAACTCGATTTCCATCTCGACTGCCAATCTGTGCACGGATCTTCCTCGTTCTAGATCGCCGATCCGAGATATGGAAGGCACGATGGAGACGAGGGTGGAGGAGTCCAGCTCCGCGCCCGATTCGACCATGGCCTCGAAGCAGCGGAGGGCTTCCATGTCGGCGCCATTGCCGGCGTAGCCGGCCATCAGGGCGTTCCAGGAGACGGTGCTCTTGGCGGCGATTCCGTCGAAGATCCGGCGAGCCTTACACATCTCCCCCAGCTTCATGTACAGATGGACGAGTGCCGTGGAGATGTAGACATCGGAGGAGAGGCCAAGGCGGAGGATCTGACCGTGGGCCTGCAAAGCCTCCTCTGCTGCCGCTACGGTGGCGCACGCCCGGAGGACGAAGGGGAAGGTGAACTTGTCCGGCGCCGGCGAGGACGGGGATAGCAGCAGCATCTGGGAGTAGAAGCGGAGGGCCTCCTCCGGGAAGCCATGGCAGGCGAAGCCCCTGATCATCGCGTTCCAGGAGAAGGAGGAATCGGAAGAGGAGTCACTGAGGGGGATCCTGCGGAAGGCTCGCTCTGCGGAGTCCATGTGGCCGAAGAGAGAGTAGAGGGCGACGAGCTGGTTGTGGACTGGCGGAGGAGGAGGCGTGGGGCATTTGAGGATCTGCGCGTGGACCTCCCGGAGGGACCTGGAGTCTGCGACGCGCCGGAGGAGGAGGTGCGCCGGCGCCGCCGCCGGCGAGGAGGAGGAGGAGGAGGAGGAGGGGAGGGGGGGCGCGGGGGGCCGTGTGGAAGCCATCCGAGAAGCCTCCGCCTCCGCCCGGGGACCTCGCGGGGAATCTGCAGAAGGAATGAATATCAGGTGGAAGGAACATAAACCGTCAACGGGCCTCACCTGGCATGCGGACGAATTTATCGACTTAAAGCTGTACACAGGTAAGGGGGAGAGAGAGAGAGAGAGAGAGGGAGGGGCAGTCAACTGGACAGAGAGAGGCCCTTTGAAGCCCAACGTGAGTGTTTTAGAGAGAGAGATGGAGTCAACGGGATAGAGAGACGCCCTTTGAAACCCAACGTGGGTACTTTAGAGAAAGAGTCAACGGGCCAAAGAGAAGCCCTTTGAAAGCCCAACGTGAGTACTTTAGAGAGAGAGAGAGAGTCAACGGGCCAGGGAGAGGCCCGTAAAAGCCCAACGTGAGTGTTTTAGAGAGAGAGGAACAAAGAGTCAACGGGCCTGAGAGAGGCCCTTAAAAGCCCAACGTGAGTATTTTAGAGAGAGAGAGAGAGAGAGAGAGAGAGGATCAGGTTTTGAGGATCAAAAACCTGGGAAGCAGGTGGTGGATTTGAGAGTGTAATTAATGTGAGTAAGAAGTGATAAACCGGGAATGATCCCACAACTAACCTGCGATAATATCCGGAGAGAGAGAGAGAGAGAGAGAGAGCGGGGGGTGGGGGGGTCTCAGGCTTCCTGCTTGAGATACTGAACCACATCCCGAGATATCTCCTCCAGGAAAGCAACAAATCCCGTCATCCCCCCCAACTCGTTTCCATCAACGTCCTGCTCTTCGATCAGATAGCTCTCGAACAAGCTCGCATCCTCCTGTCCCCCCCGGATGAAAGTCAGCCTCGGAGTCACGCTCCTCTCCTGCTTCATTCTGTTGATCACTGTTCTCAGCGCGCCTGCAACATCAACCACAAGGTGGGCATCACCTTCAATCAAACCTAAAATAAATAAAATAAAACTGAAAACTTTTTGTTCTCCAGAGGAACCAATAATTTTTTATATTAAATTGAGAATTTTCTGGGGTTATCATCTCTGCTCTGAGGGAATTTGTTCAATAATTTATACAAAATTGAGAAAATTTTCTGTAAAATTTTCTGTGGGAATCCATCAATGGATCTATATTTTCTGTAAAATTGAGAATTTTCTGGGGTTATTATCTCTGTTCTGAGGGAATCAATCAATGAATCCATATTTACTATAAAATTGAGAATTTTTTGTGGTTATGATCTCTGCTCTGAGGGGATCAATCAATGGATATATATATTTTATATATAAATTCAGAATTTTCTGGGGTTGTGATATCTGCTCTGAGGGGATCAATCAATGGATATACATATTTTATATATAAATTCAGAATTTTCTGGGGTTGTGATATCTGCTCTGAGGGGATCAATCAATGGATATATAAATTCAGAATTTTCTGGGGTTATGATCTCTGCTCTGAGGGAATTCAGGGTGGGCAACTTACAGTCTTGAGGAGGCGGGAAAGGAATTGAAGCGTCGGCCGAAGACGAGTAGTACACGACGAGGTTGGTGAAGGCATCGAGGAGGAAGATCGGGCTGCCGCTGGTGATGAGTGCGGCGCGGCTGAGCGAGTGCCTCGGGAACGATTGCTTGTCAGGGGAAGCGTATGAAGCAAGCAGTGGGTAGATGGCCCGGTGAAGAGAGGTAGGCTCCAGTGCGCTGCATAACAAGAATGGCAAGCGAACACCAACCACATTCCACCACCCATCAGAATTCCTCTCACAGAAGAAACCATTTCTTGAATAATTCTTCAAATTGAAAGCATCAAGTAAAAGCTAGGAATCGCCAGTGTTCTTCACTGAGATAAATAAATAAATAAATGAATAATCGCGGTCAATTCCTAATCCAGAGCTGAGAGAGGGATGAGTTATGATCAGGGGACTGATCGGAGGGATTGAGCACCTGAAGAGGCATTGGAGGTAGATTCGATAGTCTGGGTGAACGCCCTCTTCGTGGAAGCGGAGGAGAGGGTTCCGAAGCAAGGCGAAGATGAGCCGAGGTATAGGCTGTAGTTGTGGGCACTGGGTGAAGGCGGCGTCAACGTTTGAGACAATGTTTCCGGTGTCATAGTGGACGATTTTGTAAGCGTCGTTGTATTGAGCCGCTAGAATTATCAGCCAGTCATAGAGCAAGCTTCGCCCTTCTCTGACTCCTTGCTCCAAGCAAGCTAAAATAACCTGTGCCAGTGCAAGAGAAAATAGTCAACTGTCAACACGTGGAAACAAGTAAAAAGTCAACAAGCATGTTCATGGACGCAAGAGCATCAAGAAGCGGCATGCATCACGTGCAACAGGTGCAAAACAAAACGATTTTGAATCCAAGATAATGGGATGGTTTATTCTCCCCAAGTTCACATCAATTTGGTGCAAGGAACCCAGTATTTTGCTTTCCAGATCTTTCAGAATCTACCAATTCTTTCCGCAGCCAACGGAACTATCTTATGGGTCCGTACTTGGGTTGTGAAAAAATAAAAGAAAAGATCGATGACAAAAGAGTACCTTGTGGACTAGGATAGACAGAACAACGTCTGCATCAACCCCGTCATAAATTTCATTGATATTAAGTGCCGTTGACAATTGAAGAGTGCGTATCCTTAGCCGTCTCTGAACAAAATGCTTTGATCTGCAATCAAAAATCTCAACCTAAGGGAGCTTCCAGGGGAAGACATCTCATATTTTTGCATAGTAATGTCCATAGAAAATACACATCATATTTTGACAGGTGGTCAACCATTATTTCGACAGGCATCTAACTGAAATTCAGACAGGATGCTCGCAGAGGATCACATTCTGCACTCTCCGTTTGAATGAATATGATTTGCAGATCTGAGAATATGTTTTACGAATGACCTTCTTTGGAAGGTTTGCCCTCGATGCATTCTACGTGACCCCTAGCGAGCGGGAGTGCGATGCATGAATTCATGTCTTCCTGTTCCCAAAGCATTGCCTATGTGAACCTAGTCAGCAACAGAATGATGAAGGATGCCCTATTTGCACTTCCAAGCGCTAAATGGCAAATGAGCATCGAAATGATAGTTTGGCAACTTACTGCGCGCTCAAATATTGGCATCACTGTTTATAAGTCCATATCTCGGAAATAAGTCCTACAACTTTAGTCAAAGAGTTTAAAAAACATAAAACTGTCATAGTTTCAATGAGCCTAAAAATGATATCCTGGAGTTCTGAACTCGTATCCCCCCCATTCATTGCAGTTGAAAACATTTCAACAGTGGCTAAATTGCTGAGATCTAAGTATTTGGGTAGGGACAAGTTCTTATATGACTGTGTGTTCATGTTTAGATAACAGAAACTAACAGTGCACGAGTGAATCGCTTCATTAACCAGCTAAATTTGCAAATCAGACGTACATAAAGTTATACTCTTACAAGTCTAATAAAACAAAGAAAATGAAAAATAAAAATTATGACGACTTGGTTTCCACTAAAAGTAAAAGGGCAATAAGAATTCAGTTGGATAAATCATATGATTACTTTTTTTCTCCTAAAAGAAACATGACAGTAAAATTCAAGGTGATTCATGAAGCATACACTGTTGAAGAATTAATCGCCGTATTTGATGTCTCACGAGGCACAATTACACTGTACTGAAATGCAGTCTGTATGACAGGAGGGTCAGTGTGTCTGCAAGGTAGAGTAAATTTCTCTTAAACACTGAAAAATAACCGGCGTCATACAGATTTCAAAAAAAAAAAAAAGAGAAGTTGAAAAAATCAAAGCCATAAGTTTTCTCTGCCAAAGGTTCCCACACCCATGCAGAGTTTGAGAGAAAGACACAGCTAAACAAACGCATTGAGGTGTCACATGACAGGAGATCGAACCACAATGCTGACCATATTAATGATAGGATGTTGCAATTATTCAAAATAATCCCACGAAGAAATAACAATCTCCATCAAACGTAATGTTCTTAGGAAGGCTCCACAAACCATATGGTACTGTAAAAAGAATATATTTTTATCTACTGCGTGCATAAACTTAAGTCCCTTAAATGAAGCAATACTGAAAATTAAATGAATATATTCTCCTTGAAACGTATGATGTTACTTCTGTCTTAAAAAATTAGAAAAGAATACTTAATAGGGCAGAGGTCCAAAAATTCTGGCCCTATATTAAAAGAAGATTTAAACCAATATTCATCAAAAAAATTATCTACATCCTATTAGCCATTGACGACCAAGTTGCATAGTCCTTTATGGTAGGCATACATCCAGCAGATATTTATTTGACACAGCTTTTATAGCCATAGTGAAACAATGATAACAATTTTTATGTGGAGAAACACGAATTAGCCAGAGATGATGCTGGATTGGAACCGGATCAGGTGGGAATTGGCTAAGCATTGGACAGGAGTCACCAACTGTGCATGTACAAAGCGAGGGGCAAACATCGTCATTGAAACCATATTGGTGAGGACCAATTTTCATCTGAATCAGCCAATCCAGATTGAAATCATTCGATTATCCAGACGATTTTTTTAGCGAAACTGAAATCGGATCATCTTTAAATGGGATTTGTGAAATGATAATTTTAAAAGTACGATTTAAAATATTTACACTGTAGCGGAAAATAATGTTGCAAAATAATCGTGTGTATCAACCCACAGGTCGGCAAAGATACAAATTCCAATGTCAGGAGTGAAAGGAGAAAAGATACTTGTTATTAATGATGTCACTAGAAGGCACTGCTTATATCAGAATGACGTAATGAATGGAATTTTTCAGCCACCACAGGGGTTTCAGATAGTTGTACAAATCGCCACCACTTTAGAGAACGATTCAACCTAAATAAGTAAAACAAAAGAAGTAGGCTGCCCATGACATAGTAAAGGCAACAGTCAACTACAAAAAATGGCAAGCTGGTTTGCCTCGGTTGGGTTCCGGTTGACAGCTGTTCGTCCAGCTGGTTGCTATATGCATGATCTCGAAATTAGCTATCTGATACTAAGAAGAAGTGACAAAAAAATTCCAGGATCCAAAGTGAAAAAAGCATACAATTTTACAAAATTATATGATTTGATGGTTTTGGGCATAAAAATATATATATGAAAGAAATGCAACGTAATACTTGTAAGCCATTAACACATCTTCCTCAGTACCACAATGAAAGAAACTATGAATGTGACTTTTTCGAAAAGAAAGAAGAAAGCTTATTACAATGAAATTCATTCCTCTAGGTTAAGTAACTCTACCTGGAAAAACCAGCAGTGTTAGCAAAGTCAAATTCGTAAGCGTAAGTAGCAAATGCATCACAGCAAATGATGTGTTGAACGTTCTCATATTGAGGATCTGGAAAGAAATGACCATACTGCCAAGAAAGAGTTAAAATGATCATTGATAACAACCAAAGCAAACTACTATCAGTAAAATAAAAGAGAATATTCGACTCATTGATTGCTTCCATACAGAGTGACCAGGTTTGAATTCAGATGATGTCCGGAGCCGCAGTATACAACCAAATGCACAAGGACGACTCAACATCCGATACCTGCAAAAGAATTACTTATTTCAGAAATTCAGGTTTTCTAACTCATAATTAGAATTTCAAATGAAGCATGTCGGTCAAAATATATATCTTCATTCATGTAATAATTCAGCATTTGTGGAATCACACGACCCACCGGAGGCAATAAGAACTGTATTTGAAAAACATACAAGGAAATCAAATCACTAGATAAACATACATGTCCTGAGGAAGAGTTGAATCATCTGTACTTGCATAGAGAAGCAATGAACCACCGCTCTCGATACTCAGAAATTTTAGAGACGCTAAGTCCGTGTATTCATTCGTAACAGCAAATATGTCGACACAAACACCTGATTCAACAGCAACAGATGCCTGCGAAATTTAAGTCAGCACTGACACAAACCAAATAGTATGGTGCCATGCGCTTCACCATAATTCTACTAAACGTACCAGATCTTTGTAGAATGGTGTTTGCTCAGGAAGCAATGCGCGATCTGCATCCTCCCGTTTGCTAGCATACTGTTCCCCATATCTTCGTGTATCTAACTGCCCAGCTCCATAATCTGGAGGACCGGATAAAAATGCAAATACCCTAGCTACAAAAAGATAACTATGACAATAAAAATAAATTTCAAGAGGTCATAAATAAATAAATACAGGCAATTGTGTCAGAGGCATAAAAATCACATTGAAGTCCGCAATGAGAAAAATCTCAACCTATGTATATTCAACATACCTAGGGCAAATGTGTTACCATATTCTGAACCCAAGTAGCTGAAAAGGGCTTCCATTGCCACTCCAAATCCTCGACCACCCAACAACACACCATCAATCCCCTGCCCAGCAGCAGTGGTTCGCTCCCAGGAAGTGGTAGGTCTGAGCGTTTCAAGGGCCGCAGCAATCCGGTCCTTGCATGTTTCCACCTGTTTAGAGGAATTTTGAATTTCATAGGTTATATCAAAGGCGCATGTATGCTATTTGTATCTATTTTTGTGGCAGAATAAGGCATTCATCTGTTAATATACTCATAAAGAAAATTATTGGAGCACTGGGAATAGCTTGTATTATCAAGAATAACATACAGGAGCCAAGAAAGAAAGCAATGGCATGGCATCTTCAAGGTCAACTGGTAACTTGGCATCCGAGTCAGGAGGAATGAAAACATTCTTTACAACAGGTATTGCCCCCTGAACATCATATAGTCCTATTTTATGGCTGAATGCCATGAGCCCAAACAATGATCCCGGACTAAGTCCTGGAAATGCATAAAAAATGAAACATATCAAAGAGAGAATCAGGACCATTACCAATATGAATAAACGATATTTTTAGTTATCAAATGAATTAAAACCAAACCTTCAAGGGCTGCTAGAATAGCACTTTTCACGAGTTCCAAGAACTCTTCAGAAGCTGCAAAGTTGATATACAGTAAGATAAAATCAAAATCACACTGCATCTTAATAAAAAATTTACTAAATTTACAGCTGTCTGGAGCACTTAATTCAGAATTGTGTGAATATAATGAAACCAACCAAAAATTATGTCAAATCGAAAGACAAAAAGGGATAAAAAAGTTGAATTTATACGTCATCTCGTGAGAAAAAGGTTCCAATCATAGAAGAAACTCATATCAGAGCCATAGGCTAAATTTCAAAAAAACTGAGTGGAGACAATGATAGGGCGTTGGAAAGGACACAAGTACTGACATCTCCAGAAAATTTCGTAAATCTTTCTTTGACTTTGTTGTTGGTGTAGAGACAGGTCCTTCTTACATATCACGTTGTGAACTTATTCCATGACGAAGCAAGCAAAAAGAGACAAAAAATCTTGCAGATCTTTCAATAAAATCAAAGGCTCTCAGAGTAGTGATCATAAGAGAGCATAGACAACAGGCAGCCGACGAAAGTTTTCAGTGTTTTTCACTTCTCTCCAAAAATCTATTTTTTACCAGCAACTGAGTCCCAGGTAGCTTCTAGATTATGAGCACTTCCTCTTACCATGTGAATTCCAGGCTATTTCAGCTGATTTGTCTTTTGTATGACTTTCCTTTTAAGGTATTTAGCCTAACCACAACAACAACGAGTACGGTCCTTTCTTCAGCATTTAACGTAAGTGATCACAAAGGAGTATAACCTTTCATTGGTGATGCATATAAGATATTTTGAATCTCACTGAAATTCTGATAGCGCTCCCGCAGGAAGCTTAGTGAAAATAGAAATTACAGATATCCGATAACTTGCCCGTGGTAGCCACTATTATTGATATCAAGTAAATGCATGCGTATCTCTGTTTCCTGCCCAAGGGAGAAAGGGCCATTTCCCATTAATTTTAGCAAAAGATTGCCATAGAAAAAAGAGTGGAATGCAACAAGGATCGATCTAATTACACCTTAAAATAATAAATAAACTTAAGGCAAAACCATGAAACTCACAATCAGATCATATGGTTTAAAGAGATAATGGCAATCGTGTTTTCTGTCTGGCTGGCCTAAATCACCCTGACTTGGACAAACTAAAAGTTCCTCAAATACTGAAGTAGTCAGACTAGCCTTATCACAATCCAATTCAATACTGGTCCCTGATGATACCACCTACTTACAACCGATTGTTCTCACCAACGAGCAAGCATATGTGATATCCTTTTGGCCTTAAAACCTCCCACAGTATCCTGCGAGAAGGAATAACTTTGCCCATTGATAGGTGGAAACGAAGAACTACGCTCATCTATTCGACTCCCTAATTCCCTGAATGGCTCTAAAGCATACCGCCTCAACCAAAACTCCCATGTCTATCACGGCTTATGGAAGACGGATGATCAATGCCACATCGTAGAAAAGGAAAATATCTCACCCCTCAATCATCTTCACAGTCCATTTGACTGATTCATGGAGTTACTTGCTCGGATTAATTTGTCTTTCATCACTGTGCATGATCCAACGGTGACACAAGTCCAAGGTTAGTTGTTTACAGTGAATTAATAGGCTGCACTTACAACCAATTCTGGATCATTTTTCTACTGCTCATTTTTTGACATTTTGATTTACGAGAGTCCTGTCACGAATGAATTTTTGAATGAATTCGTATCCTTAATTTATACCCCTTAATGGACCAATTTCAAGCAGATGATTTTGCCATGTTTTCTTTTCTACGAACCATGTTTGTGAGGAAAGATATCATGTTCCCCTCCATATTTGAACCATCCTCTCTGCCATGATTGTAATGGGACATGTTATCTCAAGCGTGCCTCAACAACCATCCTCATTTAAAGCCTCCGCCCGGTTTCTCTTCGGCATCTTTCCCGTCCACAACGGAATTCAAGTTATCCTTCTTCATCCTTTTCTCTTGGTTTTCAATGTCGCTTTCCCGTCTTGATTTATGCAATATGCATCTTCTCCACTAGTTAATTAATACAAATGCTTTGACAGTTCGACCAGGCAAATTCTAGTTCCGATGAATTCTTCTCGGTTTTTTCGCGTACAAGACAAGTCATACGCTGTACTTTGCCATGAATCAATGAAATAACGATAACTACTCAGCCGTTGTCAGAGGATATTGCGGCTGTCGATCCTAAACTCAGAAATCATAGTGCAAGAGTATGAATGATGAGATCTTACAGGACAAATCCACTGCAGCAACGTAGACCGGCCTTGCCTCCATCTCAGATTCTTCCTCTGAAATTTGATCGACATTCTACAAATCTGAGGCCAATTGACGAAATCCAACCAAGCTGGGAGCCGTAGTAGTTTACGGCGGGCAGGGACGTACCGGGGAGCTCCAGATCGATGAAGGAGGAGATCATCTCGGGGCACGACTGCGCTTGGGAATAGCGGTCGATCGCCTCAGAGGTGAGGCCGTTGAGGGCGTCGCAGAGGGCGCAGTTCCATGACCACTGGTCCAGCTCGCAGTAGGTGTTGAAGTAGGCCCAGCAATTCTCGCATCGGGGGAGAAGGTTCCCCTCCCCACCGTAAGTCGGCGGGCTGCCGTGCTCATCCCCCTGGGAGAAGGGCGTGACGGTCACGCCCCAAGGCAGCCCGCAGGCTTCATGCGCGTCCCGATCGACGGGAAATCGAGAGAGGCTAGCCCTGATCGCCATGGCCGATGGAACTGACGGCAACGGAGCTGGAACAGAGAGAGAGAGAGAGAGAGAGAGAGAGAGAGGGACTCTCACGGGCTCAAGCAGTACCGCGATTCGGGGAGATCGCCGCCGGGGCCCGTGGTTGGTTACAAATAATTCCCCAAATGTACATAATTGTATGTATGTCCTTCCTCTCATAGGCCCCTTCTCCCCCCCCCCTCCCGGACTCTAAATTCATCCCAATTTCAATATAAAATCGTTGATAATAATGCATAAGTTTTTCTTCTCCCATTGAGATGCCATCTGATTCTCTTCTTACCCACGTTTTATATATGCCTAATCCTTTTTATTTTATTATATATTTTTTAAATTGCTATATTAATAGCGTCCAAGTTGACAGTCGGGTGGTTGCCTAAAGATGCACGAATTGAGCAACTTTCCATACTCTAAGGCTTCGTTTTTTTCCTTGGAAGTGGGAGGGAGTCAACGATGGAGCCCACATTCTTTTGTGCTCTAAATGATATATTTTATTTTATTTTATTTTATAATCCCCTCTCACGACGAGAAGCAAACTCCCACAAAAAAGTCTTGCTTGCTCGCCTGCTTGCGTCCGTGCGTGCGTCTGGGGCGAACTTCTAGAGAGAGAATTGGCAAGTGGTTGTGTTTATCCATGAAATCCTCGAAGATTCTAGAGGATGGGTTAACTTCATCGTTGGTTAGCCGGCCCCCCTCTTCAACCACGACGGTTTCAACCATTGGCGAATCCGTGTGCTGGAGTCTCTATTTCACGCGCCCTCACCCACCCCTCTCCCCTCGGCGGAAGTCTCCGTACCATCCACGGCTGCCGGTGAGCCCGGCACTGCAGACTCGGGCACGGAGGCTCGATCGGAGCGCTGCCTCCTAGTTCCCACTGGATTCCAATGTCAACGCAATTGACTTGGGGTCGTCCTGGTCAAACACTCCCTCTGCTAAGTAGTCCGAATGCTCTGGAACCTCGCGGGCATTCAAATCATGCCCGGTGCTTAGATTTCCGGGTCTGTTCTTCCATTTTTCTAGGTCAACGCGGTTTGAAAAATTAGCATAAATATCCATAACAGTCAACCTCATCCAAAAATAATAATTATATTATTCGCCCTCTAGAATATAATATAAAGTATTTATATATTATATATCAAATCAAGTAAATCTGAATAATATGCTCTCAAATGGGTTGCACGCAGTGTGCAAACTGGGGTCTGGATCAACCTCAGAGCAACCCTAGGGGGGATGCCGTTGCCTCGATGGAGTGGATAGAATTCCACGCTCTTCCTTACTTCATCGGACGGCTGGGATTAGCCGTGGCCGATCCCCGGCGGTCAGCGTTCGTGCGTCCGCCACGGCATGTAATCGGAGTCGCTCAATCCTTCTAGAAGATCATCTCCCCCAGCGCTTATTGGCGGCGGCGGCCAGATACTTGCGCCATCTGTCCGCAAAGGGAGACTGAAACCACGTCCTCCACCCTGCTTCCGCCGACGCCGCGGCTCCTCATGGACTCCGGTCTCACCACGCACCCCACGAGGTGGGCAGCACCAACTCTCCTCCAGCTGGACGCGCCGCGTCGACCAGCGAGCATCACCCACATCTCGATGATCGACGGTGATCGGCGCGTCCTCTTCGTAATCAACGGATCACGGCCTGGGCAGGTGACAGCGGCGGCGGCAGCCGGCTGACGTAGAAGAATCGAAAGTCGGTTATTTAAAACGGGGTATTGTCTGATTGCAACTCCGCGCCAAAGCTGGTCAGTAGATGCTGTCTGTAGCCATAGTAGTCAGTCAGCCCCCACGGATAGAACCCGCGTGAGGTCGCAGCCAAGTCCAAATAGGCCAGTCTAGGCACCTCTGTGGGTACCCCCATCTATAGAAAAGAGAGTGAGAGAGGTGATGCAGAGATCGGGGCTTGGTTTTCCTTTCAGCCTAGGGGTTTCAGGAGGGGCCTGGAAGAAGACTGGCTGAACCTAGACACCATAGCATCTACTTTCCTTGCTTACTTTGGAATTATAATGAGAGGAAGAAAACAATTTCTTTCCGCTGGTATCTCCTCCCTATAAAGATAGAAGCTTCCGGATCGCGATCTTCAGACGGAGCCCACAGTCACGAGGGAACATATAAGATAATGGATGGGTACGACAGGGAGAGAAGAACACATGGGATTTATTCTCTTAGACCGGTCTTGGGATAATTGGTGGAATCGTTCTCAGAATTGTCAATTCTTTGGGGCTCACGGACAAGGGTGGGTCTATCTGATTATTCTACAGTAGTTCTCCAATAGAGTAGTAAAAAGATATATTAGAAAGAGTCTCGATCAGGGGTAGGAGGAGTCTTCCAATATGATGATGCCACCCGGTCTTCTTGGGTTGGAGTCCGATGAGAAAGTCTTCTGTCAGCCGAGGAAATAATCAAAGTTTTTGAGCTAAGCTTCTGGTCAATCGGGCGCTGATGATCCAAGTCAAAAATAGTACGAACGCGTTTCTAGAACCTCTGATTCAAAGTGGATCCGCTGTCGCTTTTCCTTTCAATTTTTCTTTTGAAGATGAAAGCGAGCGATTCGGAAGCCCTAATTTTAAAAGGAACAGAAACCGCACCTGTCCTCTGCCGGAGGAAGCTGGAACAAACGAGATCCGCCGGTGGTGGCGGCACAACTCTCCGCCCGCAGTGAATGCAGATCAGGACACGAATGGCATCGGGGAATAATTTTCGTACACTAACTGTTCACCCGGTTCTGCGGAAGAGCGCGAGTGGCGGACCGAATGGATGAGGAAATTCCAACGGAAATGTCCGCGCTGGGAACCCCCATTTTTGTTGCGATTTCTCTATACTACACGACCGCGCTGCCGTAATTTCACCGCTTGCTCCCTGCTCTTCCAACTCCTGACGACTAGTCGAAAGATCGGGGTTCAATAAATGCTGTGGATAAAGACGCCGGGAACGCGATCAAAGTGAGGAAGATGCGGGGGGCGGCCGGATGACCGGAAGACCAGATCAAAGCGATGCACAGACGACTGAAGGAAATTCAATCTTCCCTAGACCAGTCGGAAGAAGACACCGCCCCAGCGGATTTCCTTCGAAGACGGAAGTAGCTCTCGCCATTGGCGGAGGATCGAGGACGAAGAGACAAGAAGCCGGAGATTGGCACTCGGGAACCGTAGCTGGAACTCCTCCCCGTCCTCTGTCGATCCCCTCGTCTTCTCCCGCCCATTCCCGCCGACGTCGTTCTCGAAGCTTGACCCGGGTTGATAATGACAAATTATCAACATAATTAGTTAAAACGGAAGCATCAAGTTAAAGCCAAACTGCCATCTGAGGGAGTTTGATCAGATCGGACGGTAAAAACGTGGCGATGGTGATCTACGGCCCAGACTGGGGAGATGGAATGCGCATCTGGCGTGGCAAGGTCATGACCGTCAGATCTTATCGACTTAATACCGCCGGCGACCAGACCATTAAGGAACAAAAAGAAACGTCGCCCGGAGACCCGCATCGCGGTAACACGCGGACAACGGCAGAGAACGTGGAAGACGAATCATAACACAAAATCACTAAAATACCCCTATTATATCTAACTTTTTACCTTGTCTCCCCCTTTAAAGTTCCCCCCTCTTCTCCCGCACACCTCAGCCACGTCTTTCTTCTCCGTCTTCTTCCTCCCCCTTCAGTCCTCATCTCCCTCTCTCTCTCTGGTTCTCGCTCTCTCCGTGTGGAAGTAAATTTTAGTGGCTCGGATTGGAGGAGAAGATGCCTCAGGTAGTCGACCTGGAGGCACTGGTCTGCGGCGGAGGCGACGGCAAGGTGTCGTGTGAGACCTCCCTGCCCCAGGATTCCCCTGTTTCTGCGTCTCCGGCGAAGGGGATGGACGAGCCGGCGGAGTCCTTCCGGCTTCCCTTCAAGGAGGAGATTGACTGGGTGGACCGCAACGCCGCCCCCTTCTTCGACAGGGACGACTCCACCAAGGAGGTCACCAATCCCAAGTCGGCCAACCACCATTTCAGCGGCAACCTTGGCACCAATCCCAGGGCCAACTCGACCTCGCAGCGGTTCGCCGGCAAGCCCAAGGCCCCTATCATCGCCCTCCCCAATAAGCTCCGCCACTCCGGCTACCTCGGTCACAGCCGCCGGCACGCCCCCATCTTCCCGAAGAAGGGCCAGCAGGGGATCAAGCCGCCGGCGCCGGAGTCCGAACCGACCTCGCCCAAGGTCTCCTGCATGGGGAGGGTTCTCTCAGATAGGGACCGGAGAAGGTTCCGGAGAAGGACGCCGACGCCGGCTCCGGCTCCGGCTCCGGTCCCGTCGACGACTACTGTAGGGGAGAGGTCCGGGTTTTGGACGGCGATCTGCAGGGTCTCCTGCTTCCGGCGGCCGAGGAGGTCGGCGGCGGTCGACGACGACGGGCTCCCCTCATTTCGGAACACCACCACCACCACCAAGGACGGGTCAACGCCGAGGGAAGACGCCGACGGGGAAGCGCCGGCGGCACCGCCGGGGATGGGGCTAGGCGCCATGAAGCGTTTCACGTCGGGGAGGAGGTCGGAGTCCTGGGCCGACGAATTAGACCACGGGTCGAAATCCGGGCCGTTGCTTGAGAACGATCCGGGAGTCCTGGGGCGACGAATGGCGGGCTCGCTGCAAGATCTGGACTGCGAGCGGGATTGGAAGAGCTCAGGACCGGCCTCCGTCTGAAAGAGAAGCTTCTCTCTCTCTCTCTCTCTCTCTCTCTCTCTCTCTCTCTCTCTCTTTCTCGCTCGCTGGAGGTGTTAATTTGCTTCTCTATGTGAAAAGAGATCGATTTTCAGAAGGTAGAGGAGCCCCCCTGCGAGGTGTTGTGGGTTGCCTATAGCTTCGATGTTTGTGGATTCCCCAGCTGCCGCCAGCCCTCTGCCTTCCTCCTTTTTCTGGGAATTCAACTCTCGTCAAATCGTGCAGAAGCATTCAGTCGATTACGGCGGTTTCCTTCCGGCTCATCTTCTCTTTCGTCCCGTTTTCCCAACCCAATTCCTCAGAAAGCTCGAGGAGGCGGGTTACGTGGGGCATCTCCTCTCTCTCTCTCTCTCTGAGACTTCCCGATGCCGTGCTACGCGTGTGGTGGTAGGTCGAGTCGGTCCACTCACTTTGGAATGTGACCAAAAACTTTTCTCAATTTATATGAAAACGATACAAATTTATTTTATTAAAAAAATAATGGATTTACGGACACGTTCGCGTCGGGAGAAGGGTGCGTGAGGTGATTGCTCTAGCAAGTGAAAGCCACGTGTCTTGCCGTCACGTATGCACGTGGATCGGCCAACGCGACAGGTCACACTCCCGCCAACTATTATTATTTAAACTATAGTAAAATAATTATCTATAATGTTTTTGGTTTCTTCTGAAATGGATCCCTGATATTTTTTGTTCAAATTTGCGTATAAGTCTCTGTAAAGCTAAGAAATTTGTCGCGCTTTAACCACGGAGAATATTCCGAAATTCATAGGAATATTCCGTTTGATTCTTTACGGTGACGTCTATTAACGGATTTATAATTCGTAAGGGACGCATGTAAGTAGTACGCTTAATGATATACCCCATTTAAGGTAAGATATTACTAATTATCTCGATAAATTAGGATTTTATTTATTGCAAAAAATAAATCATTTTAGACATTTCGAGATATTGTGGTTCGCACATCTGGTCATTTCTCGAAATATACAAAATCTCAAAATTTCCGACTTTAGAGTGAAGGAGATGAGGGACTAATTTCTAAATAAATATTTGTAAAGGAACCGAAAGTAATTAAATATTATTATGTAAGGACACAGTTGCCAGCAGATCTATAAAACCAACCTCCTACCCTCAGCTTTGCCGACTTTTGCTAATGGAGCCCTTCGGTAGATACTCGTCGCAGAGCTACGCTCCCTCCGCTCCTCCCTTGCCACCGGAGCAGCAGCAGTCGCCATCGCCATCCCAGCAGCAGAAGCTCGAGCGTTTCTTGTCGTCATCTTCGGGGCTCTCGTACGGCGAGCTTCCACGGCCATCTCCGGCCGCGTCCTCCGGCGCGTACTACGGCTATGGGGCTGTCCCCGGGGCGGGTGGCGGCAGTGTCGGTGGGGGTTGCTATTTCCCGCCGGGGATGCATCCGTGGATCATACAATGCTTCCAGGCTGTCGACCGTGACGGGAGTGGTTTCATAGACGAGATGGAGCTGCAGTCCGCTCTGTCGCAGGGGAACCAGAAATTTGGCCTCCGGACGGTTCGCCTGCTCATGTTCCTCTTCATGGACCATAGATTCCCTTCCAAAATCGGTGAGCACTTGCAGAACGCATTTTATTCTTGGATCCACTTGTAGAAAATGTTGATTCGGCATAATTCAAAGGAGAAGGGGTGAAACAACTTATTGAAAAACATTACAACAGCAACTGGATGTACTGTTACCGTAGGGTAATGCTACTGGTTCCATAACCCTACGAGTGGCACACTCGATTGGATGCAATGGAGATGCCATGAGGAGTAACTACCTTCCGCCACAACATTGCAACCTAAAGATGAATAATCAGAGAACCACACGCAAAACGAAAAACTAGACGTGGGAGAAAGGGTGCTCAAGCTAATGTGATATACTGATCCTCGCGTGTATTATTAATTGCATCGCTAACGACCTTGCGAGTATCAGAAATTCACTGACTAAAGATGTAATTGGCTGATCATTAAAAACACTGCCTAATGATATACTGTCAATTTTGCTGTTGGAGAACACTGGGACACATTACGGTTGGCTTTTCGCATTTCTACCTCGCAGGAACTTCTTATTTCCTATATCTTATTTGCATGCATGGGATACCATCTGATTGTTTTTACTCTTCGATTTGACAACAAAAAAATCAGTTTTATTCAGGCAGCGTGTTCTGCTGACATTATCTTGCACTCATCTTTCTTTCTAATATCCAGAACTCGTTTGGTGACACGGTGTTCAATTTTTTGGTCAGATAATATATCTGACTTTCTTAGAAAGAAGTTATTCAGCCTTATTACATTCTATTCTTCATGGAGTCCTCTGAGGCTGATTTTCACTTTGTTTTGTGCTAGGACCCACCGAGTTTGCAGCAATATGGGATTGTATTGGAAAATGGCGGGTAAGTACCACAATTAATCAGGATATCTCTGTGTAACATCGTGAGAATGCATCTGCATTCCGGCACTTTCATCAAAAGAAATTGCATGTGTCATGCCACGAATAATATCAAGAGTCATATTCAGAGTATGGATCTGTAATATGTACGGCTGTACATTTATAGAAGCATTGTCAAAGCACTTTGGTTTAGTTTTTCTGGTCATTTCAAAGCAGTGTACGCACTAACTGATCACATCTGCGTGTAAAATATTTCTTAACACCATTTTGGTTTCGTATGGCCAGAGAATGCCCAGTGACTCAACGAATCCTTGGAAATGCTTGTGATATTTGCAGGAACTGAATGTTCCTTTGATTTGACCATTTCTGTGTGTGACACAGTGTTTGATTTATATATTCCAACGGGATGCACATTTTTGGAAATGAGCAGCTCTAAAAGAATATTACTTTAGGAGCACCCCGGACATAATTGTGGTTCATGAGCATTATGCTTTATTGTGCCTCCCAAAATTCGTCTGTGAGAGAGGTCATTAGTGCTTCATTCATGTGACTATTGCAGACAATACTACTGTTCATTAGCCAATCAAATACGGCATGGGGTTCAAGGTTGTTCAATCGAACGTTTTCCCATAGGATGTTGTTAAGAACAATAGTACTTAATTTGAGTAGACGTAGACATTTATTTAGAAGCCAAGATCTATTGAAATTGTGTATCCTAATAAATGATATAGCTCAGGAACTGAAGTACGTTTGAGAGTATGAAACATAAATTCGAGAAGAAAATTACATAGTAATACCTGGATAACTGAATTATGTTGCCATATAACTGTGACTTAAATCTTAACGAGTCAACAAAGGCTGTGAAAATCTATTGGAGGAGAAATGCTTTGACGGTACTGTTTGTGTTGTTTCTGCTACGTCAAAGGCAGCCTTTGCTTGCTGTTCTCCTGCTCACTTCGAATTATTCGTTTGTTTTGAATAATTATATTGATTTTCCTTCCCCGTTCCCACTAGAACAGACGAAAGAAAATTGCTTACTTGTTAATTGTGCTATTACTCCCACTCTCTCCCCCTCTCTTGCATTTATGGGTATGCTTGTGTGTGTGTGTGTGTGTGTGTGTGTGTGTGTGTGTGTGTGTGTGTTTGTACCTGACACATGCGTGCGCTGATGGGAGCTCATACCCTGCTGCCCATTAATTCAATCTTAGAGCTTGATTTCTCCGGTTTCTCATCTGTGGTTTTGGTTTTGGAAAATAAAGTCCATTACAAATTAGCATCAACTTTGTTCTACTGCCTTTTCACACATGATCTCATCTTGGCGCCACTTTGAAGAGCCAACGTTTGTCTTCCTGAAAGTCATTTTTTTTTAGTATTATGTAAGCAATGAAGCCGAAGGTATGGAATTATCTCGCACTTCATCTTAAGCTATCGTGATTCTATCAGCTGGATCACCATTCGACTATGAACCACGAGTAAGCATGTGCTTTCATTTGATTTGACGGCCGGATTCCTTTTCTTTAGATGACGACGAGTTTGTTCTATTAACCATTTAAAGGCTTGATTCTTCTGATGGTTATCATGCTGATGCTCAAGACACTTCATCCACTAGTAGATTGCAACGTCTCTTCAAATCTCCTAACGTCTTTATCGTTGCTTCCTCTTCCGATGCCTGCAGGCCACCTTTGAAAGATTTGATGGGGATCGGAGTGGAGAAATAGACTCCAGAGAACTACGAGATGCCCTGCTTAGTTTAGGCTACGCTGTGCCAGACTCCGTCATTCAAGTTATCCTGTCCAAGTACAAAAGCAGTAGCCGTCAAGGGGGCGCTGCTCTTAATTTTGATAGCTTTGTCGAGTAAGTGACTCAACTGCTGCATTGATTGCGATTTCTTTTCGAATGGCCGTCCCTGACGTTCCCTAGATTCTTCTCTGCTCAGGTGTGGGATGATCGTAAAGGTACGCAGAAGCTCTCCTCATGCATGCCATCATCTCTCATAACTATTCACAGAAGACTCGTCTTCTGTTCCTCAATGCTTGCACCTATAGCTTCGTTGCTCGGGTCCCTACTTGCAGGGGTTGACCGAAAGATTCAAGGAGAAGGATCCGCAGTGCACAGGTTCTGCGAAGCTCACCTACGACGCCTTCATGTCCATGGTCGTCCCCTTCATTGTCCCGTAGGTTGGTCAACCACTGTTACCGGTTGTGAGGATTGACCTGTTTGGATCATGGGAGAAGAACTACTTTGTTCCTTTATTATTTGTGTTCTATTCACATGATACTCTGTTCAAGTCCCCGAGAAACGCGGAGGACGGGTCATCCTTTCTTCTCCACTTCCAGCGAGACCTCGTTCCGGCGGGCGAATGGGAGTGTGAACGGCGGGTTGAACTGCGATCGAGCGGGGCAAGAGAAAAGTCAGCGGCTCTGTTTTGTTCCTCGGAAGAAGCGATTGGTCTCCGCTCACCTGCGCCACCTCCACTGAGGTACTCTCTTTCACCTGAAACTCTGGTTCACCCCTCAGCGCGTCCCTCAGTCTCAGCTCCTTCTCTCTGACCACTTCGTCCGTCACCAGCCCTGTCGAAATGGGATCCATATATGAGTATCTTGGTCTGATTATGAAGGCCTGAATTCGTCTAGAAATGGATGTGGTTTGACTTTCTGACCGGAGAAGGCTGAAACGGCTACAATCTTCCCGGGCACCTCCCTTATCCTCACCGAGGGGTCCTTGGGCTGCGGCAGGTTTCCGCCGTACTTGGAAGGCAGGACGAATGACATCTGCCAGGCGCCCTCCTCGCCTTGCTGGTGGTCAGCCACAGGGCCAAAGGGTCGGTCATCTTTGCCCATGGGCCATGAGGTCGACGGGAGTGCTCGCTCACCTTTGTGATGACTGGGTTCGTCATTTCCATCCTCTCCCCGTCCGACTGCGCCCTTCTAGTAAGAACTGGCGTCGTCATCTCCATCTCCTCACTCGCGGCGTTCTGGTTCACCACCAGATGAGAAGGTCAACCCTCGGAGTCAGCGGCGGGTCTTGTCTTTCTTTCTTTTCCTTCCTCTGATGGTATTAACATGTTCTCGTACCTTCCCAAACAGGTAGCCGGCCAAGACGTTGAACGCCTGCCCCGAGCCGCTGAAGTCGAACCCGGATTTCCCGGGCATCGTCGTCTCCGCTATGAAGAACGGCTGCTCGGGTATTGGAAGAACAGAGTTTCAATGAGGAGGAGAAGAAGAAGAAGAAGAAAGCGGATACCTTGACTTCTCTGATCTCGTAGTTGGCCGTCCTCTTCAGAACCTTGAAGTCAACGGTTTCCAAATCGGGAACTGCGGAGGAGCCGCCAGGGGGGATGGAGGTCAATAAACTAGCCGTTGCCAGTGGGAGGAGGAGGAGGAGGAGGGGAAAGGGGCGAAGGTCCAACAGGTACCGGACATGAGGGCTTCCTCGAGGCTGCGGGGCTCCCCGAACCTGCGCGAAGGTGCGGCGTACTTGGCGGCCTCCGTCAGGAGCTCCCTCAGAGCTGCCCTACGCAGGAAGGAGGACTTCTTTCAGGTCCTCGGAGCTCTCAAAACTCTTTCTCTCTCTCTCTCGCTGGGCTTTACCTCGCTGGGAGAGGGAGATGGTCTGAGCGGCGAGGGCGGCGACGAGGGAGACCCGGGTCTCCAGCGCCGTTGGGCTCCGCCGCCGCGGGGCGGCGCCCGGTGGCGGCAGCGCCATGGCCGTCGGGGGGCGCCTCCCGCGCAAGGAGGGCCCCCGGCGGGGGAGGAACCTCGGGGAGGAGCTCGCGGGGAGAAGATCGCAGCGCCCCGCCGCCATTCCCTCCGGCCGCAGAGGAAGAAAACCAATAAGAAAAAAAAAAACTCTTCATCGCTTATTTAAAGCTGGAATAATTAATAAATATGCATTTTCCTCCCTTAATTTTCATGGCGGATAAATATCACGTATAAATTCCCCAAATCTTGCCGCGAAATATCTCTCGAGACGTCCGATGGGATAGATATCTGCCGAAATCAGCCGAAATCAGCCGACTTTGATTTTCTAATTAATTATGAAATAAATAAATAGATAATCAGCTTGTATAAGGGAATAAGCAGCGAGACGACGGAGTGCCAATGACTGGGCTTTGTGGCTGATATAGCTCCACCACTGGGGAGAGAGAGAAGAGAGAGAGAGAGAGGGCTCCAAAGATCTGCAGATACGTCCCTTTGGGGAGGGAGAGCTCTCCACCGGGCTGCCGATGGGGGCGACGATTTGAAAAAAAAGGGCTTAGCAGCAGAGAGACGCCATTACCCTTCCCGGCTTCTGGCGTCTATCCTCCTCCGGCTATGGCGTCCCTGACAACCAGCCTCTCCGCCACCGGCAGGGGCGGCGCTGGTTCGTGCCACAAGCCGGCGCTCAGCACCTGGAGGCCCGCCCCCTCGGCGCGAGTCCCGCGGGGGTTGTTGTCCCATCGCATCCCCTGCTTGGGCTGCGGGGGAGCGGCGCTGGCGCCGGCGGCGGCTCTCCGGCGGCGGTGTCCTAGGATTCCGGTGGCAGCGGGGATCAGGGCCAGCGTGCAGTTCCCGGCGGTGCCAGGGAGCGGGGGGGCGCGGGTGGAGTCGGATTTGCTGCCCAAGGACGTGCGCGAGCGGGCCATGGGCGCAGTGGATTCCTTCGGGGGTAGGGTCACCATCGGAGACGTCGCCAGCAGAGCGGGGCTCAAGTTGGGCGAGGCGGAGAGGGCTCTGCAGGCTCTCGCGGCCGATACGAGTGGCTTCCTCGAGGTAGATTCCTCACACCCCTGATCTTCCTTGTTTATTTTTTTCTCAATCGCCGAATTACTGGTTGATTACTTGTGGCCGACCGCCTTTAATCTTTCAGTGTTGGGATAAAATGTTGTGGATATGCCGCGCGTCAGTGCGTTCTCTTGTTTCTAGCTGGTTGGACTCGAATTTCAGTGTTCCATGGCTGTGCTTCAGCCGGGCTGATTACATATCAGGGATTTCAGTGTGTAGTACATATCTGTTCGTCATTATTAGGAAAGAGTTCGAGACAATATTAGTCGTGCATTGGATCAGATAAGGTTCTTTTTCCCCCTTGTGGAGCAGTGCTGGGTGTTATAAACGCAAAATACCAGAGGCCTTGGATTCTGAAGAAAGAAAGCGGGGGCATGCACGGATCAGCATGTTTTCATGTTAGGGGAGACAGAAACCTAGGTAAACAACTAAATCGATTGAGAACTCAAAGACATCTAAACCATGTCTTTGATTTCAGAGATTTTTCTGGCAGATTAACATTGTAGCCATTTTGGGCTTCCCATGCGTGGATGCCGTCCACAAGGAACACAGGTGTTGGACCATTTCTTTCTTGAGAGGCCATCTTTACTGCATTCCATTGCCGTGCATGCAAGTCAGAAAACTCCAACATCACTTTTTGGAGTAGTGTTACATTACGTATGTAGAGTGAACACTATAGTTCCTCTGCCAATTAAAAATGAGATGACAAGATGGAGTTTTGGCCAGTGCTGATTAGTGAGACTCCAGGGATTGCTTGCATCCGAGATTACGTCCTAAACTGTCTCAAAATTGACGGGAGAAGACATTATTAGGCAATGTTGGTCGTAAATGCTACTTTGTTCATCCTTCGGTAGTTATTTTGACGTAGATAACTTGAATCCCTCGTTATGGAGGCAAGGTGATCAATTTGGGATCTGGGTACCATTTCCCCATTTTGTGTTCTTTGATGATTCTCTGATCTAATGATGAATGTGTGATGCTAATGTATTGATCGAGTACTTCATTTTGAAAATGATATCATATTAGTTGTGCCTCGTATCACTGGAATTTGCTGATTATTTTCATGTGATTGTGTTCAATCTTGTGCATTCAGTGACAACAGTCAATCCTTACGCCAGAGACAATGACTGTTCAGAAGGTCTCTGCTCACTTTCTTGACTTTTTTATGTTGTCCCATGAGGGAAATATCGTAAAAAACGTTCATGGACTAAAGATGTTAGTGGTTATTACATCTCCCGAAGGTTTTGGGTGCGAAAGTGATAAAACGTGTATCATATCGTGTCTATTTGGATTGGGAGGTACTGAATTGAAATAATAGTTCTTCCATTACCATGGAGTTTAGCCAATGTATACATTGGATGCTGCGGCTTGGAGTGAGGAAATGTCAGTGAGCTCCTTCCTATCTAGTAAATAAATTTACTTATTGATTACCATTCATGCTGCGTTGAATTCTATTGTATGTACATCTTCTCTTTGCAACTGTGGATGATATCTAATGGATGGCTCGCGTTTTTACACGCCAGTACACATTTTAACCGATAGTAGCATTTTGGTTTTCTTCTTTCATAAATACAATCTATTCCAATGTAGTCTTGATAGGTTTCAGATGAAGGCGATGTGCTTTATGTTTTCTCGAGGGATTATCGTTCAAAGCTAACTGCCAAGTCCTTTAAGATGAAAATCGAACCTCTTCTCGAAAAATCAAAGGTACTTCCTGTTACACTGTTTGATTTTGATTGCATTTGACCTTTTTTTTTTTATTAAGTTCATGCAGTTTTCTGCAGGCTGGTGTCGAGTACTTAATTCGGGTATCATTTGGGACAGCACTTATTGCTTCTATTGTTCTCGTGTACACAACAATTATTACAATTATTTCTAGCAGAAGGTAGGTATACCTATATTACCATTTTATTTATGCAAAATAGCATATTGTTCGTGCAACAAGTCACTGTCCTCGCCCTGATTTTATGTATATTTTTTCTTTTACCATCACGCTCTATCCTTCTATCTCGTAATTGGCATGGGTGTAAACATTCCTGAAGAACTGCACATTTGGTTGATGCCAATGTCACATTTGAATTTTGCAATAAATTGAATAAACAATCACCAGGTAGCATATTTTCAGTTCATTTACAATTCCATAAAATACCTAGTTCCACGATATCATCGACTGGATGATTGTGATATCAAACATGTAACAGAATATATAAGAAAATGTATAAATATAGAGAGAGATTGATTTTTGAATTTTATAATAATTATTTTTGAAATGATCATTGCTTTTAGTTTTTCTTTGATGCATAAGTGGATAATATGAATAAAATGTTGGACATGTTTTATGGTCTTTGTCATGTTTCTGTTACAGTGATGAAGACAACCGTGGACGACGAGGTGGGAGAGGATATGACTCAAACTTTGCACTTTTCTTTCGCCCATCCGATCTATTTTGGTAAATCTTCTACTTCATAGAGTAGATATATATATATATATATATATATATTTTCGGGATATTGAAACCGTAGAAAAGCCTAAACCAATCTGGTGTCTAGTGCTTTTATCTATGAAGCCTTTGTACAGATGTTATGTACAAGTACAAGTTCGGACTGTCTTCCTGAATCGAAATTTCCATTCATTATGTGCCTTGAAAGTAGTATGGTTGAAGAAGCCAGATGTAATAGGGGAAGCAAATAGGTAGAGAACGAAACCCATGGAAAACGGGAGAATATATCAGGATTTTATTTCATATTTTCCATTAAGGAAATGGACGGTGTGATTATGCATCCAGTAATGTTGGTGGTGCATGGGCCCATTGTTCGTTGCTGGAGCATCCAGGGGTAGTGAAAATTTGGCATAAACTGTCCATCTCCTTCTTAGATGGTTGCCATTCTTTAAAGAAGAATTTTCTCCCGAACGTGGTTTGCTAGTATTTTTCTCACGTTTTAATTTTGGGCAAGAACCTAGAATTTACCCTTTCTTTTTCATTGCCCTGTTCAGGTATTGGGATCCTTATTACTACAGAAGGCAAAGAGTCAGGACTAATGAGGGGATGAATTTCATTGAATCTGTAAGACAATTCTGTTTTGCTCTTTGTTCATCTTATTTCCATTTTACCTTTTTTTACATGGTGAAAAAATGATACTTTTTCAGGTTTTTTCATTTGTATTTGGTGACGGGGATCCAAATCAAGGGCTTGAAGAAGAAAGATGGAAGTTGGTATATTTCTAATTTGGTCTGTTTTTGCATGCAAAATAACTGATTGCTCTCACTATTTTTATTTTTATTTGTAATGTACCAGAGCTCTCACTATTATTTTACGTAGAAAATATTGCTCTTTATTTGTGATATATATATATATATATATTATACTTGTGATTTCTTGATGTGGAAGTTAAATTAAAAACATCATATAGTTAACATAATTTTATTTACTGGAATAAATATCCATTTCTATAATTTATTTACAGAAATTTAGATTCCCAGCATCGTTCCTTTCCACATCTGCATATATATAATTTGACTAAATTAACAATACTCTTAATGAGCTTTCTCACACCTTGCCCAGAGACCACCCCCTGGTTACTTCAATAGGAGGCTGTGCCAATGGGTGTTGGTTGCTTGAGAGCTTGAGGTCGGTCCCTCTATATGTGTGAGCCACAGCTTGTATGTCCCATCTCAGTTGACCCATCAGTTGACCTCCATATGAGAACCAGAGCTTGTATGTCGACCTAGTCACCCTCCCATTCTGTAATTCCTTTGAAATTTTGCAAAGGGAATTTAAACTTAGCACAGTAATCACGCCAATTAATGGCACCATCTCAGTTTGGGCTCCCCTTATAGCTGCTGCATTGAACCCTAGATTTTGAGTATCCTATAGATTTACTTTGTAAGCATGGTACATTCTGATTCTAGCACAAAGCAGATCTTGAGATTCATGTTTGTTACATATCTTGAAAGAAGTTATGGTGCCTGCTCATTTTCCTCAACAGAAAGAGACTGCAACATGCTGTATCAATCATTGACTTTCTTCTCGGTCGTTATTTAGGCTGCATTGTATTGACCTATTTTGCAATCTGATTCTACTCTGGGGTACGTGACTTGGCAGATAGGAGAGTACATAGCTTCAAACGGGGGAGTTGTCACCGGAGAAGAGCTTGCTCCCTATCTTGATGTCACCACAGATGAGAGTCTGGTATGGAGACAATGCCTGGCTTTTCTCTTCATAATAAAGCGCAAAACGTTAGTACTAAAGAGTCACGAGTTGCAGTGGAATGATAAAATGTCATATTACATTAGTGTAGATGAACGCCATGTATGTTGGGCCTTGATTTCTTATACTATGAAACGAAAGCAACAAGAGCCGCGCTCTAGATATAATTATTCACCATGCCCACGTTTCTGTAATTTTAAGATCAGTGTATGTGTAAACTTGGGTCATATTTTCCCCAGTTAAGTGAGTTTCTTCCGTGAAGTGAAGGCTTCAGGAGCATACAATTCTTTTGTCATTGACCGTAGGGAATAAAGAATGAATGCTACAGAAGCAGCTGATTCATTGATATGAAACACATTATAATAGTATAGTTACTCTGCATGTATTGTAAAAAAAATAGAATCTGATATGCCATAGTCATATTTTTCTTGTTTCCTTGATCAATTTAATTTTGATACATTTTTCCTCATGCGACCTGGTTTTTTTAAAATGTGAACAGAATGATGAATCATATGTCTTACCTGTGCTATTGCGATTTGATGGACATCCAGAAGTTGATGAAGAGGTGCGTCGCCCATGCTCAACATTGTACTACTTTGTCATCATTTAGTGAATGATCTGGTGAGATCGTTGCCAAGCCGCCTCCAATTTCATCTTACTCATTTTAACATAATTCTGCAATGTATTCAACTTATAAGTGTATATAACATTTATTAAATCTGCCATCAGCTTGTGACTGGATGTCTGTCACCCATGAATGATGTGTGCACGAAACTGCCTACTGTTACCTGTCCCATGAAAAGAATTCCATCTTTGCCCATACATGAAGTGCCCTGATTGCATGCTGTTTGCCATTGTAGGGGAATATTATATATAGATTTCCATCTCTTCAACGGACAGCTTCACCGCAGAGGGTTGGCAGAAAGGAATATGTTGGCAGGCGATGGGCTGATTTGGTTGATGGGGTCAAAAATTTTTTTGAAGAGAAGAGATGGGATTTCAGGTTCTTTTTTTTTTTGCTCCCTTCTCGTCAATATATTGTCTTCCAGGAAGAGCAGTGGCTCCCTCGTTTCAGCTTGGTTTGACCTAATGCTGTGGAAAATTCATGCTGAAAATATTACACTTTTTCATGCATTCGAGAGTCAGAACCTCAGGGAAATGTTTTGCGTGTCCAACGCCGATCTTTCTACCTCGTAATCCCGATCTTTATTACTTTATGAGCCATTCCTTCAGCGTGATTTATTCTTAATTATGCAGACTACTATCATCTTTTCTTTTCTTTTTTTTCTGCTAAACTGAAAGGCTCTCAAGCATCTACCATTCTGTGAGGCTTGACCTTCATTTCATTCCCCCCCCCCATCACTTCCAAAAAATAATAATTAATAATAATCAAATCTTCTTGGCATGAAGGGCTTCCTCGATTTGTGTGGTCTCTTAGGTCAATGATCAGGCATAAACCCATGGCATGTTCCTATTCTACTCTAGGGGATTTTTTCTTTTTTCGGGAGATGTTCCTTGATATCTGTGTTTATATCTTGAATTTTCCAGCAAAACAGGGACCTCAGAGAGAGCGATGGTGGTCGGTCTTGGGGGGCTCAATCTTTTTGGGGTCATCGTTCTTGGCACGATACTGAAGTAGGCCATTTATTCTTCATCGCGCTTTCTCTAGCTCTTTTTCTTCTTCTTTTCTTGGGATTTTTTTTTTTTCATGCTCACACCATGCCATCTTAACCTGAAGGGGTACTGCAGTCAGGCCTGCGGGGCTCATCTCCTTCGTGGGTGACATATTTCCTCTGCTCCAGGTATGCTGATATTTTCCTCATATTATCCATGAAAGATTATTCCATGAGGACCTTAATCCCACCCTAGGTTCTTATTGTCATGCAGAGTTAGCTTAATTAATTATTTATTTTTTAAATATTGGCCTGCCACAGCCCCCGGGAATTTATGAAAAATAATTAACCAATGTTATCTCGAAAAATCTTTTGGATCCAAATAAAGTAAAAAGAAAGAAAAGAAGAGGGTTTCTCAGGCAATACCATGCAAATGTTGCGAATTTCTTTGGGAGAATCCTTCTGTTTCTGGTGATTGGAGAGTTTGTTTACTGCGCCGGATGGCGATCCATGGCGCAGGTATATGCGGCCTCGTTCTTCGCGATCCCTCTGTTTCGCTGGTTTCTTCTTCGGGGGAAGAACGCCCAGATCGAGCTGAGGAACGCCGCGAGGAAGCAGAGAGCTCAAGCTCTCGAGTCCCCCGACCCCTCTCTCCGGCGGAAGGTGAGTGGAAAATCCTCACGAGTTCCAACTCCGTACCTCTGTTTCTTCATCAGATCCAATCCCCATCAGTCGACCAATCGATCATCAACTGCTGCTTCCTCTTTCTCTTCCCAGCTTCTGAGCGCGCGGGACATGGCCCGGAGGACCATCATCGGGCCGGAGAAGATCGTCTACAGCACGGAGGAGGACTTCGCCGGCGAGGACTTGGAGGCCCGCGACTGGGAGCGGCGCTTCAGAGAAGTCGAAGGACCCGACCGGAGGAGCTCTCGTCAGCCCCCACAGTGATTGACAGGTCGAACCTGCTGTACAGACAGAGCCTTCTTCTTCCTCTTCTTCGGTGAGGAGGAAGGACGAAGGAGGAAGAAGAAGATGGAGCCCTGAGGGCGATTCCCTCCCTCTCTTTTTATTCCTTGAAAAATTGTTGGGATTTTTAAAATTATTTTGGAGCAAATAGGAATCAGAAAGGTAAAGATCCTCGTAATGGGCCTTAGGTATTGGGCCGGTTCGGCCCACTGAAGCAATAACACCTCGATTGTCGACACGCGTCGCCAGATACTTCTTTTGAACCCCACGTGTCGCGTCGATGGCAGGAGAAGGTTCTAGAGACGCGAACGGCACCGTTTGGGATCTCGGGGGGTTTCCAGAACGAGATATTCGGGTCCGTTATCGGGTTCACCTTTTAGGAGCCTGGAGCGGCCACGCAGAATAGGGGTATATTAGCGATTTCGTCACCCTCTCTCCGCTTTGTCGTTTTCCGTCTTTCCGGCGGCCGGGGAGTCCAATCGAGGGGCCAAGGAGGCCATTTGTCGCCCCTCTTCGGAGGTATAAATACCATTGCAAAAACCCTCCGATGGTTGTAGAGCAGCCCTCGGTCGTTGGGAGAGAGCCGACAGTCGGCTCTTCGGCCCCGCTTCTCCTTCGCTTTCGCTAGGTAAACGATCTCGATACACCAAAGGGCGCCGCGCCTCGGGGACCTATGGGGGCGTATGATGTGTTCTCTTCTGTTCTCTGGAGGGTCGGGGTTTTTGGTTATGGTGTTTCTGTGCGAGGGTCTATCCCTTCTTTGTTTGTTTCTGAATGTTTTTGTTGTATTGTGAGACGGGAAGGTGATGGATTATGGTTGTCACCGTATTTATGTGCTTCGTGTGTCATAGAAGAATAGGCAGTGGGCACATATCTGGAAGTAGTTTTTGTTGTGTTTCATTTATTTTTGTTGTCTTCTTTCTGTTTGTGTTCTCCGATATATTACGCTTGTTGTGAATCCAGTTGTTTTCTGTGAAAAAGTACCATCGTATCCCATGGAAATGTCCCAGATTTGAGTTTTCATGTTCTTTCATTGAAGCTTGTTTTTCTTAATTTTATGAGAAGGACATTTGTCAAAGCCATCCCTTGGATCCACTAGAATGATGACCTCCAAGTTTGGGAACATGATTCTTTGAGAAAGGATTTTCGATGAACAATGTAGTAATGGTAACGGCGTTTCACAGGTGTTGTAGAGAAAAAAAATAACGAATTGCTGGATTTATTTATGAGATCCGAAGATAAGTATGACGGATTCTTCTGGTTGAGCTAGGGATACAGATGGGTGGGTTTGTTGTAATAAACATAGATATGTCTTGTCAGTGGACGAGCCAGAGAACACAGTGAAGCGAATTCAGGGGGGGTTTTTCATAGTTGACGGAAAGAAGCAAACGCTAAGGGTTACGAAGTTCCGCTGTTTTTTGTTTGTTGAAAGATTGGCGTTTGACTTTTCAATCTTCCAGTACATTGGTCACCTCCCATAAAGGTATATCCGAAGAAACGAGAGAAAAGTACAGTTTTCACTTACGTGATCTCCATTTTTGTCAGTAGGATAGGTATCTGAGTGGTGGTAAGAGTCTAGAAGGGGCGTCATCCATCCAAATCCGACTCATGCTACCTGGCAGATTATTTAGGTTATGCAATTCAGGGTCCTGGCAAGAATCAGAGCCCAGTGTCTTTATCTGTATGTTATGATCAAAGTCTACTGATGTGAGTTATGGGATCAAATTTTTGGGGCAATTAAAGGGATTCGGAGGTGCTACTTATCATTCCTTTTTTCGTGGATTTCATTTCATAAAATAGTTAATTACATGTCTGTTTCATTTCGTCACTTAATCAATGTAAATAGTAAAGCTCCATGGTAATCCTCTCATCTCCATTAAACACGCACTATGTTTCATTAGATTATAATCTAATGATATTAATATTCAGCCACGAATCCTAAGCCTGGATATCGTTGTTGTGTGGAGGAACCCAGCCAGCCGGGGTTGGTGCGGATTTCTTCTTCTTTTTTTTTTAACTGCAGGACATGCACATTGGATCTCTGTTCTTCAGTATTCACTATTAATTAGATCGAATTTAGGAAAACATGTGCATATTGACAGAAATTCATTATCTGCATTAATGCTAGCATGAATAGTATGATTTTGCCCCTTCGTGTACACATCTTGCATGCACCTGCTTCACTGAATATACATCTTTCTGTGCACCACAAACTCGCGCTTTCTTGAAACATTGGAGTTTCGAGTGAACTGCAAGGCAATTACTACATGCTTGCATTTTTCATAAAACTCCAGATATCAATCCTGCTGTAAAAGGAAGCGGAAGGTTCATGCCTCCGTTGTCTCACGTGTTTCGCGGCAATACATTGGTACCATTGAATTAATCACGAGCAAATAACAAAGCTCCAAAGTAACTCCTTTATTGTACTCTTGGTTTGTACCGATCAACGATTATTCCCTGCTGAGTGTTCTTTTTTTGGCCCTCAATTTATCTTCTTTCATTTACAAATAACTAATCAAAATCCTTTTTCTTTTGTTGGGTGTTCTTAATTTGCCCTGCAGAGGTTGCTCAAGGATGATGTCTCTCTCCTCAGCCATCACCACCACCGCGGCCCTCCCAACCGCCACCGCCACCCCATCTCGCCGGAGGAGACCCACCACCACCACACTCGCCGGAGCCAGACTCCTCCCTTCCTCCCTGGGCTCGCTGAGGGCCATCACCCCCACCTCGAAGGCGTCGTCGTTCGGCCTGAGGAGGAGATCAGCCAGCAGCAACGGCTTCAGGGCCTCTGCCACGGCGGCGGTGTACAAGGTGAAGCTCATCAGCCCGGAGGGCAAGGAGACAGAGTTCGAAGCCCCCGAAGACGCCTACTTGCTGGACTCGGCCGAGATGGCCGGCCTAGAGCTCCCCTACTCGTGCCGCGCCGGCGCGTGCTCCACCTGCGCCGGCCTCATGGTCTCCGGCACCGTCGACCAGTCCGAAGGCTCCTTCCTCGACAAGAACCAGATGGCCAAAGGCTACATCCTCACCTGCGTCTCCTACCCCACCTCAGACTGCGTCATTCACACCAACAAGGAGGCCGACCTCTATTAGATCAAACCCAGGACAAAAGTTAGGGTGGGTTTCTGGTACGCGATTAGGGCTTCTGGGATTGCCTTCCGCTTCTCGCTCAGCTTCTTTGTCTGGTTTTTTTTAGCCCTTTATTATTATTATTATCCTCCTCTTCCTGCTCTGTAATAATCAGGCTGCTCTCGGCGTGCTTCGAGGACCCACGGTCTCGTCTCCTTCTGCCCTAAATGGCCCAATTGTAATTGGGCTGGGGTTTGGCCCAGTTGTAATTGGGCTGAAGCCTCCAAAATAAAAAAACCCAAACCTCCGCTTCCCTTTCCTCTCTCTCTCTCTCTCTGACCCCGCTGTCGAGAGCTGGCGAGTCGTTGTCTAGATAATGGGAGGGGCCGGTTGATGAGAACGGGGGAATATTCTCCTGAACGGCTCTTTTTTTTTTCAACTCTACAGTAGATATGGACTCGTACCCTCCCCCCTGATGAGAACACAGACGGCTGAGACCCTAGAGAGAGAGAGAGAGAGAGAGAGAGAGAGACTTGATGAAATGGGTACGTCGAGATAGGAACACCCACAACAGTTGAGAGCTTAGTCTGTCGCCATTATGTCACATGGACATTACCAATCAGCTTGAGGGTGGGTTGAGGCCGGCTTGACTTGGAACGTTGGGCCTAAAAGCCCTAGAGCGAAGTTCCCAATGGAGACCTCTCATGGAATTCGGGCCCTATTTATATGGGTTCATAGAGAGAGAGAGAGAGAGAGATGAGGAGGAGAACTAGTTACCGGGCCTTATGACCAATAGATGATATTAAATATGTTTAGGCCATAAATTTTCTACTTTTAGTAGAAAATATCACGCGATGTCATGTAGTACAAATATGCCCATATTTGTATCATTTTCCAGGATTAGCTGACGTAGGAGAGAGGATGCATATACATATATAGATAATATTTGGGAAAAAGAAAAGAAATCAAAGCGCATTTGACGAAAGCTTCCAAATATGAACGCCGTAAGCCTTTCCATTGGGAGATAAAACGGCCGTCGGCGAATGTCGGCAGACGAAGAGGAAGAGGTCGTTTCTTACTTTGCCGCCTTCGCGATATTTGTATAACCGTAGCAAGGTGCCGCATCCAGGAGCAGGGAGGGAGAACCAGCAGCACCAGCAGCACCAGCAGCAGGAGGAGGAGAAGCACGGCGGCGTCAGAGGGATGGAGATCTCAGTTGGGTTGGGCTCTTCGTGCTCCTCGTCGTCTCTGCTAATGCTCCTCCTGCTCGTGCTCTCAGGTTTGCCTTCGTTTCCTCCGGATTTCGGAGTTTCTGAGGTCGATCGGCCTCCGTCCATCGTTTCTGTTTCTCTCCGTCTCTGCTGATATCGTCTCTTCTCCGTGGGTCTTGTCTGTGACTTGCAGGTCCAGATCTCCAGGCGCTCGGCCAAGGTTTGGGAATCAACTACGGCCAGATCGCCAACAATCTCCCGTCTCCCTCTCAAGTACTGGACCTCCTCCGAGCCATGGACATCAAGAGAGTGAAGCTTTACGACGCCGATCCGAACGTGCTGAGAGCCTTCCAGAATTCTAATGTGGAGTTCATCGTCGCCATAGACAACGGGAAGGTGGCGAGCGTGATGGATCCGACCAAGGCCCGGGCGTGGATCGAGGAGAACGTCAAACCCTACCTCCCGCAAACCCTAATCACTTCCATCACAGTCGGAAACGAGGTCTTCTCGGGGAGCGACACCGTGCTCATGTCCAATCTCCTCCCGGCGATGCAGTCCGTTTACCAAGCGCTCAAGGAGCTCGGTCTGGACAAGCAGGTGAACGTGACCACCGCGCATTCCTTCGCCATACTGTCTAGCTCCTTCCCTCCTTCGTCCGGTACCTTCCGACCAGATCTAGCCGAGTACCTCCAGCCCCTGCTCAACTTCCACGCTGAGATCAAGTCCCCGTTCTTCATCAACTCCTATCCCTTCTTCGCCTACAAGGCCAACCCCAGCGGCATCTCCCTGGATTACGCCCTCTTCCGTCCCAACTCTGGCGTGAGGGATCCGAACACCAATTTTAGCTACGATAACATGCTCTACGCCCAGATAGATTCTGTGTACTCTGCGGTGAAGGCCATGGGGCACTCCGACATCGACATCCGTATCTCCGAGACGGGGTGGCCATCGAAGGGGGACTCCGACGAGTTCGGAGCCTCGCTAGAGAACGCCGCAACCTACAACAGGAACCTCCTGAAGAGGATATCCATGGGGCAGGGCACGCCGATGAAGCCGTCGGTGCCGATTGACGTCTTCGTCTTCGCTCTGTTCAACGAGAACATGAAGCCGGGGCCCTCGTCGGAGAGGAACTACGGCCTGCTCTACCCTGACGGCACTCCGGTGTACGACCTCGGCCTGCAGCAGGATTATCAGCCCACGTACTTCGCCTCCTCCTCCACCTCCAGGACGACGGTAAGAAGAATTTCGAACGTGTTTCCTCTGGTCTTCTCCCAAGGGGATTTGGATTTTACATGTCGTGCATCGTTCTTTCCTCTTCGCAGGCGGCAGCTGCCCTCCTTCTCCAGATGCTCCTGATAATGGCGGCCGCTCTGTAACCCCGAGGGAGTGGAGCAGAGCTGTACCCACCATTGTTTCACATGTGGGTTGGTAGTCCTTGTGCCCTAGACATCCCCCCCCCCCTCTCTTTCTCTCTCTCTCTGGGTGCTCCATTGCTTTCACATAGAGCTGGCATTTCTGGCGTGTTGGGGGAGGGGAACAACTGGGATGTGCATCGTTCACCAAGTTCCAATCCGTTCCCTGGTTCTCTCTGCCTCATCCGCTCGGAATCAAACAAGAAGTCATCTCCGTCAACATGCACCCTGAAAGCGCCATGAACCCCCTCCCCGCCTCTGCTTTCAGCGGAAGTTGCTTGCGAGGCCTTCCTGCTCTTCCTCAAACCACGCCTCTTGATGGGGATCCCTGAGAGACCTTCACCTTCTCCTTGACCCGCCCATGACGGCGGACTTTCCGCCGGTGGGCCTCCCTCCTTCCTCTTTCGAACTCTTCCGCCCACCTGTCCGCCATCAATCATAGTTTGTCCTCCGCAAAAATCTGAGTTTCCTTCTTCATTGCAGGCGGAGCCGACGAGGAGCTGACCAGACAGACCACGTTTCCGGACGAATTTCTGCAACCACCCAGAATAGTAAATTACGCCGCCGCCGGAGGTCTCCGATTTGTCGGAGCGGCCGACCATTTTATACGCTTCCCCTCCTCTCGTCTCATTCGACGCGTGGGGATTGGGTGCATCTAGAAAATATATATTTATATATAAAATTTTCTAGTACTCTTATCTGTTCAAATATTTCTATTATTTTCCGAAATTATAAAAAAGAGATTAAGCTACTCGGGTTGACTTTCTCTCTCTCTCTCTCTCTCTCTCTCTCTCTCTCTCTCTACTTTCTTGATGACTTTACCGGAGCTGGCGAAGTGTGGGCCCAGTCCAACTAAATCATACCGGGCCAATAATATTATAACCCGGACGGTCCAGGTGGGGAATGGGCTCCAATTGGGCTGGTTCAGATGGACGGTCCACATCGAAATTATCTGGGCATCTTTTTGCGTTCGGTATCCATTGGCTGGACGGTCCAGATCATCCAATCTGGATGTCGCCACCCCCCCACACCCCCCCCCCTCCCGCCGCTGAGGATTTGCTGAAGAGGATTAATTCCTCGACGGGGAACAGCAACGGAACGAAGATAGACGGAGGACGACGCGGGAGGGGTAGACGAGCTCCAGCATGTCCTCGTCCAGATCGCTTCTGCGTCGGATCACGCCGTTTCTCCATAGCCGCATCGAGCAGAGCTACCTCCGCCCGAAGCTGCTCAGCTCCGCTGCGCTGCAGCAGCCGTCCTCGTCCCCGGCCGGCCAGGAGGAGGACGTGCATATGACGGAGAACTGCATCAGGGTCCGTCGGTGTTCTTTCCTATGTTCTCTCCTAGCTGTTAATATGATACTAAAATTCCAGTCCACGTGAATTCCCGTCTTCACATGCCACCGCGCGCCGAGGTAGCAAGGGAGAATTTGAAGGTTCGATGCACCTGTTACTTTTAAATACATGTCAGAGCAGACGGCAGACATTTCAGGGAATTTTCCGGTTAAAAACGTCCCTAGACTTTCTGTCGCCTCCCAAAACAACAGAGATGCACTCACAACCAAATCATGCGGAGGAAAAGGAGTCATCATTTTTGGTTGAGTTAGATGGGCTTCAATCTTTAGTCAGCCAGCCTTAGGTCTCCATAGGATTCCCAATTATTCTTTTCATTCCCTTTATACCTCGTGGGATATGAGGAGCTTTTTTTCCTAAATCTTTAGTGGAAATTTAGACCCCATCCGGTTGCCCCACGATGATGCTTGGAAGGCAAAACTCTGAAGCACCGGCCCACCGAAAGCAGATATTGTGTCAAATGCCTAGGGACTTATTTATCCTGAATTGTATCAATACATCCTTAATATGTTGATTGGTAGGTGATCAAAGGGTAGTACTTGTGATGTTCACTTCTTCCGTTGGTTCTTCGATGCTGCAAAGATAGAATGAACTGTTGGGCATTTATACCTTAAATACTCTAGGGATTGAGAAATCACTTTTTCTGACAACATGAAATGCAACGCATGGAGAACGAGATATCTGGTTATGAAAATACATATCAGCAGAATGAAGGTCCAATGATTTATCGAAATATCTAGCAGGGTTACTCATAAATGAAAAAAAATGAATATTGGTGTCAAAAGGTTCCAATTTGGTGGCATACCGATGATCTTGCATTGCCTGGGAAAAAACACCTAGCATCAGAGGTGAACAGTCATGCTTAAAATTTCCCTGGCAAATGCGGATGAACAGAGAGAGCATGAAAACTCTCGTCTTCATTTGGTATGTGATCTGGAATCATTCATAGTTGAGTGGCTAAACTTATACGAGGATGGGAAGTTCTATATTTTTCGAGTTTAGGTAAACTCGAAAAAAAAAGTTCATACCGATGATCTGGAATCATTCATTTGGTATGTGATGTTAACTTTGATGACGAGTCTGAGAATAAAAAATAAAAAATAAAAAATAAAAAATAAAAAATGGTTTGGAACTACAGTTATGCCCAAAAGACGATGGGTGTGGTGGTACCTACAGGCTAGACCCCGTTTCAAAGGTAGATGATGAATATCAGAGTAAAAAAAATTACGGCTAATTTCGAGTTTAGAACTTTTCTTCAATACTTGCACTGACGTCCAGTTTATCGATTTCTACAGTTTATTAAAAACACAAAATTCATTCCGAGAGTTTGACTTCTTTCCATAAACAATTTTGCCTTTTTTTGAATTTTTTTCTACACATGTTCAGATAAGATATTCTCATATTCTCTGAAAAAAATAGAAAGTGTTAATCTTTCCGCGCTTGATATTTCACACCCTCACCCTAAAAAACGGGAAAAAAGAGAAAAAGAATCTGATCTGGTGCCATCGAATCAATTTCCAATTACTGATCTTTTCCCCCTCCTGTTATATCACCAGAGCGACAACTTCACGCTGTATTGACTTTACTATGCCATAAAATTCGATTCATTAAGATTTCACACTGTAGGATGCTATTGTACCCATCACCAAAGCGACAACTTCTTGATTTCTGATTTACCCTCTTCCATATTGTCATCACTCTCTTAGTTCCCTATCTTTGCTACTATCTTGCAGAGGATGAAAGAGTTGATTGCCAAAGAAGAATCTAACAAGGAAAAAATGCTCCGGTTAAGCGTAGAGACCGGTGGCTGTTCTGGGTTTCAATATATCTTTGGTCTGGAGAATAAAAGAAATAAAGATGATAGGTGATCTTTTGTATTTGAAATATATTTTTTATTGTTCTATGTGCTGTCGTTAGCAGAATTGGCGGCGTAGTCAACCTCGTCACTTTCTGATTGTCCAGGGTCTTTGAGAAAGACGGCATCAAGTTGGTCGTTGACAATGTCTCCTATGACTTCGTGAAGGGCGCCACAGTGGATTATGTTGAGGAATTGATTCGGTCTGCATTCCTGGTAAGCTATATCTTTTTTCACATTTAAATTTTGCTGATACTTGAGTAATTTTCAAAACTTTGATCGTTCAATGTCTGAACCGTCTTTGAATTAAGATACATATTTTAGATTATTATTCTCCTTATTTTTACCTAACGTAATGAAGATAATCTAAGTATTCTACGAGGATTATCTGATGAGAACATTTATCTGGTTTATTTTACTATTTTGTGGACTCGTGCGTACTTTCATTTTATCTGTCACTTTCTAGTAATTGTTTACGTCAACATAAAATTCTACTGTATTCAAAACTAGCTATCTCTTTGTTGCCGAGGCCGGAATGCATGTGTGTGGGGCTTTTCTTCTCTTCTTTTTTCGTTTATGGGGGTACTCTTTGTATGGTTCTTTCCATGATCTTCTTCCTCCTACAAGAAATAATTACTCAATATCGTCTTATTCTACAGAACATTACCTTCAGTCTGTTTCTTGGCCAGTGATGGAGTGCAAGTTCTCACTGATATAATGCCCTTCTAGAAAATGCGCTAGATTTCAATCTCAATATTGTGTAGAAATTACCGCCGTGCAACTCACCTTGCTGGAACTGGAACTGGCGTCTGGTTCCAGCTCTTCTTTCCTACCATGGCTTCTCATTTCATTGAGATAAAGGAATGATGCCTGATGTCTTGAACAGCTGTGCGCTGACTGAGGATCCATTTGCATGTTCTGCTCGAGCAGAATGATCGCATCCTTGTTCTTTCCTTTGGCCACATTTGCTGCATGGAGACCAGGATGATGCCTGCGAGGGACTTGCTGTTCATGCTTTTCTGGCCACATCCTCATGTTCTTTGTTGATGAACAAGACGACCAGAAATCAAAGCATGCGATTTGACATATACCCTCTTCCGATCATAATCTCCTCCTTATGCCCAACCAGATGCAGCCTGCCAACTCTCGTTGCCTGCTCAGATCGATGGGAGGCTTTCCCTCCGCTTTGTTTATATATGGGTCGTCCTTGAATACCTCGAAATATAGCGTTATAACCATTATATGGAGGAATTTCTTGATTTTTGCATGTATCCATCCCTGTGCAGGTGAGCACCAACCCGAGCGCCGTGGGGGGCTGCAGCTGTAAAAGCTCGTTCATGGTGAAGGAGTTACCATGAGAGCGCTCCACTTGCCGACGATTTATCAATCAAACACGTGTAATCTATTAGTTCCCGTATCGGGCCTTTGAATGATCATCAGAAATTTTCCATAAATACCACAGCATTTCGCCCACGGGCTTTTGAAACGGCTGTTGATGGTGCCTTAAATGGCTTGTTTCTTCTTGGGTTCTCTCATATGAGAGGGAAGATGTCAACGGTGATGAGATCCAAAGACTCAGAGATAGCTGATTCAAAGGATCAGTTGTTTTCTAATGAAGTCGAGACACAATGCTCGTCCGAAGTCAACGCAGGACCATAGAAAGAAGGATATCTAACTCAAGACTCGTCCTTCAATAAAAAAATATGCATGATCTCTCTCTCTCTCTCTCTCTCTCCATGCATGGAGGCGCCGCAGCAACAGTGTGTGCGTTTTTATCAGATCACAACGCAGACGGAAACTAGAGCAACTGGAAACGAAGGCGATGCAACGGGGAGCTCGAGCTCGGTCCTTCAATGGCGAGGGCTGATCACTCCTCGGATGGCCGCTGCCCCAGCACTGGGATGTCCTCGTACCTCTTCTGCAAGGCCACAGGGATGAGCAAATCTTGAGCAAATTCGTCCGCTAAATGAAGAACTGGGCTTTTCACAAATGATGGATGGAGCAGGCTCCATCTTTGACATTGAGTTGAATCATTTCGGATTTTTATGCAAATTTATCATCAACAGATGGCTCAAGTCACCCGATTCACATCCGAGAAATTATCTCATAATTGTTTTTTTTTTTTAACATTTGAGCAAAGGGGTGCATAAAATGAAGAGATGAATATCTCATTAATGATAAGTGGGGTCACCCAGGATTCATACAGTTTTGAAGTAGTCAAAAAGGATTTATGAGCGGTACCCAGCGTTGACATCAAACAGGTTGAATAATTTAACAAGGAATCAGTGATCGTTACGCAAAGTCAACATTCAGATATGGTTTTACATTTCCCAGTTTACAGTTTGAGCAACAATCTCAGGGTACAGCCAAGATAAATCCTTATCGCCAATGGCTTCCACAATTTCTTCAAACTTTTCTACTCTCACGGATCGAAAACTGACAGGGCAGACATGCGACTTGTGATCTGAGATATGTTCTAGTTCCTCTACTAGTTCTTACTTTGTTGCTGAGATGAATAATCCGATCGCAATTCATCTGCTAATTCTCAACACCTCCGCACCCCTTCCATCAAAATCTACTCAGTCTTCTATGAATAGTAACGGAAAATGAAAACATAAAACGCGGAAAATGTGGAATAGAAGACAATATAAGAGAAACAATCTCATCCAACGGGAAAGAACATCATTCATCCATGCAGCGAACATGACCAATTTTAAGAAACTCGTCAGGGCAAAGGCCTGCATCAGTACCACAGAAATGGGTTATCTGGTAAGTCCATCTAGAGAAATATCTCTGTACTAAAGCCAGATAATAAGAAAAAAGGCTCCAGCACCCATCTGAATAATATTAATAGGCGGCAATATCGTTCCTAAAGTCGTTGGATCAAATGCTCTGTTCGTGCAGGAAGAGATGCATTGTTGAGGCAACTGACGAAAATGTCTTTTCAAACCCAACTGCATGCTATTCTTCGTCTACTTCATGCACCTTCTAATTAGGCCGCACATATTCGATTTCTCCTAACGAGCAACAGTCATCCGCCAGCAGCTTCTCACTATTTTTTCTCCGAGGGTGCTTACATGAGCCCTGAATCAATAGCCAATGTGTGGCATGAACCTAGCATCTATCCCAACTTTCAATAGTATAATTGTTTCCGTACTTTTGGGTAAAATTAATTTCTGCTCATCATAAATTTTTCAACATTATTTTCTCCCCTTCTGAGGAAAATAAACAAGGAAAGATTGACCATGAGGTGAATCCAAAAGGGGAAATGCATAACTGATCCAGATGTCTTCAAATATACCAACTAGATGACTCATAATCATCGTAGACCACACAAGGGCAGTCAAACATAGTAAGTAGCATTAGAAGAAAAAGAAAAAAGGGGGCACATCTAACTGAGAAATTCATCCAAAGTTTGGCCGTTTAAGACTGTCCCTAGTACCCGGGTGAAAGGATAATCTAAACCACAGGGCTCATCACCAAAATAATTGATACATTCCTGCTTTTGAAATACAATGTTCATAACTATAAGATCTACAAGCTTATCAACAACAAGAAACACAACAATCTGTGGCACATAATGGAACGAAAAAACAAGATCAGTTCTCCAGTATGAAGTAGTATAGATACATCTAGACTTTTTCTCTCAGACACACAACTAGAGCAAGTTCTGGGAAGAAAAAAATACGAATCAAAGCACACAGACGGGATGAAATCAAAAAGAAAATTTGACTAAACGAAAATAGGGTGTATAGGGGAAAATGAACCATGTAAAAAAAGCTATGTATTACCCCAACATTATTGTACTCCCATAATTTGTGGACGCCATAGTCAACAGCCTGGAAGAAAAAAAGCAACAAAAATATGTCAGCCTATAATTTCTGTTTGATCAATAAATAAATGGATGAATGCTCTTTTAGTGGAAAGCATGCAATATTGTTAAGGTAGTCAGGGTATCGGAGATCAACGGATCATCAAGTTTTTAAGGACGACATTAGTGTGGGCTATGTAAGGGCATAAGGAGCCATCAATGTGGCGTCTAAATCGATATGGTTCAGAAAATTTCCACCAAAAAAATTGGCAATAACAACAATAACAGGTGAATTCTAATAGAAAACAATTGATGATAAAAAAATAGTCTTATTGATTTTCAGGCCGATGATAACTGTGATTCCGACATCAAGGCCCCCCAGACATGCGGATCGCGTTTGACGACGTGATAATAGAACCGTCTCTGGTGCGTCTCTACTGCTTCTGGAGGTTGAGAATAGCGCCGATCATCACTATTAAATGTGGATTTCTAGAAACGTCCTAAACATTGTAACTTTAATAAATCATACGAAAAAAAAAACAATGGGCACATGAAGCCACAGCCTATTGTGACGGATCCACATAGACAAGAGCCGAAGAATCCTGATACTTGTGGACAAACGCTTACTGAAGAAGAGGAGCACAAAGACAGGGGGGGTGGAGGTGGAGCGGAGCAGAGGGATGCAGAAACCCTACCCGTTCCCCCAGGAAGGCGCCGGCGATGACGAATGTGACGTAGACGGAGTTCCGGCGCATCAAGAACCGGTAGAGCCCCTCGAAGAGACCCTTCCCACCCCTCGTCGCCGGTGCATCCATGATCCCCCCTTCTCCCCCGCGCCTCCTCGACTCTGGAAGGTGGAATGGAGAACACGCCGAGATTCCCCCGTCTCCTTCGTCTGACCGGCTGCGCTGCGCTTTAGAAAACCTTGCTAAGGCGGCCTCTTTGTCCGCCGCCGACGAGGAACGGGCCATCATCCATCGCCAAATGCCCGTTCAACGGTCCGATGCGGTGCACCCAGATTAGGAGATGTGGGCCCCACACATCGTAATTTCCAAATAATAAAGCATTTTTATTCATTTCAAAACCTTCATCACCCGAAGGGGCAAATTACCGGAGGCAATGCATATTTTATTTAAACCCCGTAAATTGGATATTAACTGCTCACTTTTTTATCCCAGTAATCTTTTATATTATTTTAATAGATGATTTTGTGCGGCCCGAATGAGGCCCTTTTGGCCTTTAATCCCTAAAAAATATTAGAATAACAAAAACCCCCACTCCCAGGAACGAGAATTTGAGTGAACGGAGGACACAATTTGTTGAGAGAGACTGAAGGATTCGATAACATGTAACGGGGGTTTTGCTTACCATTTGACTGCTTTTTAGGGACTAAAACCAAAAAGTCCAAAGGAAATCATTCTGCCAGCTTATCCTCCCCATCCACCTAAACGTTCCCTGAGATGCTAATCAAATACAACGAATCAATGAAAGGGATCAAACGTCCGCTGTGGGGTTACACTGAAAGATCTCTTTTGGTTCTTAACCGCCTGGTTTGCTGGGACCTCGCAAAAAAACTTCGGATGATCTTAGAACATGGAGATGATGAAGCGCCGCCCACCAAAGGGCCGTTGACTTCCAAGCTTATTATCGCCACCAAATGGCTCCGCGTCTTCTCTGGTCAACTAACCTGCCCGGGCTCCTACCTCAGGAGCAGCAGATGCCTCCAGCCTGCAGGAGCACCGAAATACCCAGTTAGGATTCCTATGTGAATGAGAGGATGAGCCCATATGAAATCACCCATCAATATAACTACATACATACGTATACGTGTGTGTGTGTGTGTATGTATGGATGGATGGATGTAACAGAGAGGTGAATTCATCATGTTCAAGAGGAGAACATACTTTTGGATGCCCTCTCCAACCTCCATTCTGAGAAAAGTTCCTATCTTGACTTCTGAGCCCACCTCCTTTGACAGATTGCTCAGTACTGACTGCAAAGATAAGACGAGACGAGCATTGATCTGAGTATGAGGATCAAGAGGGCAGAAAGAAAATTGAAAACTTTGGCCATGGATGGAGCCGGATCAACAAACAGAGAGGGCAGCGGATGCCACAAGACCTTGATGGTCAGGCTATCATTCACAACAAATTTCTGCTCCATCAGCACCACTTCTTCAAAGTACTTTCTCAGGCGACCCTCAACCATTTTCTCGACAGCCATCTGAGACTTCCCAGAGCTCTCTGCCTGCCAAGAACATCGTATTAAAAATGAAATAACAGTGCTGCGAGGATTTCCACTGAATAGTAGGAAAAAATACAGGGCCATGAGAAAATGGTGGGGAGAGAGAACAGAGGATTTCATAGTTTGTCTTCTCTGTCATGCATAAATTACCACAAAGTGCAACTTCTTCAAGGCAGATAGACGCCAGAGAGCGCAAAATTGGTGAAAAAGATTTGTGGGGATACCTGAGATTTGAGGATGTCCCGCTCACTCTCAATAGCTTCAGAGGAAACAAGCTCTCTGGATAAGAATAGTGGCTTGGCTGCTACTATGTGCATGGCCAATGATGCACCGACCTGATGAAGAGGATCAAGCACAGTGTTTCCGTCTTCAATTTCGAGGGTCACCAGACCAGCAATACGTCCTAATCCTACAGGAAGATAAATATGGTGTATATAAGAGAGGTCCATTGCAGCAACAAAGTTCTGAATCGATCCATAGCATCATACAACGTTAGAGGGTCGAATCGGGTCCCCAATCATATTATTACTAAATGCTCCTTCACAGTTGACCTACCCGGGTCAGAATGTGGTTGAGATTTTTATGTCAAACTTGGGACTTTTGACCTCAATCGGAATGTAGCACTGTTAAGTTGTTAGGTCAGTTTAGCATAGGTCAGCCTTCGACCGAAACACTAGAAATATTTCGTTATTTATCAAAAAAAATTGGTCCATCCCACTAGTGACTCGGAAAGAAATAAAAACTCAGCATCTTCCAAATACTTACAATGTTCAGCATCACGTTATAAGTTATAATGGATTATATGAAGAGATAATCATGTAGCCAAAAAAGAGTGATGATGTGTGGGCCCATTAAAAATGTGCAAATGTAAGAGTGTGAGAAAAAAAATGTAAATTTTAAAGTCATTCCTTCTATTTTAATTTTATTTTTTTTGTGGCTGGCTTCTACTCGATTAAATCAATTAATTCCAAAAGGTATTCAATGGTCATTGGATCCGTCCGGATTTTCGTAATAGTGAATTTTCGCTTCCACGTAGAGCAATTTATGTAATATTCAATCAATAAGTCTTCACAGATTTGTGCAATATCTACCATTTATATTCCAACGAGACCAGCCTTACAAGGAAACTTTTTTACCGTTCTTCTCTGCACAACTTTCCATCATTCAACTGCTAGTACTCCTAAAAATCTCATAACATGCATTCCTGCATAATATGATAGGAGACTTATCACAGTTGGATCCTATCAGTCATCTCTCTAGGACGACACGGCAATCCCAGAAACAGAAATAAATAGGAAAAAAATGACCTTATTCTTGCTTTGATAGACCCCAGCATGACTCTTCACACTCATTCTTAAGATAATGCTTCCCAATAGTCCTATTTCCCACCCAAAATACGGCAATGTTTTGACGTGGCAGTTAATTGGGACATCTTATCAATGATAAAAAATCATCCTACTTAAAATATTACTTCCACGGACATTCAGTAATCCATGCGAGCATGCTTCCCTTTTGGAAAAAGCACAAAAAAGCAAAAGAGCAAATTAAAGACTGCACGGCGAATTCAACACAATCGGAAGAGCTATCACATCTGGGAAAGTGGTGATATCAATAAGAGAAACAAGTACTTCAACTGTTGCTGCAGATATTTCTGGAAATATCAACATTTGCTGCAAATGTTTTATAAACATTTCGGAAAATCCATTGATCATGAGATTATTTGATCAGTTGATATCCAAATGAACTATGGGTAGGGTATTCTCTGCTAGAGAACTTCACAAGTCATTGGGTATTTCCCTTTCAGTTGAAAACATCTAATGACGAGTTTAACAGCATGGTAAGAAAGGTACTCCTATTCTAAGAATAAAGAATGAGAAATGCCTTCATTAAATGAAGGCAGGATGAGAGGAATCCTTATCAAGAATGTACATCTTATGTAGCCCTAAGAAGGATCATTTGGATTAGTTGCTCTGGTCCGGACTCCCCCTTTCAATTGTTGGCTATACAAGGATTTTAGGCAACGTTTCTGAAGTGAGGTTGGACACCATCTTCATCGAAAACTGGGTTTCACCACACATGAAACATTAAAATTTAGATTTTGGACTGAAAGGATTTGAATTACACATACACCTTTATTTTGTGGCAATATTTGAGAATGTACCCCTTTAATAAACCTAGCCATCCATATCATGGTACCAATCTACTGAAAAATTTAATGAGTACAATTTTTTTTTGAGTGAATGAAAGAATTAAATAAAATGGGAACAGAGAAGTAGGCCTTAAGAAACAACTGAGAAAAATGAATGGACGGCCCAAAAGCTTAGCATATCTATTTAGTTTCCTGAAACAGAGATTATTCAACAACTGACAAACCTGGTTGAGGACTTGTGTGGAGGTAAGAGCAGACAACACCATGTGATGATGTTGACAACGCAAAGCCTCTTCTAAATTTTACATTCTCCCCGACCATGGCAGCCACTTCTGTAATTGCACTTTGAATCGTCATTTCACCATTCAATTTGGGATGGTCCAAACAAACTTTCTTGTTCTGCAGTAGGTAAAGAAGTTGTATCAGAATAGTCAAGCAAGCATGTAAACAGACACCGAAAAGAACAAATGCCCAACGTGCAGGGCACTGTATCTCCCACCCACCATATTAGGCACCCAAGCACCCTAGCTGTGTGTGAGCCTCGGCACATGAGATGGCATGCGAATGTATGTGTTTCTAATTAGTACTAAAAAAAATTGTTGGTGTGTGTGTGTGTGTGTGTGTGTGTGGTAGGGGGGAGAAATAGAAAATGAAAAGACTGAATAAAGAGCTTTAAAAGCCACCAATTTATCATTTGAAGAAGAAAGAGAGGGTATCCTATACCTCGAAGTATTCTGAGCCAAAAGGAAATGCTGTTGTTTGGTGATCTGAGTTTTCACCAGACAAAGCCATCCTTGCTAAGGATGTGGCCTGCAAGAATTATTACTTATCACTTTCTCAAAATAAGACGAATAAATGATTAACGATTGAGGAATATAAAAGCGAGTATCTTTCACAAACATCGGGCTAGTAACATAACTTTTCAAAGCGGAACGCCTTCTTTCGCAGAGTAGGTACAATTTTCTTGGCATCATTAAGATATTGTGATATAGTTACGGTGACTGATATTTATCCTCAAATCTTAGCCCATGCACTCTCTTGCTCGTAATTCCAAACCAAAAAAATGAGGGCATCTTCGCCCATCAGTCTTGTTGGCATTATCTCATCCGCAGGACTCAAACAGTCTTCTTTGCATCACTGGGGAACCACTTCTGCTGGGATGTGCTAAGACATGTCCTCCAAACTACTCCCTTCTCCACAGTGCTCCTTAAATCAAATAAATATCTAAATAAAATTTATAGAGTGGATATCTCTTCATTCTTAAGGCAACGCCATATAGCACTCAGGGACTCTCTGAGAATCTTCATCCCATAGTTTCAACTTTCATGAATCATTCTGATTTCAAGTGCTCTCATTTTCTTTCGCGACGTCTCTATTTCGCATGATTAGCCAAGCTTTATTTTCAGAAATGTTAAGAATGACAGAAGAAACGCTTTTTAAAACTAACAAAGCTAGACCAGACAATACTGCGCTATTAACAGTTCACTCGGTCAACCAAAACGTGGTGCGGCGCCCTTAACCTGTTCAACGCAGGAATATGAAGAATGAATGTGATGCGCTACGAACCAGTGATTGGAAGATATCGTTTCTCGCCACAAAGTCTGTCTCGCAGTTGAGCTCAATCACTACCGCCTTACGGTCGCTCTGGGCTATCGCAAGAAGCCCCTCGGCAGCCGCCCTTGACGATTTCTTTGATGCGAGAACCACCCCCCTCTTCCTCAGGTCCTTCTGTGCAGCATCTGCATCAATCGAAGTGGCAATATAGTCGGGCTAATCAAAGAGGAGTCGTCGTCAGAAGAAGCTGGCATTGTTCTAACAAGCCGAAATAAAATGTGCCAGGCTGACCAACCGATATCCCAGTTGCAGTCGACGAGAGCGGATTTGACGGCCTTGATCGGGGCGCTCGTCCTTTCCCTCAGCTGTTTGATCAGATTTATCTGTTCCGACGCAGAAACCTCCGACGAGAACCTCCTCGTCAGCACCGGAACCGGACGTATCCGGCAACTGAAAGGTGTCGGCGGTCCCTCGCCACTCTTCTCGGCCATCTGAGCCGATCCAAACGCCCACGAAAAGTATCCATGACTCCGTTGATTGCCGCTCGCGGCGCTGAGGCTCCTGAGCAGTCCCCGAACTGCCGATAGCTTGGCGACTCGATAGCCAGGCATGGTGTGATCCACAAGAGTCAACGGAGACCTTCGGAACAGAAGAAGGAATGCCCACCTTCGTTCCTCCCTTTCCTCCACCAGGGTTTTACGGAAAAGGCGCCGTCGGCCCGACTGCGGACCCAAAAACCCTCGCTTGGGGTCCGACCTGACTGTACTCTGTCGTTCCACAGACCTAAGTGCGACGAGCCCCAACAAATAAAGGGGCCCCGTAAATCTACCCAGAAAATCTCCCTCAGATTTTCCGTCTTCTTTTGTGACTTCTTCGTCTTGGAACCCATTTTCTCGGCTGATTAATTCGTTGAATACATCAAGCGTATGCGCCCGATGAGAGCATTAGGATCACCCACGTCGATAATCGGATAATTTTTTACATTATTTCGTCCACGAAAAATCCGAATCCAGCGCGAGCTTCTCAGGAACGACGCCGGTGACGCGTACAGGATCGAGAAGATGGACCAAGATGGCGAAGGAGAGATGGATAAGGACAGATTTTCTTCCAATGATCATCATCAGGAACCGAAAGAAACATCATGGGCGGGATGCACAGTCGAATGAATTCCCAAATCGGAGAAAGGGAAAAAAAAGGGTTTTTTTTAAAGAGATTTGGCGTATATTTCCTCATTATTTCCGTCCGGGGGGGGGGGGAAGATGCAAACCCCGTGACGAACAATGGAGGATGGAGAAAGAGAGAGATGGGGAAGGTCATGCGCTGAGACAGCGGCTCTCAATCGGGAAGCCGCTGGAGTTGGCCCGGCGGCACTCCTCCGCGAGGGCCTCCCTCGCCGAGAGGAGCCCGTTGGGCACGAGCGTCCGGTCGATGGCGGCGCAGTCAACCCAGTCCTTGAGCAGCTTCTCCTGCCCCCACGTGTCCGGTATCCAGACGTGCCCCGCCATCGCCACCCGGTGCCTCTTCAGCCTCTCCCTCCCGCAGTCCTCTTCCTCCCTCGCCGGCTCTGGCACCGCCACCACCACCACCGCCGCCGCTTCCCCGGGGACCAAGACGCCGTCTTCGTATGCCGGGCACCCGGGTCTCCCTCGGCGGCGATCCCCCTCCTCCTCCTTCCGCTCTGCCGCCGCTCCCATGGCCGTGTTCCTGAGGAGATTCTCCGCTCGGGTCGCCTCCGCATCCGACGGCGGACTCACCGGTGACGCCATCTACCCACGACAATCGTCACTGCTGCGACGGCGACGAAGCGCCTCTCCCTCTCTTTCCCTCTCCTGCTTCTGCGTTCTTCTTCTGTCGATGCTGCTGCTGCTGCTGCTGCGGCTGCTGCGGCTGCTCTGTGGATGTCGAAGGAGAGGCGAGGAAAAGATTCCCTGGATACGATAGCGCACCTATTCAATGGCGGGTATAAATATTGGCAGGGAGAGAACGAATGGAAGAGAGGAGCCGCAATGAAGGGACCGGCGGTGGAGGACGAGGCCCCTCCTATGGTGATCCCGGCGCCTACGTGGCCCCCCCTCCGCTTCTCGGGAACCCGTCGACGTGGACGCAAAAAAATTATGTGGCTGCCCCGCCGCACATCTGAAGAGAGACAAATGTGAATAACGTGGCGTTCAAAGGGGAGAAGTCGGCCACGTGGAGGTACTTTTTTCCGCGGGAATGGCCGGGGGGCGCTCCGATCAGATCACAACCGTCGATAACTGCGAGATATTTTCAGAATCCGCGGGCGCGGTGCTTCTTGCTTCAAATGGGTCGACCCAGAAGGAAGAAAGACTCCGTTTTTATGGATAAAATTCGGACGCGGACCAATTTACTGCGGGGTCGACGCGTAGACTTTCGGACCACCCGAGTGGGCAAGTTGGGCTCGGGATATTTTCGGCGGCTTCTGACGTACTTCGCGGGCAAAGCTCGGACAATGCTGGCCGCGGAAGAGGAGGCCTGTCAGATTCGGTTTTTGATGGCGGGAAAGAGGCGGCTTTCTACTTTTAGCGAGCTCTTGACCAATCGGATCCCCGGGATCGTGCGGGGACCACCATCGGCAGTCTTTCCGACATAACCACCCTGCCAATACCGGGGGCTAGCGTGGAGGGCAGCCGTCGAGGAGACCGACGTGGAATATCTTGCCCAGTTTTATTAAGACGAGGTGACATTAGTATAAAAATATTAAAAATATGATGTAAGCAGCATACTCGGTTCAAACCAACGGTCAACAAGTTGCCCAATCATCGTGATCGTGCTGCTAACTGGTACGTGGAGACCGGAGATCAACACCGGACGAGGCGGGGGGACATAAGTTCCCGCGGGGCCCATCTCCACCTGTCTAGATATAAGTCCACGTCAACACATTATTGACCACTGAATATAGCGCTGGGAAATATCTCGCCACTATTAAGTACGGAATAGGATAAGCCTCAGCAATTCCAGCCCTCACAGAGGATGATTTAACTGGTACTAGCGGCTTTTATCAATTGAGCAAGATTTAAGAAAAGGTGCAAACAATTTTACCAGTCAAATAAGATAATATAATAAATACTAACAACTTCACCGATTGAGCAATGATATGGTATACGTTTCAATGGATTTGTTAGTCAAGTAAGAGTATGGAGTAGGTGTCAAAACCTACACTTGTTATGTAGGACAATAGGATAGGTGACAACAACCTCATTAGTCGAATAAGGCATCAGATCAAGTGCCAATGATACTAGTATGTCAGAAGCAAATGACATACTATTGACATGTTGAATGAGATAGTAATTGTTTATCTATTTTGTGTATTCCACAATTATAAATAAAAATAATAATATTTAAACTTTGTTTCAGTTTGAACCTCCCAAGAGAAGATTAGATGGGCTCATTTGCAGCAAGTTCTAAAGGCACACTTGCATGAAAGAACATATTTGTGTGCTATTTGCTATTATAGAACAGATCAAAAATTATTTATAAGCCACTTAATATTTCCCAAATAATGTGCTTGTAAGAGCAATGAACTAGGGCCTAGCTCAAACCTTATTGTATTGTGGGATGTAGCAAAGTCCCTTATAATAAACATATTGTGCAAGGATTCATCAAGCTCCCCAAACTCAAAGCATATGTGGGGGCACACAATGTTGAGGGATTTGAGAATTTTGATTTTAAATTTTGACCTCCAAGGTGGGCAACACATACTACGAGGAGAAGGTAATCTTCACCAACTTGGAACTCTCAACAAATGCTATGAGACAACGAACTAGACTAGGATTCCCATCACCATGTTAAAATAGCTTATAAAGGAATTAATGAATACATTCCTCACAATGAAAAATACTTGAATGGATATAGACTCACTCAAATCAACTCTTACCCTTTGAAACATTAGAGTATATTAAGTATTTCACTTTAATAATCATGGACTTCAATAATATGTCAAATGAGTCAAAGTTATAAAATTTCATCTCTAGTCTTCAAACTTTGATGTACATTAAATTACATTACTAAGACGTGTGAATTTTGAAGTTGGCAATGATAACAAGTGATGGTCTGATGAATTATAAGACTACCTCAACTAAAATTGACTCTAGTGGTAAACATTAATAATATTAAGCTTCACCACTATGGAGACAATGATAATACATAGGGTGGTAATTGTAATAACAATCATATCAAGACATTTAAGATAGGTCAAAATGATTCTACAATAGAGGTAACCTAAGGAGAGGAGAGTGACATCTGAGATGACTTGTGGAAATAAATAATATCCAAAGTTCATTTGTTCAAATGACAATGACTCATGTTTATATGGCTCACCATTAGTGGCAAATCATCTATCATGTTAGACATTAAGTTCACTTTCAACTTTATGTCTAATAAATAGGACATTTTTTAGAGTTTATTATCCTCATCCTAAGGATAGATTATATTATTTGAGCACATGTAGACATATTTTCTCATTAACATGATATTTGCATCTTATGTAAAAGTTTGATTTCAAGAACCAAAGTTGTTGTACACCTTTTAGCTACAAGAAAAAATAAAACATGATGAGAAGACCTACCTCATCATCATCTAAGACCTAGATATATTATAATAGTGAATAAGATGATTATAAAACCTCAAATGATTGTCACTAAGCAGCAATAAACATATGAGGTTGTACATTATGGTGAGCCTACATACAAGAGAATGTGTATGCTCATAATAGTATGTGTGTGTGTTAAAAGAACGTGACATCACTATGGAAAATGTGTCATAGGGGGTATGTGCATGATGATTACATGCATGTTAATGGAGGCCAAGACATAATGGCAACTCATGTCTAGAGTTGCACAACTCTTAGAGTTCTAAGACTTGTTATTAAAATCTCTTTTGGTAGGTTTACCACTTTGATGTGAGGCATAACAAAAGTTAAAACTCATGTTGGGTGTGGACAGCATGCAAGATAACACCAACATGTTTGGCGGAACATTCATTGACAACTAAACAAGCTATTAGAACTCAAGTTCATTCATCTCTCAAAACCTCAATATAAACCTCATTTCCTCTTCCAAAAAAGTATAATTGATCACTAATGTTATGTGTGAACTAAAGGGTGTTGAATAAAGTAATCAAGAAAGAAAAAATATATATTAAATGTGAACAAAATTCAATCACTTGAGAAGAGTTTAATACTACTTTAAGACGGATTTAAAGAGTTATTATTAATTATGCATCATGAAAGACAACAAATAAAACATAAAATGTATGTAACTCATTACAGCTCATACAAACTTACAATGGTATTTTGGGCTCATTGATAGCTTGATAATGTTCTTTGTGACCTTACCACATATAGATGAAAAATCAATAAAACTTATGAATAGTTTGTGAGAGAAAAAACTTATACTACAATGCGACAGCAACTAAGAAACTAAATTATTCTATTATATTTATCTCAATTTTTGTTCAATATACATCAATGTTCAGTGATAAGATACTCTTTGTCTGAACTTATGATGAGATAGCAAAACAGAATGGAATGACACATTGTCTACTAGTGCAATTGTTCTCTTATGCACAATAGTTGCACATAAAAAAACATGTGAATGTTAGCATCAGCAATGCAATGCATTTAGACGAACACAAATCTATACTGACAATAGGTAAAATTATAGATCAATAATTTAGTTTTTCTATGCCTAGACATGAAGACATTTGATTGTGGCAACAAAAATCACACCAATAGATGTGAACATCAAATAGTAGAATAGACATCAATGATCTCTCTAGTTGAATAGAATCAATACATGCTAAAGAGCCTACTAATTTTAGAAGATAGTGTCATATTATTGATGTGCTGGGCACATGTATTTCTGTTATATGTAGGGTGAACCTCAACTTAGTTGAGTTACAATTTGTTTCCCTCATTTTTTATGTTTTTTTATTGTGAAGAAGATTGTTCTTTCTTTATTTAAGTTGAAAAATTTTGTGGGAAGACTGATTGGGCATCAAGGATGATAACTAATATAGGTCACTCAAGCAAATAACTCATATGTTAGATCACAATGATAGGGTGTCACTTTAGTACAAGTGTGGACTAAAAAATTTAGAGAGAAAGGGAAGGAGGAGGGAAGGTGAGAGAGGGAGAGAGAGAGAGAGAGAGAGAGAGAGAGAGAGAGAGAGAGAGAGAGAGAGAGAGAGAGAGAGAGAGGAGGTTGTGATGATGGGTCATTTTTTCAGGTATGATTGTCATTTTTTTGTGTACTAATGCGAACTTCTGTTTGATAAATATTTTTTAATGTAAATTTTCTCTGATCCTCGTTATGAAGTCATTTACAGTTACTAGGATGGATATGGACCTGAGAATTCAGCCCATAATTCGTTTGCAAATGATATTGCCAAGAAATGATAATGTTTCTGGTCTCACTTTAGAAACATTTGGTGTGCATTCTTGAAAAGGATCCCTTCCACGACTGGTGAAGTTCTCTAGCAGAGAATGCCCTAACCATAGTTCAATTGGATATCAACAGATCAAATGATCTCATGATCAGTCTCTTACAGCTTCAGACGTCTGCAACAGCCGTTGAAGTGTTCAATTCTCTTATTGACACCACCACTTCCCCAACTGTGATAGCTCTTCAGATTGTGATGAATCCGCTGTGCAATCTTTCGCTTGTTAGACATTACAAGCTACTACAGTAGACTTGTAGAGAATTATGGAGCACTGGGTCTTCAGATTGTTGACTTTGCCTGATTTTTCACAGATTGAAGACTTAAGAGGCAAAAACATCAGGGCAAGGCGTAGGCACAATCCTAATATAGTAATGGTGGACTTTGGCATTTTTAAGCCAAGTACTTCAACTAAACACCAATTGAAACTAGTGCATGAACCATGCAAAGGTGGCGAGACTATTTTTCTTTTCCGGTCCGAGTTCGTATTTATCAACCCTAACTTGAAATGGCGATGCGGCTGCGGAGAGTCTTTTATGACGTTAGGCAGACTAAGGGTGGCTGCTGCCAGCGATTAGAGGGGCCGTAGCGATGGCCAGAGGCTTCTCACTGATTGGCAGACCTGATCTCGTTCGTTGTGGGCGCTCCAGATCTTCGTGTATATCCCTGGTTATGGGGAAGAAACAGGTGGAGGAGAAACCTTTGAATTACCCATCGCGTGGTTCCTTGTGATCTCTAGCGAGAGAGAGAGAGAGAGAGAGAGAGAGAGAGAGAGAGAGAGAGAGAGAGAGAGAGAGAGAGAGAGAGAGAGAGAGAGAGAGAGAGAGAGATAAAGAGAGAGAGAGAGAGATAGAGAGATAGAGAGAGAGGAGAGACAGAGAGAGAAGAGCTTGCGCTGATGGGTCATTTTCAGGAGTGATTGTCATTTTTTTGGTGTGCTAATGCGGACTTCTGTTTGATAAACATTTTTAATTTATATTTTCTCTAATCCTCGTTATGAAGTCATTTGCGGTTACTAGGCTGGATACGGACCTGATAGTTCGGCCCAATTGGTTCGACCCATAATTCGTTCGCAAATAATATTTGCAGAGAGATCACAACGGGCCATCAGGCCCAAAGCTCAGCCCATGAAACGCCCCTTAGCAGCGATACCCTCCGGTGACCACCCCCCATCCCCGATAAACCCTTCGTCTGTTCTAGCAGGGCTTTGATCTGGATCTGCCCCGCGATCCTGCGCTAGGGTTTTGATCTGGACGACGCAGAGGGGAGAAGATGAACAAGGACAAGATCTTCAAGTTGGCGAAGGGGTTCCGGGGCCGCGCCAAGAACTGCATACGGATCGCGAGGGAGCGAGTGGAGAAGGCGCTGCAGTACTCGTACCGCGACCGCCGCAACAAGAAGCGGGACATGCGATCCCTCTGGATCGAGCGCATCAACGCCGGCACGCGCCTTCAAGGAGTAAGATGCCCCTCCTCCTCCACCGTAATGCTTCCTGATCTATCTATCTCTTTCAATGGTGCGAGAACTTGGTTCGATTGGCTGTTGAAGCGCGGAAACTATTATAGGGGGTACTGGAATGATTTCGACCTTGGACGTTTGATAGCAGGATTAGCAACAGCTTTAAGTAAAGGCCGCGGAGAATTTCATATTGCTTGCCATTTCAGGTTATCAGTGTGGAAACCGTTGATTTTTAGGGATAAACCTTGTGAATGATCTTGACTTATTCTTTGGCTCCATTGAGACATAAAACAAGCTTCTGCAGGGTCGCCAAAGTAGAATGCATAATCCATCATTACCCTACCACCCACCATTGATGATTCTGCAGTCGATTCTCTTTCCTTTTCTCTTATAGTAGCCAATTCTAGCTTATTCCTTGATACCAGAGATCGCGTGTTTCTCTTCCGAATTCTTTGTTTCCCCTTGGTTAAGGAAGATGCGCGGTTTTCGACTTCATCATCTTCTCCTTCTCATCAACTGTGCATATGGCATCATTTATGGAAACCCGTTACCACGCAGGATTCTTGTGAAAACGAATATGAATTGTCTATTGGGTGGGATGGCAGACTACACCATGAACCAATTTAATTTATATGAAGCAGTCATGGGTTTACCCTGCAAACAAAACAGAAAAGAGTCACTATTCATGCTTGTCTCTTTTAATTGATTTATTGGATCTATCCATTATTCCATAAACCTAGAAAGTACAAGAGAAGAGTTGATCTTCAATTTTTTTATTGATTATCTGGGTTTGATCAAAATTCATACAAATAGCTGCAGTGCAGCAACAAAAAGGGGGAAAAAAACTCTCAATGGTGTAAATTAAACAAAATTGTAATCAATAGAAGTGGAAGTTGCAGCAGTTGTCTGATGATCGCTATAATATTAAAACTAAAAAAAAAGAAGAGAAGAACAGCAGTACTTTAACTTGGCAAACCATCAGAAGATTCTAATACAATAGGTACACTAATCAGCATGGCTAATGAAGTCGCAACTAATGCAACAAAAAAAAAACTATTGGAAAGGAATATTTATGCTTCCTCGCCTCGCTTGATCGTGTCTTTCTTGCTGAAACTCGACTTAAACGCATTTTCAGTAAGCAGTTTGATGTAAGGTTGTCTGATTTCGTGCAAGCTATCATCATGAACTTAGCTTTTGAGATGGGTAATGCTGTAGTATCTGTTGTAATCTGAGGTTGCCCAGATCCTTATCAATGAGTAAACGCAAAACCCGGTCAACTGTTTATCTAGTGTGATGAGCCTATTATTATTGAGTGAACTGACTTATTGACTCCATGCTCACCTCTTGAATATTTCTACTATTTACACGAAAAACTGCTCGTTAATGTGCTTCTAATTTGGAGAAACTCTCGTACCAGAGACCTGTTTGATATGCTGCCTATTGATGATGTGAAGATATCACTCTGTGCCCTGGCAGGATCATCATTGATGAACTTACTTTGGAGTCGCGGGTAAAATGTTTTGGAAAACTAGTAACTAATTTGCATGTCAAGTTTCTTTTTCTGGCCGTTATCATTATAATACTCTAAAACCTGATTGAAAATAGAGAAAATTGAGTCAAACCATTGACTGGATGGGTTTAGCGTTTAATGTTTCGGGTTTCTTTTAAAGTAGGTCACTACTCTGTCGTTGGGAAAATAGGCTTTAAGTCGATCTGTGAAGTTATTTCATGTTTGTTCTCTATGTTCGTGGACGTTTAGTAACTATAACTTCCATTATATTTAATGGCGTAGTGAATTGATTAACTATGCCGTGATGTGTTTGCATCATCGGATGCTCTGATATATAACGGAGGGAAATTCTCCGACTATGCCTACTCGTGTTTTTCTTTATCTGGGACTCCACTCGACCATTCCAGAGCTGATTGTGTTCAATCAAGGGGCGTTCTTCTCGTCATATACTTTGCGCCATACGTTCTTCAATGAAATCTCAGGCCGCCCACTTTCTGAAAGGAAATATATATGTATATATATGCTGCCACAAAGCAAGAAAGGTCAGATTATCTTGTTAGAGAGCACTTTTCATCTATTGCTGGTTCATGGGACGAAGCTTTGTGATCTTGAAGGACTGAAGCTACATTTCTATTTATGCCAACACTGGTTACCGCAGCCCATGTTTCCTTGTCTGACATAGATGACCGTCTTTATGCTGCTTGGGTACTGAATAGCCAGCCTCTCTCCAGTTCTTCATCATCTCCCCTAGTGAACTGTGAATGCCGGCACTGTCCCTGCTTGTTGCAATACTGCATGGGATATGCTCTCTCATTCTGGATGCTGTTGTTACTTGGGGAATTGCGAAATGAGTGGAGGACCCTATGAATGAGTTAGTTTATCGAGCTCTATATCTGACGTTCGCCATTTTCAGGTGAATTACGGCAACTTCATGCACGGGCTGATGAAGGAGAACATCCAGTTGAACAGGAAGGTCCTGTCGGAGCTGTCCATGCACGAGCCCTACAGCTTCAAGGCCCTTGTGGACATCTCCCGGAATGCATTCCCGGGCAACAAGATCCCCAAGAAGGAGGGTACCTCAGTGGCCCTGTGAACAGGGTGAGGTCGGTTCCCACATTCCTCCCCTCTTCCTTGTCTTGTAGCAGCTCTCTTTTGAACTCAAGGTCATGGAGGTAAATCATAATGAAGCCATTCCTCAGTGTATTGACCGCGTATATCATTGACTGTATGCTTGTCAGAACATGGTCTTGATGAGGTGGGAAGGCGACTGTCGCCGGCCTTCTCCTTCTCCTCCGGAAGTCTCATGTCCAAAATTCGCAGAGCGTCCAAAGGGGGAAGATCAGATCACGTGGATCCCTCCGGTCAGAGGCCGTCGCTTTCGTCTCCACCTGGCCTAGACAGGAACAGTTCCTTGGGAGTTATGATGATGGGGGAAACAGTGAGCGTAGGAGACCAGGGCGGCGTGTTCTCCCTCCCTCGTCTCTGGCCGACGGTGTGGTTTAAAGGACCTGAACAGTAGCAGCTACTGCATATTCTTCCATCTGGCACAGTTTCAGTCTTCAGACTTTAAAAATGGCGACTTTTAGAGCCCGGCCAGCATGGCAACTTCCATCTGATAGGTTATCAGGCAATGGGTCGAGGGAGAAGAAACCCTAATGACCAGGGTAAATGTGCCTGGGGCTGAGGGGTCTGGTTGACCTGACTCAGAATCAGGAAAGAAAGTAGACTTGACTCGGCCCGGTAGACCGACCAGGGTGAGAGACATCATCAGTAGGCTAAGACCATCTTTCTTTCTGGCCTTTCGGTTGTCCCATGATCAACCCCTCTCTCTCTCTCTGTATCTGTGTTTCTACGTATCTGGGACCACGTAGGGAGAGCTGAGTTGGATGAGTCTGCCTTAATCTTAGGGGATGGAGTAGGTCAGCCAGGAGCGCCTTCCGTAGGGTTTTCTCTAGAGTTGACCTGAGCACGTGTCATTAGTAGCGGTTTGACGACCGGTAAGAACTGGGATAGGCTGGGTTACTTAGGTAATATCCAAGGTAACCCAGCCATCCCCAGTTTGGTAACCTCGAATGGGCAAGCGACTCGCGTGACGCCCGATTATGCATAAATTTGGATAGGTCGAATATCTAGAAATAGAGGTATCCGGGAAATCCATGACGGAATTTGGACAGGGACGTTATCAAACTGAACCGAGCCCAGGTTAACTCGAGTTAATCCTAACCGACCTTGATAAGTTGGGTTGACTTATGAAGGCCCGGGGGCCAGCCACAGCGACAAGTGTGTTGACCCGGATGGGGAGGGCCGAAAGGGTGGGGTGGGGGGGTTAACTGACCATGGGGCACAGGGAGATCAGATTCCATCTCTTCTCCGGAGCATTGAATGGCCCCGAACGTAGATCACCTAATCTCGTGGCAACAAGAGAGGGTTTGGTCAATCATTGTCTATGGGGAGGGAATAATTAGGGGGGGCGGGAGGCGTTCGCCGACAGGAGAGTAGACGGCTGCGTCATAGAATACTCGTTTGGCGTCCCCATCGTCGAGGAAAATGATATCCCATCACCCATCGGTGTGACCCGCTTGTAGGTATTTGACAAGGCCGGGATGTAGACCCATCAACGAAGGGGAGGGGGGATGACACCAGATGAGCCCGCTCCTCATTAAAAAAGCAAGTGGGGTTTAATGTTCGATCGCGAGGATCGGTTCCTTGGAGGAAGAAGGGAGAAGGGGTCGGGGTGGAACCAGTGGCCTGGTTTTTATTAATAAGGAAACGCATCGTCTGGTCTTATTGCCTCCATTCACCGCCGTCCCCCTTCCCCCTTCCCCACCTTGATAAATACGGAAAGAAAACATGGATTGAAGGCCAGAACAACACCCTGTAGGACATTTTTATTTTATTCCAATCAATACTATATGGGACGGACTCGTCTGGATCCTATCGAGTGCTAGTTTTATTGAGTACTTCAAAAACCTCTGCAGACCCACCTCAACAGCCAATGGGAAAGCAGGCCAGGGGTCGGCTTCAAGAGTGGAGTTAGAGTCATTGATTCTAGTGCCTTCCTCCATAAACCCCACCTTTATTTCACCCCATCCTCTTCTCTCTCTCTCTCTCCCTCTCTCCTCTCTCTTACACTGAGGTCTGGAAGGAACCTCCTGAGGAAGAAGATCTTCTGCGCGACGAAAGCATGCAATCCGCAGCTGATTTATTGTCATCGAGGAGAGTGATAGGAACCCGACTAGGAGTCTCCAGTCAGTGAAGAACTAACAGCTGTGTCATTGGGTGCACGAGGAGACACCACACGGCGTAGTTCTTGCACCTCGTCGGTATCTTCTTCTTCTTCGCCGTCGTCGTCTTCTTCCTCCTCATCTTCTTCTTATGCTACTACTACTACTACTTCGACACAGTCTTCCATCGTTTTCAGACACAGGATATTTCTCCAAAAGACCAAGCTTGCATGGTACTCAGTGCACCATCTCTTCAGTCTGAAACTTCATGAGCTTTGCTCTAATTTTGTATTCTTTTCTTGTGTTGTTTCTGTTCCCGGCAAAGATCAAAGGGGTGCATTAAATAGATTTGTATCTATAACTGCTGAGGGAATGATATAAACAGAAGCACCCAGGATGGCAGGTCAAAGGGTTGGCGAAACGGGGCTGTCGGAGTCAGGGCCCTCTTATCAATCCCTTGCTTATGGAATCCATGGCATACCTTCTGCAGCCAATTTCTTGTAATCTTCTTCTTCCTCTTCTCCGTGTTCTATTTTCTTTGTATCTTATTATTTTCCTTCTCTCTTTGCTCTGTATTTCTTCTGGGTTCTGCGAACCCGGGGATTAAACGACTATTTACTGAGATTTCTCGCGTCACCTGCATCCACCGTTTCTTCGATTCAAGTCGTTTTTTTTCTTTAATTTCTCGAAAAACTTTTTCCGTTCTTCAATTTGAAAGTCGTTCTTTTATTCAACCCCATAGTTTCCTCCTTTCCTGTCTCTCCCTCTCTTTCTCTCTCCTTCCTCACTCCCCCGTCTTCCCCATCAAATGCCTTCTGCTCTTGTCTGCCCGTATCTCTTTTACTTTCCAATCGGGTCTTGTGATAGGTAGCTAATTCGTTTTCTTCTCATATGGTGATCAGTGATCAAGAAGGATCTGCATATTTTGGAGAACTAGAAGAGGCTCTTATGCAAGGAGTTCCTGGTCTAAAAACTGATGGCGGCAGAAGACGTAGGCATCTCTCTCTCTCTCTCTCTCTCTCTCTCTCTCTCTCTCTCTCTCTCTCTCTCTCTACACCCCTTTCTCTCTATCGTGTTGCATTTCACCATGAGAACAGGCTAGAAATCATACGAGAGGGGGAGCTTGGACAGCGTGATCGATCCACACTTGGAAATCTTTCCATTTTTGGCAGGACGTGGTTTTACTTTCCCTCCCTCTCCTCCCATCCCTCCGCTAACTCCCCTCTTGCGATCTCCTCAAGGAAAGGGAATAAGTTCTCTTTTGAAACCGACTGTTTGGTCTTTCTCTCGCTTTCGATCGTGTACCAGCTTTCCCCATGATCTTCTGCGTCTGTTGCTTGTCGCAGCCTTTTTCTCAGGCAGCAGGCCTCCCCCCACGCTCGAGATCTTCCCCTCATGGCCAATGAGTCTTCAACAGCCCCCCAAGGTATGGCCTTTGACTTTTTGACCCAGCTTCTTCGCACAGGTGTCAGTAAAACAGTAACAGTTAGGGAGAGAGAGAAAGAGAGCGAGAGGGAGAAGAGAGGAATTAATGGGGAAGAGGGGGTTCATTTCCAGCACTTTAATTGTAATTCAGTACAAGTTCGATGAGGCCAACCAATCCCCCTCTTGATCCTGACAGATCCTCCTTTTTCTTCCTCTGTGCTGATTTTTTAAAAACTGGTAATAGGGGAACTCGCAGTCAGCGGAGAGCACCGATTCGGGGTCTGCTCATCCCGATTCGAGCTCTCCGGCGAGCAGGAGGTCTTCTTCCTCCGGCCAGCCCCCTCAGCAAGAGATGGCCGGCGATGTCTCCAGAATGGCGGCGGCCTCCAGCGATCACCAGCCGAGGCCACAAGAGAAGGTAGGCAAAGACGAGTTTTTTCTCTAAATGGGGGTAGCAGTCGTTCCTGAATCTTCCATAGACGCAAATCCCGAAAAGGATAGAAGTTATAGTCCCCGGCCATCATGACGACAGATCCTCCCAGCTTTCTCTTCAGCTTCCTGGCAACTCTACGAGTCAAGCCCCCCTCTCCCCTCCCCAAATCGAGAACTCACGGTGGTCGTCCTCCTCGATCGGAGGATTGATCGGACACGAACCACTACAGCTACAGCAGATAGTCAACACAAATTCCGAGGACTTGGATTTTCTTCTCTTTATTTTCCCTGTCTTGTCCGGCACCTCTGCCCTCCCCCCTCTCGTGTCTAGCTAGATATGTCGAGTCTCACTGTTACACAGTTCCAACCACCTCCAAATCCCGCTTAGGCATTTGGAGAGAGAGAGAATATTTGTTCCGTTGGTGCCTTAGAAGGGCTCATCCTTGACGACCCAGAAGCGATGGAGGGAACCCGAGAAGCTGGGGGGGTTTGTAACTCTCTTCCTACGTCTTCCCGCCCTAGGCCGAAGAAAACCACGCCCTTTCTAAATACAAGGGTTAGCGTCAACGTCAACGCGCTAAGCTTGCTCCTCAATATATCCATCTGTTTCTGCTCTGGTTTCTAGATATCATCGCGTTTGACTTCGCGACGGAGATCGGGAGGAATCTCCGAGAGAGGGGGGATAACGTGCCCTCGACTACACGATTATCCCCTGGAGATTTGTCCAAAATAAGTTGCCACTCGAGTTTTTAATTCGGTTTTTAGTTACTTGTTCCTTAAGCACCATCAACCTGGAAGAAAAAGAGAAGAGAGAGAGCTTTTGACTTCTTGCTTCCATCCCCTCTTGTTTACTGACCCAGTTGGTATTGTTAATTTTTCAGAGAAAGCTTGCTGACAAAGACGGCAGACCGCTGGACCCGAAGGTCTCCCTCTCCTCTGTCTCTGTCCCCCCCTCTCTCTCCGTCCCTGTCTCTCTCTATCTATCTCTCTCTCTCGCTCTCGGTCTCCCTAGTTCGGGGGGGGGGTCGGATGGCCTGGTGTGGGTGTGCGCACGAGAGAGCGTTTCTTTCTGCTCGTACGTGCGGAAGAAGCTCGCAATCAAGAGAAGAAGGGCCACGCGTGCGTTGTTTCCATGCGCACGTACTCTAGCTGCCCACGTGCGTTGTAAAACGTGGACTCTCGCGTTTACTCTGTGCATGTCTTTGCATGTCTCGCGTGCTTCACCCTCTGAAACGGAAACTTTCTTCTTTTTCTCAGACGCTGAGACGGCTGGCGCAGAACAGAGAAGCAGCCAGGAAGAGCCGCCTGAGGAAGAAGGTAGTCCGTCGTCCTCTCTAGCACGACTTAAATCTCTGTCTCTCTCTCGCTCCGTCGCTCTCTCCCTCTCCCTCTCTTTCGCGGTCTCGTTTAGAAGTTCAACCCCGTTTGGTGGACAGGCCTACGTCCAGCAGTTAGAGTCAAGCAGAATAAAGCTTTCACAGATAGAACAAGACCTCCAGAGGGCCCGCTCACAGGTTCGAACCCTTTCTAGCTAAAACGAGAACCCAAACAGAAGAGGGATACGTGCAATAATAACTTGTGATTGGTGCGTAGGGCCTGTTCCTTGCCGGAGGCGGCGGCGCCGGCAGCAGCATTAGCCCAGGTAACGAAGGGGGGCCCCATCTCTCCTTTTCTTAGGCCATGGCGGCGCCGATGACGTGACCACTGCAGGTGCGGCGATGTTCGAGATGGAGTACGCCCGGTGGCTGGACGACGACCAGAAGCACATGTCGAAGCTCCGAGCGGCTCTCCATGGCCACCTCCCGGACGGCGAACTCCGTGCCGCCGTTGACGACTGCGTCGCCCACTATGATGACATGTTCCAGCTGAAGGGAGCCGCCGCCAAGTCCGACGTCTTCCACCTCATCACCGGCATGTGGACCAGTCCGGCGGAGCGGTGCTTCCTCTGGATGGGAGGCTTCCGGCCGTCGGAGATGATCAAGGTCAGCATTGTGGAGAAAAAGATTTGATCTCTGTGGGTTTCATTGTGTCTAACTGGCTGGTGGATTGGCTTCGCACAGATACTGACCCCACAGCTGGACCCGTTGACGGATCAGCAGGTCATGGGGATTTACAGCCTCCAGCAGTCCTCCCAGCAGGCGGAGGAGGCCCTCTCGCAAGGCCTGGAGCAGCTCCAGCAGTCGCTGGCTGACACCGTGGCCAGCAACTCGCTGAGCGACGGCACCAATGTCGGCAACTACATGGACCAGATGGCCATTGCTCTCGGGAAGCTCTCCAACCTTGAAGGATTCGTTCGCCAGGTATTCCTCCTCTCTCTCTTCTCTCCTCCAGACGCTAACGGGCCGTTATAATCCGGGGGACACATTCTCTCTCTCTCTCTCTCTCTCTCTCTCGAAATGGGCCACTGCCTAACCAGCGCGGCCAGCTCTCTAAATCGACGATCTTATCTCTGATAACCCATATGCTCTACGTTCGGCCGGCGATACACTGAGATGGACGGTGCACCATCCGCCGCCGGGTAAAATGCAGAGGGGAACCAATTGGCGTCGTATAATGCTAGACGACATCCGATAGAAGACTTTGACACCCCTGGCACACCGTGTGGGGAAGAATCCAAGGTGGTCGAAGAGGACGTCTCCGTCGTATATTGCAGGCTTATCTCCGAGGAGCTGTATCCATTGCTTTCCCTGAACAAGTGCTTTTGCCGAGTGGGTGCAGGCGGATAACCTGAGGCAGCAGGCGCTGCACCAGATGAGAAAGATCTTGACGATACGGCAGGCGGCGCGATGCTTCCTGGCGATGGGAGAGTACTACAGCCGGCTACGCGCTCTCAGCTCCCTCTGGACCTCCAGGCCGCGAGAGTAAGCTCCGAATTCACCTCTTGAAAGGGTATAACTCGTAATTCGCAGGGACCCGACAGCTGACAAGAACCCACTGAAATTGGGGAGAGATGATGATGACCATGACGATGGCTTTCGTATAATCTGACAGATTTGAGCTCTCTGAATGACAATCGGCCTGACCCTCTTCCGTATTCCGGCCGAATCCGGGCTCTTTTCACTCACCCTCTCGGCAGCCATCTCTCTCTCTCTCTCTCTCTCTCTCTCTCTCTCTCTCTCTCTCTCTCTCTCTCTCTCTCTCTCCCTCTCTCTCTCTGTCTCTCTGTCTGAGATGAATGCATAAAAAACTGGCCCGAGATCTTCTCCAGGCGCTGTCAATGACAGGGCCGGGGCCTCTGCGCACCCAAGCCGGGTCAAAGAAGAGGGCCTTCTGCGTATTTTATATGATCGCCGACGATCGTATTTTATGTGATCTTAGGTCGAATGCCCTCTCGATTATATTTTCGCCGCGCAAGATCCAATCCTTGACGATGGAATCCATCTATCTACCTCTCTCAACAGGAACGTGATCGCCGACGAGACCTCTCTGGGCCCCGCAGCGATGGCCCTCCGGCTGGCACATCAGCCCCTACAGCATCACTTCTAACGATCGCGATGGACTCCAGTTGGACGAGCAGCCTTCTTCAAGGGGGTGAGAACGACAGGAGAGAGGATCCCTGGGGGGGAGGAGGAGAACCCGCCGGAAGGTCCTCGCAAACCGTGGGGAGGAGAAAGTGATCACTGTGTACATTGAGTGAGCCTTGTTTGGTTCTCCCCCCCTCCCCCTGGCCCCTCATTTCCCATAACTGGATTCCCACTAATTTATTTGACTCTCTCTCTCTCTCTCTCTCTCTCTCTCTCTCTCTCTCTCTCTCTCTCTCTTCGTTACACAGGAGGAGCTGGACGAGGGGAGCTCCAAGGGTGTCAAAACCGAGGCGTAGATATCTTCTGACGCGAAGATGGGGACGAGACCATTGGAATAATCCAAAATAAGTAAAATCAAAATTAAAATCCGGTTGTTATGTAGCTGCGCCTACTGCGCGGTATCAGACCGACAACGAATCTACGCCATTAAAATACAGCAAAAACCTCAACCACTCCATCCACCTTCTCCGATTCCCAACTAGAGAGAATTATGAAAGCTCGTCTCATTCTTGGCCATGAGATCGTGCTGCGCCTTGCAGAGATGTTGCTCACATAAATGAATGAATAGTCAGCCGAGGAAGGGCAAGCAACTCTCGCAGACGGGCATTTCCAATATTTCCAGAATGCAACCCCAAAATAGTAATTTGGTACATGACAGAGAGAGAGAGAGAGAGAGAGAGAGAGAGAGAGAGAGAGAGGAGGGGGTTGGCATGCTAAGGCCTCTCAAATATTTTTTTTCCTTGGAAAAAAAGAAGAATAAAAAAAGAATCGGCTGCCTTAGTTACATACAAGGTTCTAACCTGCTTCGGACAGAAAATTGTTAGCGGTAAAGCCCTAGCTTCCTTATCTAGGCTGATATGCACAAGGGTAGAAGGGAGGGGGGGTCGTTATTTCCTAGAAGTTCATGTTCATGTTCAACTCGGAGAGGTCGTCCATGGGGATCTCCAGGCCCATCATCAGATCATCATCCTGCAGGGCGTCGTCATCGAGGTTCAGCCAGGAGCCGAGATCCTGGCCCTGCCCACCAAGCCCATCTCCCACGTCAAGCCCCTCTATGGAGTCCAAGGGCAAATTGATGAAGTCCATGGTCTCTTCAATGGCTCCCTTGGTGGTTCCACTTTTCAACGACTCACAGGGCTCAGCAGCTGTGGAGACGACGCTGGCCGCTTCTGTGGATGGGCACGGAGGGCTGCTCTCTGAGGTTGAGGGAGGAGGAGGGGCCTTCTGCTTAGGCTTAGCCCTTGCCTTACGTTCACCCCTGCCAGTGCTGGAGGCTGAGCGGCTGGCTTTAGGGAGAGAATTTCTTGCCCCGGTGGACTGGTCTCTGTCTCTCTCGCTCCTCTTCCCCTTGGCACTGCTGCGGAGGGCGGTGCCGAGGCCCGACGCCACCCTAGAGACCACGCCGCCGCTCACAACTTCGTCGAGCAGCGACTCCCTCTTCTTCCCCCTGCTGGTGATGACTTCTTGTTTATCGAGAGCTTCGTCTGGAATGGCGAGCCCATAGAGCAGGTCCCGCTCAGGCTTTTGGCCAACGGGTCCGCTTCTCCCCGCCGTGTCCAGCGAGACACCGGAAGCTGCAAATGGAACCAGAAACTTGAGAGGAGGAAATTGGAAAGGAAGAAACAGAATACATTCATGCTGGCAAAACCTATACTGATGTTGATGAAGAGAGAGAGAGAGAGAGAGAGAGAGAGAGAGAGAGGAATCAAGCAATTGGGTCCGAATACCTGATAGCCGGGAATCTTGATGAGTCTTATGAACCTCTGTATTTCCACTTGACACAGAGACGTGGACACCATCAATCGGCTTCGCGTCGGCGCTGTGTAGAGAGAGAATATCTCTGAACGTGGTTTCACCGAAGCAACTCAGCCCCGTATCTTCGAATTTCCTACATCTCGCCAGGACCCTCTGAGCAAAAGCCAGAGCCACCTGTCTTGAAACCCTCCCCACTCCGCTCTTGTGGCTCGAGCCATGGCCTCCCCGGCCACGCTGCGAAGAAAAAATGACGCCAGAATTCAATCAGACGAAATCAAAACAGTAAATACTCGCAGATTAACAATAAGTATATGGTATCTGTGGATGGGAGGATCAGAAACAACGGCTAATATTAATTACCACATTAAGACTAACGGTCAATATTAAGACTAACAGATGAGAGTGGAGATGGGGGGAGAAAATATATTAATTACCACATTGAAGAAAGGGTTAACGGATGATGATGATGATAAACTAACGGCTAATATTAAAACATAACAAATGAGAGCGGAGATGGGGGGGAGAGAGAAAATGTATTGCTTACAACATATTTCTTGTATGCCAGCTCAACCAGTTTATCCATGGCCATCTGCTCAAGCCTCCTGAGACATCATCAAGAGGGGTTCACTTGTTTGCCCATTTCCCCGACGGAATGAACCTAACACAGATGAAATAAGCAAACAGGAAAATAAAATACTACCTCTCATCGGCCTCTCTCGCAGCATGTATGGCCTTGTCCAACCGCCTCAACAGACGCTTCCTAGTTCTAATCTGAAAATTAATAGTAATAAAAAAAATGAGCTCCCAATCACCCACCCATGCATGAAGTATGAGGGGTATAATCTCCACGAGATAACCTGGTCATAAAGCTTCTTCTTGAGTTCCTGGAGATCTCCATCAAGCTCTTCATCTTCTTCCTCTGCTAGACCAGGCTGAATAGAGAGGAAGCCGAAATCGTAAATTTTGCAGCAAAATTCCGAGCATACACAGACCCAATGTCAACACGCCCAAATAAAGAGAAACAAGCATTAATACGAGAATGGACCTGAAAGGGATTTAGGAATAGTGCAAATGATTCCAGTATGTAAGATATCGGGTAGCTAGAAATAACGTACATCAGGAAATTAATAAAATAAATCTTATCCCTGAGTTCAACCATCATTTATTATTAACTCGGACTCACACGACCTACGAGATGATCCAACAAAACCACGTCTTCCGAATTGGAATGGCCTGTAATGAGCAGATGCTCAGCTCAATGAAGATCAGGATTGGATTGGCCAAATCAACCCGTATAGGAGAAACTAGACTTCTTCAGAGAAGACTGTAAAGAACAAATTTAAAGCAGGCGTATTTATAATTTATGAAGGGTACGTTTATAAACAGTGCTTTAAAAGGGATACAAGCGATAGTTTCTAAATGAGGAGACTCTAACACGTTTTGCCCCCTCCCCGCAAATAATCCCATATAGAGGAGAAGGAAAAACGGCTGTGATTTGCAATGCAACGAGCCATGGCAAAGAACAACGGTGAAGTTTTTTTTCCTCCATTGTTTTCTTCTTTTTGTTGCTTCTACTAAGCACCATCTTCTTAGGAGATGCAAAGGGTTGACTAACAATAACATTAGCCCAAACATGAACCCAATACATTCACGCAGACGATTCCAAACCCTCCCAAAACCCAATTAAAATTCACCTGATTACTCCATTGGGATGGGAATACGATATGCCCCATTAAACTTAATCAAACAACTTCAAACGATAGGGATTAATAATTGTAAATGCAACCTAAATTTATTTGAAAACATAAATTTGGACATATGAAAATAAAGGAAACTAACCTACAAAGTGTGTGGGCCATAATCAAAAATAGATTATGCTAAGAGTTTTTAACATAAATGGTAAAAGAAACTTTAGATCATAAAAATTTAAAAACAAAAATACGTGGGTTGAAGCATATACCACTGTATCCGGAAATAAACCAACATTTCGTAGCTCCACCAAGATCTTATCATCCAGGCACATGTGCTCGTACTGGCAATCATATGGAGAACCAGGAGCATCTGTTCTTACTGCTGCTGTCTTCTCAATGTGATCTTGCCCGTACTCGTAGCACATGACTTGAGGCAAAATGTTGTTCTCATGCAAAAGCTTATTGCTGTAGGAGACAACTTGGGAACCTGGGTTTCTAAAATCCCCGGCGGCACCATATCCAGTGCAAGAATTATTATCCCTGAAGCAACTCTTTCTGGTCAGGAAATCCACATCGGGCTCAAATCCGGCCTCAATCTTTTCTGCCTTCTTAGTTTCGCGACTAATGAGGCTAGCTGTAGAATAATCATTCGCGGAGTCCACAAAAGCACCGTCATGCCAAGGATCACCATAACAAATTTCAGTTTCCTTCTCCACGATGAAGGCTGCGAGAAGCATCTGTGAAAGTGGGAAGATCCTTTCGAGCCATTTTTCTTCTTCTAGCTGCCCCAGCGGATCAGACTGCACCTGTTTTCTTCCAGACACCGGCATCTTCTTTGATGGTAGTAGCTTGTGAAAAAGATCACCCTAAAAAAACCAGAATTAAAAAAATAAAAAGATAGGAAATACTATCAATTGACATGAATAATTGGTACCCTCCTGAAACTATGATATAATACATTGCAGCAGAATGGTGTTGAAGAATTAATAACAAAGGAAGGGAATAAGAAAGCAAAGTGGAGAAGAGCTGACAGTCCAATACCATTAAATTCTGGCCGACATCAACCATGCTACACAAACTAAGGTCCACTTCTTCCACGAAATTCATCTGAAACAACATTTCACAGAAATATTTATAATGACAGAAACCCAAGTTTTTGGTTCTACAAAGAAATAATCCGAACTTATTGGTTTCTGTACATACTTGTTGCCTCAAGAACGCCATATTTTCTTCGCTTACAAAAGAAAAAAATTGATCCATTTTCTTCCAAAACGGACTAGAACAAGATTGATCTGAAAAAAGCAACCACATTTGCTTCAACGTTGGGTCCACAAAGATAGACAGAAAACTTACGGCCGAAGACAGCAAAAAGAGAAATCAAATAGCTAAAATGATATCTTCTGATAGATACTCACAGCTTGCACTACGGGCCGAATTGGCAGCCACCAACAATTCATCACGATCATCATCTGATTCGCCTAAAAAATGAGTGAAGGAATTTCAAAATATGATCACTCGATAAAGAAAAATTGTGCACGGTCATCAATATGGTCGGTTAGTTTGATGGCCTACCTATCGGGTCAGAGGAACAGCTGTTCACAGCTTGACCAGGGCGATTAGAAGCCTTACGATCAGACACCTTTTTCAGAGGAGGCCGGCCCACCTTGCTGCACCAAAAGTCAAATGAAGCAAAAGAATGAGCAAATGAAGAAAAGAAGCTGCTCCATTGGCAAACAAGAAAGAAAGCAGGCATGCAGGAAATAGAAACATTCAGTACCTTATTTCTGAAATAGGCTTCCCAGGGCGTAGTGGCTTTGCAAGATCCACTGTTTCCATTTTTTCTTTCGGTAAGGAGACTCCGGCCCTTAACTGTCCAGGACTCCTTCCACTTCTTCCGTGTCTCCGAACTCCATCGCCATTCTCTTCCCTTGTGGAAAGTTTATTTTTCTTTGAGGGCAGTATCAGAGTCGCTACTTTCTGGACTGCGCTCATTATTCCTTCCTCCATTTCACCAGCATTCACCCCTTTCTCTTTAAACTTGTTGTCAGAAGCAGTTGTTTCCTCACTCTCTGTTGCACCGATTGGGGAAAGAACGCTCTCAAATTTCAGTTTGAATTGGTGAGTACTGCTCGTAGTCCTGGAAAGTACCAATCCACTGGTGTCAGTATTCGTTACTCTTGCTCCCACATCAGCTGGTGAAGACACTTCAGCTACTGCCTGCGCATCATCATGATTTGAGACAGGAGAAACAAGGCTCATTCTCTTGGTACGAGTATTTTTTGGAAGTCGCTGACCACCCCACTGAGAAACAGGAGGTGAAGAAGACTCAGGCAATGCGCGCTTCCGGTTGTTTGTCCCACTTATGTGTGGAGCCTTGTTTAAGCTTGGGGGCTGGTCCCAACTATCAGCAAGTCCAGATGTTCTTGGAAAATTTGGTGATGTGTTCATCACAGAGCTTGAGGCAGACCTTGGTCCTCGAAATGCTTTTCCTTTCACCAAGGGTCTTTGGCTCCCAGTCTGAGTATCTTCACGAATGCTGTATCTTGAAACGAAAAGAGTACCACTCAGAAGAGAGAAAAGACGAGCCCACATGCAAAGGTAATCTTTTGCTAGGAAACAAGAAAAGATAGATAATTCAACAAATACGAGACTAAACTGTCATCAAGTAAACGTGAAAACAAACCGTATAATAGAGATTTTCGATTAAAATGCAAGTAACATACTTATTGCCTCCTTTTGGTAAATTCCATTCCTTATCAATGGCAACCGAGCGTTCCCTCTGATCACTCGAAAGACCCAAGTCCTCCAAATCGTCCCTAGAGGTTGTGCAGCTACCAGAACCGCTCAACTGAAAACTGCCGTCGTTCTTACTGCTAGCAATAATCCCACTGGATGCTCCCGGCCTTGGAAAAATAGATATTAGAGAAGAAATAATAGCAGCATATCCAGAGAATAGGCAAGAAGTAGAATCTAAGAGAAGCAAACACTCTAGAACACACCTGAAGGCAGGACCATTAGAGTGTCTTGGGCGGGATTCATTATTAAGCCTCTGCATAGCCACCTTAAGCTCTCTGTCACCATCCGTCGTTCTTGGTGCTACAGTTCCCAAAGGCCGTTTCTTCCTTGTTTTATTCTCGCACACTTCACCACCGGGGGGAAGTGTCCGGATCTTGTCTACACCAGGCATCACGACCCCATTGCAGGCCCTGAGCATATTCTTATCCTTGTCCACAATAACATTTTTGTCCTTATCTGCCGGTGGGCCTTGCCTCAGTGGGGTCGTAGAACGCCCTTCCGCCTGTAGCAATGAAGAAAAGAAATGTACTGTTATCCTTTTTGCGATAAAAGACCTAAAGAAGGAAATAACTGAAGCAAAGAAATACTTCAAAAGATGGAAATATAGCATGACAAATGTAGACCAAGCAGCTGATGATCAAAGACGGGAAAAGAAAGTACAAACCCTCATTTCCCCCACTGATGAACGCACCCGTTTGCTCGGGACAATACTCTTTGCACGATCATCGTGTCTCTGTGCAACAAGATCTGGAGGGTTTTGATGGATCTGGCTTCCTGTTCTCGGCAGGTTTCCACTGCCCGACTTCTCACTTGATGGAAGATCATTTCTCTGTCTCTTCCTTGAAATAAGTTTGAGATATCTTTCCAATTTCGCCGAGGAATCAAGCAACACTCTCGTCCTCTCCCTGGTCAGAGGGACTATGCATTCAGTCCAATAAATCGATGTGGAGTGAACCATATTTTTCATTAGTCCACAGAAATACAGGCAATGTTCGGATTACGGCAGATACAGATGTAGCCACACACAACAAAGGGAGTTATAGTCCAGCAAAGTATATGAAAATCATATATATTTGACCATTTGGATAAGTGGGATAAAGGAGCAAGTGGAGAAACGAACACAACGGGATAAATTGGATACCTGGCCCTGGCAGCTGTCTCCAACACACTAGCCTTGAAACGCTTCAGTTCCTCAGCTGCTGTTGGAGTGAGGGGCTTACATTGGATGCCTCTGAAAGCGTGCTCCTCAGGAGAAATCCCAACAACCCTCCTCAACTCCCCCGCACGAGTGTACTTTTGATCCCCCAATGATAGCTGCACCGTCGTGAGATAATTGGATGGAGATGGGATCTCAATCGAGGGCATTGGGGCAGGGCTCCTACTGGCCCCAACACCAGAAGGCGGCACCCGGTTATCTATGCTCTCCCGGAAGCTCCCAGACCTTTCAAAGCTGGCACCGGGGTACGACCCACGTTGTCCATTCAGGTAAGCCGATGTGAAGAAGGATACCTCCGGACTGCCTGAAGCCAAGTCGGACCTCGAATTAGCCGCCATTCTGTTTGACATCAACCATGACAGCTAATGCCCACATACAATGGCCAGCCGGTCACTCCTGCGAACGGTTCAAACATGAGAAAGTAGAAACTACTGAGCGTGTTCAAGTCAGAATGTGACTCAAACATGCTTACCATCTAATCAAAAAGCCGTGCAAATTACTTGGAGCAAACACTGGGTGGCGGATCAACTATGATGAGAGCAGTGTATTCCAGGAGCGAGCTGAAAGATTCAAATGGATCCATTAGAAGTCGAAATCAAGTCAGCAACCATCAAAGCAAAGAGAACGAGGAGCTTCAATTCAACCGCCCACCCAGGGAGAAAGGCAGGTCTCCATCCTGTCGCGAAGCTTCGAAAATCGATCGAAAATCCATGAGAATGAGGACAAAAGTAGAGATCGCGAACAGAAAGCGGCGGACAATCAAACGAAAGGGCAGGAAATCACCAGAATTTCAGCGTTCTCCGCTATAAGTAAATTACCGACGATCGAGGGCCCAAAAACGAACAAACCACCAAAAAACCCCAATCGTGCAGAAAATTCGAGAGAGATGAGAACGAGTAAACCATAGAGTCAAAATCGAAACTCACAAAGGGACGAGAGCGAAGAATCAGCCGTCCGGATGAGAATTCCAGGTTCTCCGACTCAAAGCCCTAAATCAGGGTTTGACCGGCGGGTTCTCACCGGCATTCCCCGCGATCAAATCGAACTTCGCCGGATCCGACGCGACTGCCGACACAAAGCCTTCGCTGACAACAAGGCCGAGGAATCGAAGAGTCCCCCCCTCCTCTTCCACCTCCCTCCCCTCCCCGTCCCAACACGAGCAATCTCAGGCGAACTTTTCCGACAAGGGTCGCCGAGCCGCCTCCGGAAACAGAACCAGTCGTAAAAGTGTAAAACGATATCCCGACCATCACTCTGTCGGAGAAAAAGGAAAGAGGAACAGAGATATTAACTCGAGTTGGTAGAAACCAAATAATAATTACGAAAAACTTTCCATTTTCTCCTCCACATTTACCAACTTAGTCTTCAAAGGCAACTATCATTCAGATCAACAATATTTTCCGAAAACCCCCAGAAATATTTACACTCCAACAGCGAACCCCCGAGGGATCAGCCGGGTGATTTAAGAGAGACTCGTCAGACGTGGCCGTTGCATTTGGGGGACCTTCAAACAAAAAACTATCTCACAAGGTATCTCAGTTAGTTAAGACTATGTCGGGTAGAAAGGCAGAATTAGAGCTGCGCCCGACGGCCAACTCCCGGTTAACGGGCGAGAACATCCCGAGCTGGGGCCCCGGCCACGTGTAGAGAGAGATATGGATGATAACCGTCCACCCTTGGCCGGTACGAGAGTCGATGGTTCCGCTTGTAATTGGACGCCCCGCCACCCGGTACATTTCCGCATTTCTGTTGGCGCTAACAGACTGGGAGCGCAGTTCCAGTCAATCCGTTGACTTTAGTCGACTCCATTGACCCCCTGAGATAAAGGAGGCCGTCCGGCCCGTCCAAGCATGACGCCGATATATTATCATCTATCTGAGGCTCTCTCTCTCTCTGTTCTCGTTTGTAGGACGGAAAACTCGCGGGAGACATCGGAGGAAGAGGGGGGATCTTTTCCCTCGTCCGACGTGGCATGGTAGTGGGGCCGATGAGCATGATCGTGGTGGTCCCCCAGGCATCTCGCCCTATAAAAGGGGACGCCTTCCGGATCTACGATCATTGGTGATTACCCCTTTTCCATTTGTTTCAGGCTCTCTCGGAAACATGTGGAAGCTTCAATAGCTTGGGAACGATCGCCGTCCGCGGAGATCTCGAGGGAGGACTCATGAGCGACCGAGCACAGTCCGAGGTCACCCGCGTCCTCCTCGTAACTGTGGACGTCTCGTTTCATAGCCTGGTCTATCTGGCAAATATTGGACATCTGAAGCTGTCCTCTCACTGTCTTTGTTGTTCCTTCGCTGTCTTTCGCTTCGCAGCAAGGTGTCTCACGACTCGTTTGCCTGTGCCGCAACATGCTCAATTGGACTTGTAATGACTGTGGAACGAAACGTTCCTTTTCTGTCGTTGCTTTTTTCTGCCTTAGTTTCTCCCCCTAGGTGGAGATTTGAGATCCATCTCTGTACTTGCCTGTTTTCATTCCTCTTTTCTTTTACACCGCAGTCGGTGTCCGAGAGAGAAATGCATCGTCGCTATCAGTTTCTTTGCTGACTAGCATCTGTCTCTTACCGCGTGACTTTGTCCGACTGCAATTCCGTGTGATCGGATGCTTTAGTTTATATTACTCTCTGCATTTGGAGTGCGGTTATCAATCCTATTTTTACATTACTGTTCAGTGAATCTTGAATGTCTCTTTCATGATTTCGGTGATTTGCATGGAGTCTCCGTTCATAAGGTCCCTATGAATGTGATTCGGACTATAATCTTATTGTGATTTGACTGTGATTATTTTATCGTGCTCCCTTCATATCGTTGCATCTCCTTATTCTCGAAAGAGATTCCTACTTTATTTTCAGTGTCCATATTTTTTAAAAAAATTATTGATTCTTGCGAAAATAAATTCAATCAGTCATATGAGCATTTCAATAGGATCTCTTTTCTGAAAGTTTCTTCAATTTAAGGTAACACTAACTCGAATAAGCGAAACTAAGTTGGAATGTTACGTCATATGAAAAATATGAACTCCTGGTCTATTTTGCTCTAAACACAGAGGCGGACGGTTATATCCCTCCTGTATGTGGTGGGACTCTGTGGACAGTTATTCTGAGTCGTAAATTCAAGTGGGTGCTTGTTCAAGGAAGTTTCAGTATGTTCGGTTATTTAAGAAAATAGTGTTTCTTCATATCACTTCGACTTAGCATCTGAATTTCATTTTCTTGAGAGAGTTATTGCGAAAGACATCCAAATAGCGGCAATAGTGTCCGGGAGAGATATTTGGATCGAGATTTAATAGTTATCATTTTGTTTCAGCTTCAATGTATTTGGCGGGCATTCAGTTCGGATTTTTGGTATGTTTCTGAAATATGTTATTGAGTACAATCGGTCATTTTTCTCGGCGACCTAATTATACTTTCGTCACATTAGAACAGTATTATTTTAGCACTCAATGTATAACAGCATTTGTGTGTGGATTTCGGGTTCATCGTATCATTATTTTGCTTTGTTGTCAGAGGATGTATGATGGCCGCTTTTGTGGCTGATAATTCGTGTCTTCGTCGTATTCTGGAGGAGAGACAATATGGAAGCCAGTTAAGTGTGTTATGATTTTATTTTTCATGCTCTTTTCTAAATTACTCCTCTTATCTACTCTGCTAGTCTGCTTTCTCCATACCAAAGCCACCTTCCCATATTTTAGGCCTTGCTCTAGATCTGCATCGCTACATGAGATTCTCCTTTTTTAACTTTTCAATCGAATCAAGCTCTGGGTAGAAACAAGGAGAACCAACATCTATTAATTGAAACTGCGCTAGACTTGGAAATCAAACCTGCTATTCATCATGCAAAACAATAAGTTGAGAGAAGTTATAAGAAGGAAAATGAACGACAGGTTTTCTCTCTCAAGAATCAAAACTATCGTTAATTTTCCGCTGTTTTGATGACTTCTTCCTGTACTATTATCCTCTCCAGGATCCTTTAGGAAATCATTTTGAAAGGTTGCGAATGGAGTTTATGCCTCCACATAGTTCCCGTCATTGACCCCCGACTTAAGTGCGGTCGAAACTTGGGGCCATGTAGGATTTCTAGTGTTTTACGCGCATTTGATTTCGACGTCCGTGACCTTTTCCATTGATAGCCGGGCACTTCTTCTTGTGGCTAGGCTAGGTAAGTCCGGCGTGAGACGTGTTGAGTGCAATGAAAACCTTCCTTAGTCTTTTGAGGACGTGACGTCATTCGTCCAGATGACGGCGTACACCACTCTCACTTTACGAGATATGATCAGAAGCGTGGGGTAGCGAATGAGTAAGAAGTTCGGACAAGATTTGAGAGTTTGTCTTCATGAAAGTTAGTTTACTGAGCTTCGGATCCAGGTTCCAAAGAGTTTATGCCTCGGTGAGTGCTCGTTCTTTGGGAGAGTCTTGGAAGGGGGAAGGCGATCAGATTAGGTTATCAGGGGGGTTAGCTAGAGACACAGCTTACACAAACTTTTACGACGGAACTGTGAATTAGCCGTCTCTCTGTTTAACCCCGACAATCCAACTGGGAAAAATCAGCGCCACAATTCTCTTTCTAGACCTAGACTGATATCATCAACCATTCCAGACTTCAAACCCGTTTCTGCAGGACGTAGGTCAGGAACTCACCCCACATCTTAAAGGTGGATAGTTCGTGCTTTCTTATCGGAGCCGTCTCCCCGGATGGGTCCGCTCTCATCTGCAAGCTGCGTTGAAAGTCGGCCCTTCATGGCAAGCGTAACGCTCAGGGGTCTTCTCTGGAATTGGCCTGCCTACAAATAACAGATGGAACGACGCCTGACGATGACTGGAGATCATATTCCTCCTATTCTTTTCCAGTGAAGAAAAGTAAAACACGTTGAGCAGGGTGAAAACTTCCCTCCTCCCGTCAGCAGAACATTGTCTGGGTTCCCGGTCGAGAAGGCTCCAGCAGCCCAGCCGCCCGAGAAGACGCGTCACCAACGGCAGCTGCTGCACTTCCTCGGGTCATTGGTTTTCCTCTGAAGATGTATCTGAGACCGCTTCGTTATGGACTCCAAGAGCTGTAGTATGGCATCGAAGCTGGTATTGGACAGCATCTCTGGAACGAGCCGCCGGTCGAAGAAACAGCGCGATGCAACAGCGAAAGGGACGAAAAGAAAAGAAGAAGACGTACCAACATCTGGCGCCTCTGTGCCGAGAGCCGCAGCTGTCAAAGGAAAAGGGAGCTACTCCGGTTAGCAGCGACGAGGCAGAAGGTGCGTGCATTGGCTTACATTTCAACTCGAGCTCTTGACTCATCTACCTCTTCACCTACAAGTCGGGCGTTCTCTTCTTTGAGCTGATTCAGCTCCGCCTCCAGCTCCACGATGTAGGCCTGAGTTTCATGTCGCCACAGAAGGAGTTGATTCATGTCAGATACTACAGCTGGTTTTTTTTCATCCGCGTATTTGATATTTTTCCTACTCCATTTACATTTTTCTTTTCCTGTTTAAGTAGCACCGTCAAGAGATAAAATGGCCGAGTAACGGCTGAACGGCGAGCCCGCGGAGGACTCTTAAGGGAACGTACCTGCTTCCGGGCGCGCGACCGGGCGGCCGAATCGCGGTTCTTGATCAGCCGCTTCTGCCGGCGCTCTATTAAAAGCTCCAGCGTGCTGGCCTGTTTCCGCTTCTTCCCCACCGCGCTGCCGCTAGGGGCACCAGCCGCCCCGTCTCCGCCTCCGCGGCTGCTGGAACCCCCGATTACATTTGTCGTCCACTGGCCGCCCAAATTGCTCCAGCCGACCCCCCAACCTCCACCAAAGCCGTCCGAGGAAATGGGGATGACCGACGATCCAACGCTAAAAAGCGGCGCCGTGTTGCGGTGGGCGCCGACGACGGTAGTGGCATGGAGGAGTTGGTGGTCATGACGGGCCAGACTCGCCGCTGGGGCGGACTCTGGCATCGCTTCCGTCAAGTGGATGCCGGGAATCCCGTCCAGGTGGTGGCTCTCATGCAGACGCTCTGAGAGTTGGGACTGGCCGAGGTTATGCTGAGTGAAAAGAAGGAAGTTGCTCCCTTCCCGCGCTGCTCTTGCCTTGGCCAGGGAATCTTCTAGGGCCATCGACCGAAGTGTCGGCTCGCGGGCGGAGTTGTCAGAACTCAGATCCTGTTGCTGCTGCGAACAATCCTCCCGATGCTGCTCATGTCCCTCGTGGATAGTCGACCACACCTCATCCACCGTCTTCCGACCGAGGGCTGCCGTGACGGGGGCCGAGCTTTTCCCGTGTATGGCTGTTGATGTTGACCGGCCACCAATGGCAGTCACCTTCGGCTCCGCGGCAGGCTGGCCGTCGGCCTTGGGATGATGTTCGTTGAAGTCTGGGTCTCCGTCTCCGGGATCGCTCGCTGTGATGTTCCCTTCTTCACGATTCCATATGTTGGAGAGTAATTCCTCCATGTTAAACGACCCGAAGCTCTTCGGGGTGGAGAAGACGCTCTTCTGGATTTCGTCTGCGGTGCGGGAGAGTGGAGAACGCTGCGGCGTCTCAAATGCAGACTCCTGTCGGTGGTCCTCGTTGCGCTCCTTTGGGTTTGGGCTGACCGCGAAATCTTTCATGGGCTCGCCCATCGAAGCGCCGTTCTCCTCCTTTGAAGCCGCCATCCCAGCACCAATGGACCTCGTCCCTTACACGTCCGAGGTTTCGGGTTCCTGTGAAGAAATGCTTAGAGGCGGCGACCTGGGAGGGGACGGCGAAACAGAAAGCCAACGTTGCGGAGAACGGTGAATCGCTTCTCATGGCCTAATGCGAGCAGAGGAGAGGAGCAGAAACAGGTCACATATCAGAGGAATGTGATGGCCACGCTTTCCGGGCATTTGATTCGGCAACAAGCGTGTTGTGGAAAAGCCAGATGCCGAATCCACCCTCAATATGTCCAGATTTTATGAATATGCCACGACAAGTCGCATCGATCAACTTCGAAGTTGACGTGAGAGCAAAATAACCTTTGAATACGGTTCCAACTTGCTCTAGTTACTCCAAATATTTTATAATTCGGTTGTTCGTGTAACAGTTGGACTCTTTTATTGTGGCCAACCAAACCGTAATAAGGGATTATTTCATCGAGCTCCATAGTCGACTGTAGCCTAGTAGTCTGTATTTCTATTTCCCCGATGAAGATCCTAATGAAATATAATAGAGACTGAAAAAAAATGAACGGCTAGTGTTTTCCTTTTAAGTTACCGACCCAGGATAAAAAAGGACTAATCAATCGTGATCTTAATCTTACTGCATTGAACTGAAGCCTCTCAAATAAATTAATATTTTTACTGAAAATAACATTTATTTTCATGAGACAATAAAAAATTATAACATTTATAACATTTATAACTAGCTGAACCCACCAAACACAAAATAAATAAATCATTATAACATTTATTTTTTCATGAGACAATAAACACAATTATTCATTTCCATTTGTAGGAATGTTTTTTTGTATCTATACCAAATGGGTATAAAAGATTGTCAAACAATAAGAAAATTTGATGATCTATGAAGACATCATAAAATCATGCAATACGATTGTGTTGTGTTAGAGTAGAACAACATAATGATTAATACTATGATTATATATAGTGAGATATTGGATGTTAAAATATTTACAAAATAAATGAGATATAGATTATTCGAGATTAATTGGATTTCTACGATACAAAAATAATTAAAGAAAAAAAATTAAATGACACAAATATAAATATATAGATTTTGAAAACGTATAGTTTTATGTTATCACTTGGAAAAAACATTGAATATGAATTGAGAATAAAATACACTTGCTAGAAATATGTGACATGTGTGATACGTTCTAAATCATCAGTTAATGCAATTTAAGGTAATGGTTTTATCTTAATATCTAACTTTCAAATGATTTCCAAAGATTTATGAAATCACGGAATGAAAAACGCAGATGGAAGCCAAAACAATGGACAACGATTCATCACTTTATTTTAGAACAACGATAGCTTCAGACTGAATCAGTTCATTTTGTGGGTTGGGGGAGAAGAGAGAGTGAGAGTGTGTGTGTGTGTGTGTGTGTGTGTGTGTGTGAGAGAGAGAGAGAGAGAGAGAGAGAGAGAGAGAGAGAGAGAGAGAGAGCGAGCTCCACTTCAAGTAGGAGGAATCCGATGAGTCAAAACTAAAATTGTCTTTAAGTCGGTCTACAGACACGATGCCAAAGAATACACTGAATATCGTCGAATACTAAGGGGAGCTGCCAGAATATCTGTGGAAGAAATCGACTGGCATTTTTCACTGGTAAGAAACAATGTTTTGAGAACTCACCAAGACTTGCACCGTGACGCCTTCTTCGTTTCTTTCGAGCTAGCTCGAAATGCCGAGGCCGAACCCCTAATCAAGCTCCAAGATCGAGATTCCAACCTCAAAAGCGCCTTCGCGCCTCCTCCATCCCTCTGCTTCTCCTACTACCAGTGGATCTCCCCACGTGCCACCTCCTTTCGCTCTTCGGCATCTCCCATCATCAACCTGCGGCCAGAATCCCATACGAACAGGTAACAGATCGTCGGAATTCACAAAGAACAGGAGAAGAAGACAGAGAAAGAAAGAGGCAAACCACGGGCGAGAGAGAGAGAGAGAGAGATCAGGTGATGCTCGTCTCGAAGCCACAGCGGTTGCTTACCGGCCTCTGTGCTCTACCTCGCGGTGTCCCGCCTCCAACTCCCCTTTACCGATTGAGTAATGCGGACGCCGTGCTGCTCCCTCCCAAGAACTCTCCAACTGCTCCCCCTCCGGAACGAACCCGAAAATCCGCTCTCGGGCTATTTATTGCCGACGAAGTCGGAGCGACTCCACGTTACGGTAGCTGTCGATTCCCGACGAAATCCGGTACGAGCCACGACCCCGGGGACCACCCTCCTTCCAGAAGCTCCTATCTTGCGTGGGGCCCACCACGCTCAAATCCCGCGCCTAAATCCTATCGAGCCCGATTTGGTTACCGTTAGGGCCCCACCACAAGGGCCCCTGGCCACCTGTCATATAAGGGGTATCACCGGGTCGCCTCAATGGCCGTGCTTTGATGGCATCGCTATCCTTGGTGGTTCCGGTATCGTGCATGGAATCTCTGTGTCAGATTCAATTGGTCAAATCTCTTCGGCCATGCCCTTCAAAAAGTCAACGTGCTTCTACAGTCTATGCAGTATCGGTCAAACTTTAGGTCCCTTGACTAGGGCCGGGGAAGGGGAAGAGGAAGGAAGATAGGACGGAGGGATATACGATCCGATTTTTTGGGCTGGGTCTAGTGTTGAAGCATTAACAACTGGGGTCAGCCCACACAGAAAGTGATCACTCAAGATTCAATTCAGCCCAAGACAGCCTCAGGAATTAACACCGACGGATCGCATCAAATACCGCGTTCCATCGGATCATGTCGTTATATTAGAACCTAACGACTGGTCTGACGATGGTCAGCAAGCCGTCCTCACAGCACCAGCGGAGAACAGTTATATTATGGACTCAACGACTCGCCAAGGAGGGGAGAAAATCATGAAGAACTCTATTCGGAGCTGGAGATTTGCCATCTTGCATCAGCAACCCCAAGACTTCCCAAGTCTTGGTTCTCTTGTTCTCTGTGTTCCCTGTGATCCATGTCGAGTGTTTTCCCTTCTCTCTCGTAGCTTGTTTCAGTCTGTAGCTCTGTCTCAGACACTTCTGTTCATGGACTGATTTTAATAGACAGTCTTATTTTGAGAAATTAATGTGATTATTGGGGGTTTAGTTGGAGGGTCTTCATCAATTGATATCAGAGCTATAACCCTGCTTTTATGGGGCCCAAGCCCAATGATTCAGAGCTTGAATCCATGAAGAAAGTGCTGTAGGCACAAATAGAAATGTTTCAGGCATTGCAGGGAGGCCAGGTAGACATTCGCCAATAACTGGGTTCAGTTTCTTAAATCCTCGATGTGATTCAACGTCAGTCGGGCCTTTCCCACAGTCGAGTAGGCAAGTCAAAGGCCCTGCGGCCCGAGTTTGGGCCGCACCCCGATGATGGCTGAAATTTTCTCTATTTTTAGGGATGGACCCTGAAGGTTAAGTCCATTGCACGGAATCATATTTTTCCGCTTACTAACTAACAAGACCCGAGCAACTGGTGGATGCATGCCTCAGTATGGAAGGGAAGGCCCTCCACTTGCTTTAGCGGGCCGAGACCCACCAAACCTTCCGTAGTTGGGAAGATCTTAAATACCAACTCCTTGAGCGCTACGGCTACAAATATTCTAGTTCACTTTATGAGTATTTCCTCGAAGTGGAACATACTGAGACGGTGGAGGAATACCACAAGCAATTTAAACTCCTATCATGAGTTATCCGACACATTCCGAACGACGACTTAGAAGGCACCTTCCTCAAGGGCCTTCGGCACCGACTTGAAGCTACCATGAGGACATCCCAGCAGGTTGAAACCAAGCTGTGGACCTTAGCTGACGGTGGTCGGTTGTGGGCTGGCCGAGGGCTAGAGAAAGAGTCTTCGACCGGGCCAACGAGGGGAAGTTGTCAATCACTTCGACACGACTAGTGCGGAGTCACATTTCGACCGGTCTCCATCGTATTGGACACCGGAGCCACATTTAACTTTATCAGCATCCAACTGGTCAAAAAGTCAAAGATGTCGCTGACTAAGATGACGAGGTACTGGGTGGTCACATGTACCGACGAAGTTATGTTTGACTCCGAAATATGTCGAGGGCTCGTCATCAACCTTCCAGAGGCAGCGATCTCATATGATTTCCTCCTATTTCTATTAACATATGTCGACGTGATTTTGGGCATGCACTGGATGAAGGGATGCCATAGAATCAAACTGGACTTGGATGATTAGTCCATGTCTTTCCCCGCAAGACCAAAGAAGGTGATCCTCACCGCGGAACTGTCGTAAAGTAGCTCGCAGTTGAAGCTCCGTACACGGGTAAGTCAGCCATGCAAGGAGAAGCTTTCTTTGAGTTATTTCAGCTTGAGCATGCAGGGCAGGAGCCCACTCCTGGTTGCTTGACTACATAACTCCAGTATAAATTTTCGTTAAGTATTCGCAATCCAATAGGACGCCCTTCAGCCCGAGACTACGACGTGGGAGTATGTTGAAGCCTTAACAAACAACATATGCTGCAGGATAGGCGCGCGGGCAGCGAACGTATCCAGCGGCATCCTGGGACAGTCTCAGGAACCGACACTGCTTTTACGAATCATGTCAACTGCCACGTTCCATCGGATCTGGAGACTCACCATCTCACATCGGCGACCCCAAGATATCATGGTCAGCGTTCCCTGTGTTCCCTGTGATCATGGTGAATTGCTTTTCCTTCTTCCTCGTAGCCTGTTTTCAGGGACTCCGTCCCGGACCCCTCTGTTCAGAAATTAGTGTCATTACGTGGCGTGGTTTTGAAGGCCCAAAAGGCCCATAAGCGGAGGTTCTAAAGCTTAGACAGTTCAGCTGGGCGGGGCTTCTGACCCCGTTGACTACCTACCCTAATCATAATGGTTTGTTGTGATACGCTCCGCAGACGGTAATCATAATCAATCCCCACCCCGACCCTCTTTCTCCTACACCCACCCCCTCCAACCTGGTTCTCCGCTCCCTTCCCAGACCTTGCCCTCCTCCCTGGAATGGCTTGAGGCGGCGGCAGCGGGGAGGAGGCGGAGCGCGGAATTCTTTTCTCAATCCAGGAATTCTCTCATGCTCTTCTTCCTCCGGGCCTTGCCCCGCCGGGTATACAGGACCTTTGCCTCGTCGCAGGGGATCGGCTTCTTCTTCCCGGGCGTCGCCTCCTCCTCCGCTCGCCTTGTCGTTCGTCTTCTCCATTGCGACAATCTCGAAACCGTAATCTGCTCGACCTACGACTCCGACCCCAAGGCCTTCACCCGCGGCTTCCCGGCGCCGGACGAGTTGAAGCCTGTGATTGCCGACGCAACTCTCTTTCTAAATGCGCTCGACTCGGTGCGGGAGAAACCTAGGATTGCCCTACGGTTCTTCAGATGGGCAGAGCGGCAGCCGGGATTCGAGCGGACGGAGCTGGCCTTCTGTCTTCTCATGGATATACTCGCCGGGAGGGGACTGATGCGGGCAGCGTATTCGGTGATCGAAAGGGCGGTGAGCGCTCACCTTCACGGGGTCGTGGATCTGCTGGTCAATGGGTACACTGACGTGGACGCCTCCGTGAAGCTGCTCAACCTTATGCTGTGCGTGTACACCAAGTGTTCGATGGTGGAGCTCTCCGTGGAGACCTTCTACAAGATGGCGAGGAATGGATACGCTCCCGATGTAAGGAACTGCAACAAAATTCTGAGGATTCTGAGAGATGGGGCATATGGCGCGAAGGCAAGAGCAGTTTACGAGGCAATGGCGGAGTTTAAGATTACGCCGACCATCGTCACGTTCAATACGATGCTTGATTCCTTCTGCAAGGATGGGAGGTTCCAGGAGGCTCTCAACTTGTTGGAGGAGATGCAGAAGAAAGGCTGCTTGCCGAATGACGTCTCGTACAATGTACTGGTCAATGGCCTTTCCAAAGAAGGTGTGTTGGACAGAGCGAAGGATCTGGTCGTGGAGATGATTAATTCAGGGTTGAAGGTATCTGCCTACACGTATAATCCCTTGATATATGCATACTGCATGAAGGGGAACATGAATCAAGCTCTTCTCTTCGAGCACGAGATGGTTAGACGAGGTGCATTGCCCACTGCTGCAACATACAACATGTTCATCTACTGGCTTTGCAGACATGGACAAGTTAGCCTGGCCAAAGAAAAGTTTTTGGAAATGAGTGAGAAGAATCTGGTGCCTGATATCATTTCCTACAACTCCCTAATTTATGGGTATTCTCGGTCTGGGAATCTATCTGAGGCCCGTCGTTTGTTTGATGAATTGAAGGGCTTAAATTTACTGCCGACAGCAAGAACATACAATACACTTATTGATGGTCTGTGTAGATCAGGATCTCTGGATGACGCACAGATGCTGAAAGAGGAGATGCTTCAGTCGGGCCTCGTACCTGACGTCTTCACATACACAGTTCTCGTCAATGGTTGCTGCAGGGCAGGAAATCTCTCCATGGCAAAATATTTTTTTGATGAGATGGTGAATATGGGCTTGCAGCCGGATTGCTTCGCCTACACTTCTAGGATCTACGTTGAACTGAAGCTCGGCACGAAGGCAGATGTCATCCATCTGTTCGAGGAGATGAAACCCAGAGGAATTTCTCCAAACGTGATAACTTATAATGTGCTCATTGGGGGGCTTTGCAAGGTCGGAAATTTGGAGGAAGTGGACAGATTATTACACGGCATGCGGCAAGATGGGTTGTTCCCAGACTGTGTAACTTATACTTGCATAATCCACGCGCATGCTCAAAAGGGACATCTTGCTGAAGCAACTGGCGTCTTTTACGACATGATCTACCGAGCAAAGCTGTCTCCATCAGTCGTGACCTACACTGTTCTGGTTCATGCATTTGCTAGCATCGGTCGGCTGGCAGCTGCATCCATGTTCTTCTCGCAGATGCTTGATAGAGGTGTATCACCAAATGTCATAACTTGCAATGCTCTTATAAATGGATTGTGCAGAGTACGGAGAATCAAGGAGGCTTATCAGATATATTATGGCATGCAGAAAAGAGGCTTGATTCCCAACAAGTACACCTACACATTACTTATAAATGAGAACTTCAATGTGGGAAACTGGAAAGAGGCTTTAAGGATGTACAGTCAAATGGTTCAGCAGGACATCGAACCAGATTCTTATATGCATGATATTCTCTCCAAGCAGTTTGGCCCAGATTACAGACTTGGCGAAGATCTCTGCGCGGAGAGTGATGTCCCAGGTTGATAGTCTTTCTCCTATAGAACAGTATTTTAGCTACTGTTACAATTTTTCCTGCTGACTTCTAAAAATAATCATTATCCTAAGTAATCATCATTTTTATTTCCAGGGCGAGGTGAGGGAAACTGGGAAGAACAATAAAAGTTGGCTCACCTTGGGTCATGCTATTACTTCTCCTGCTAGATTATGTTCCGCATGCTCCATACAAGTTTCAGCTTTCAGCTGCGCGTAAATCATCAGCTGTAAGTCTTCTTCTGCATCCTTCCTTTTTCCTCTATGACAAACATGATATGTCTCCTGCAATTGAACATGACACACTTGTAGGTGAAGCTGAAAAACTTGGAATCTACGCTACTCAAGGATCAATATGGCAGATTGACCAACTTAAAGCAGGTAACTGTCTACCCATCGATTTTCAGGTTCCTGCCAAAGGAGGAGCCAGTCATTTATCATTATTATCATTATTATCATTATTATCATTATTATCATTATTACCTACTGAAGTTTTGCCGTACCGTACCAGAGTTTGGAGCCTCAAGAACATGCAGAGGAATGTGAAACGAAAGGTGCGCTGTCTCCCATGAGAGAGAAAAAAGGTGGACAGTAGTTATTTCAACTTTTTTCTCTTTCCTTGAAGGAATGGGTTATGTGTCTATGTCAAATTTTTTATTTATAAAAAATACAATTATTGATAATCTTTCTGTGTTTTCATATTCGACTCAAGGGCTTCCTTCTGCTCTCACAGGCAAGTGCAGAGATGGCCACATTGCTTTACTAGAGGGCACTCGTGTGCTGCTGCAGTCACGTGTGAAGTCCGAGGGAGGCGTAATGCTCGGGTGCAGCAATGTGGGTATCATTTATTATTATGGAGATGCTTTAGATTTTTGAGTAACTTTTTGAAAAAATGTTACATTAGCAATAAAATCTTGAGCATAATTATAATATGATTGGCATCAGGAAAGATGATCCGAAGCATTACCAATATATACTCTGGAGGAGAGAGGATTCGATATAGCTGAACAGAGGAAGGCAGGTCTGTGCATCTTATAACGTGCTACCAGGCGCCATTCTTTCCTCTATGGGTATCCTACAGATGCCTACGCTGACTCAATTTCATCAAGAAAATTGCTCTTTTCCATCTTTTGGTTTGACTTTTTTTGGTTTCCTGATTTTGTGCCCGTTGCAGGCGTGGAAGACCAACTGTGGTGGTGACTGGTCAATTGTATACACATCCTGGAGAGTACGAGGGCACTCTGTGGCACCCATTGCTTGTTTCCGCAGAAGGACCCGAAGGCTTAGAAGATGGTCACTACTAATCTCCTCGAAAGCTTCAGGACGAGGCTAGTTCCGTGCCGAGCCGCTTTTGCTGACGTGTAACTGCTGCAGCAGTTTTCTGCCCCAGCTTTCTAGGAAGAAATATTCTTCTCCTTCTGAATCAGGAGAGAGAGAGAGAGAGAGGATAGTCTGGTATATATATTGAGATTCAGCAATGAGGGGGTTTTTATTATTATTTTAATTTTAATGATCAGAAAGGAGAATATCTCGCATTGGGCTGGTTATTCTAGGCCCATCAATGAGCACCGTTTGCTTGCATGTTCAAATCGGTGGCCCAGTGGTAGCACAGTTTGGTTGTAGTGATGGGAGGGCAATCTCGTCAAATGAAGGGTTCACACTGGATGCCGATCCAACGGCCAGGATTCGTCTTTCTGCTAGCTGCCTCGTAATTCAAATTCGCCCTCCCGACCCGTTGTCCCGCTCCAACGAAAACAAATACGAGCGAGCGAGCGAGGGAGAGAGAGAGAGAGAGAGAGAGAGAGAGAGAGAGAGGTGCGGGGGAGAGTAGGCATCCAGTTATCTGCATCATCGGCTGCTCTCTCTCTCTCTCTCATTGATCTTCCACAGTCGCTGCGAGATGTCGTCTCAGCGACACGATAAAGAAAAGGCGGTGAATGTGCAGGTCCTCCTCCGTTGCAGGTAACGACGGAATCGAGATACGGTTACTAACTCCTCTCGTCGCTGGTTACTGTCTTCAGGGATGGAGTTTTAGGGTTCTTGTGGCCATTTTGGTGGAGATCCGTGATTTACCCCTCGTTCATCTGCAGTATTTTTCTGGAAATGCGTCGTATATGACGGATCTGTCTTTTTTCTTCAATTCAAACTGCCGTTTGTTCTTCCAGGCCGTTCAGCGAGGACGAGGTGAGAAACAACGCGCCGCTAGTGGTGACATGCAACGAGTTCCAGAGAGAGGTTGCTGTCACGCAGACAATCGCCGGGAAGCAGATTGATAGAGTATTCACATTTGATAAGGTAAGTGATCTTTTCCGTTCTGGCCCCGTCGGTTTTCTTCTGAAGTTTCCAGAGAAATGATAACTATACTTTGTTTTCCGAACCGTCAGATTTTGTTCTACTACATCTCAGAAACCCTATGAAATTGAATGGTGATTCAATTTATTTCTCCTTTTGAGAAAAGTAGGGAATATAGCAAAGTCGAGTACAATTTCATGTTTCTTATTCAGACGGTACATGTTAGAATATCTCTTGCTCCTTTCATCTGAAATTGCATTGCTGACTGTAGATATTTCTCTGCCCTGGATGGTAAGGTCCAATTTTGATTGTCCATTGTGCTGAGGAGCCCAAATGCGTTATTCGTCGGCATGTCGAGTTTTTGGTCGGCAGGTTTCATTATGTGAAACCTGTTCACCTCATCGCATTATTGATGTGACCATGGGCGTCCCTTAGGCTGACCTATCTAATAGAATGCATAGATCTAAAGGTATATTGCACTAATAACCCCAAAGGAAGTGGTGCACTCGATTGTTTCAAATGAGATACGTTTGTCTTATAGAATAGTAAGCAGTTCAATATGAAATGAAGGCTGAAGTCTGGAAGAGAAATAAAGGTAGCTTCAATTTTAAATCAATATTGAACTCATTAGGTTGTTGCAGCATGAATTGGATAATATGGCTTACAATTTTGTTCCATTTACACGGCATGAATGGAAAATACCTTAATTTTTAGGATTCTTACTTAGTACTTCTTGCTTGAAATGCGCCGGATACTAGAGTTTGTACTGCAATTGTCTGGAAATGGAATCTGGAAAGAACGGATGATATGTTTGCTGTCCTTTCTTATCATTCTCTATTTTTTTCCTCTAAGTTTTGTAATGAATTAGGTCTAGTGAGTATTTGCATTGTGATGCTTGCCTAGTTTTATTCTTGTTTTTGTGGTAAAAAGAAATGTATGTTGTAGACGACCAATTCTGAAACGACATATTTATATTTTTTATATAATATACAAAATATTATTTGATAAATAAAGGTATTTTATACAATTTTTATTTTATTTTGGACATATGAAACATGTAATGTTTTATTTATTTATCATCTTCGAAAAAATGGAGCATGAATTAACGGTGAATGATCTAGTTCATTTTTTTTATTAATGATGATCATATTCATCTGTTTTTTTATATATTACTGATGATCATATTCATCTGTTTTTTTTATATATTAATGATGATTATGTTCATATAAGTTCAAATTTATACACCTTATGATTATGATCTGATTGACGGATAGGCTGAAAATTGAATATGTGGAATCTAAATTTCATCATCTTCACTTTGTGTTCACTACATCAATTATGCAGTCATATGCCTCACTTTGAGTCGAGGATAAATTAACGGCGAATTTTTCTCAAGCAGGTTTTTGGTCCTTCAGCTCAGCAGAAGGATTTGTATGATCAAGCTGTCATTCCAATTGTAAATGAGGTGTTGGAGGGTTTTAACTGCACCATTTTTGCTTATGGACAAACCGGCACTGGAAAAACTTACACAATGGAAGGGGAATGCAAAAGATCAAAGGTAGGATTAGGAATTTTTTATAGGTTTCCTCAGTAATTTAATCTCTTTCTATATTTATCTCATCACATAGAAAGCTTCTAAACATTCGCAATACCCCTGCTGTTAGATTATGGTCTGGAATCATGACTCCATCATTATATATTTTGTCAGAGCGGTCCTAACGGTCAACTGCCTCCTGATGCGGGAGTAATACCCAGAGCAGTCAAACAGATATTTGACACTTTAGAAAGTCAAAATGCTGAATACAGCGTTAAGGTTACATTCCTTGAGCTGTATAATGAAGAAATCACAGATTTGCTGGCCCCTGAAGAGCTTTCAAAACTTGTCTTGGAAGAGAAGCAGAAAAAACCCCTGCCTCTTATGGAAGATGGCAAAGGGGGTGTTCTTGTTCGAGGTCTTGAGGAAGAGATTGTGACAAGTGCTGGGGAGATTTTTAGTCTTCTAGAAAGAGGTTCTGCAAAACGTAGAACTGCAGAGACCCTTTTAAATAAGCAATCCAGGTCATTTTTGAGGATTTTTTTTCTGTTTATCCATAAAAAATGTTTGTACTTATGCGTTTTCTGAATGTTGTTTTCCCTTCTTTTTTTTCTCTTCCAGTCGGTCCCATTCTCTATTTTCAATTACTATCCACATCAAGGAGGCAACTCCAGAAGGTGAAGAGCTTATCAAATGTGGGAAGCTAAATCTTGTTGACCTTGCTGGCTCAGAAAATATATCTCGATCTGGTGCAAGGGAGGTATTATAATTGCTTCAATTTTATTTTATTTTGGTACTGTTGTAATACTCCTGTATATGTTGATATAAATAAATAAATAAACCTTGCGGGTCCACTTTGTTCAGTTAATCAGTTTTGAGTTGGATTGATAACTCTAACACGGTATCAAGATGATTCTACTTGTGCATCATGGATCCCTTTATGTTGTTCACATGATAACACTCCAAAGTTCGGCTTGCACATGGGGATGTGCCAGAGTAATCTCGTTTAGGTTAGTTTAATATTAACTTGTGGATGCAAAAAATTGGTCCACTATACTCGTAGTAAACTGGTCAGATTGATGGCTTACTACCCATAACAGATACTAAAATGAGCATGTGTATTAAAAAGCATGTATTCTTGTGAACAACTGCTGTTAATGCTTTACATCCTTCGAAACGTGACTGTTCTCTCTCGTAATTATTATCTTCATTCCTAGGGCCGTGCGAGAGAGGCTGGTGAAATCAATAAGAGCTTACTTACATTGGGTCGTGTCATTACCGCACTGGTAGAGCATCTTGGGCATATCCCATACAGGTTCTTTCTTTCAACTATATAATTTATTTGCTGTGATTCTTCTCCAAGCATACTGTATGTTATGTTAGTATATCCCATATGTTATGTGCCATACAGGGATAGCAAGCTTACTCGTTTGCTGCGTGATTCACTTGGTGGGAAGACTAAGACATGTATTATTGCAACTGTTTCACCATCTGTTTACTGTCTTGAGGAGACACTCAGTACATTGGACTATGCTCACAGGGCCAAGAATATTAAGAACAGACCTGAGGTTTGCTATTCACATGACACATCTTGCATAATTGTTGGATCATATTGAAATCCCTTCTGCCATATCTTTTTCTGGTGTTCACAATTTTTGAAATTAATTACGAATAGTTATTCAATGGCTATGGCTGCAAAATATTGTGTCTTTGATGTATGTTAATTATTCGCAAGAAAAGTCAAAGCATATCCAATCCCTCAAAATAGCAATTATAAACTGACGGCTGTTAAAATGCCCCTATAAACCGTAAATTCATCCCTATCTGATTAATTATCAGTCTTGCCATTATTTTACCCTTCATGTAAACAAAAAGAAAGGTTTCATCCATCAAGCATTTCTCTCAGTTGAATAAGTGATTGTTCTGCGATTTTTTAGTTTCAGTGTGATGCCCTGGGGAATGCATACTGACGCATGGATAGTAGTTCTTTCCATTAGAGTCTGCACCCAGTTAGAGAAACTGCGCACATGAGAAACTCTGTAGCTTATATTTCCGTTTGAATTACCAACTGTGCTCCTATGTATCTCCTTTGTAGCTGTTGAAACGTGCCAACCAGTTTTTGTCGCCCTGCAAAGCATGCCATTTTTTATGTCAGGAGCACCTTAGGAACAAGTAATTTTTCTTTCTCCTAGCTACATAGGTAGCAAGAATAGTTCATTATTCAAATGTGGGACAACAAGATCCTCACTTTCCTAGAAGAAGCGGCTTCCAGATCTTAGGTGCCCACAGATACTTGATTCCTTAATCATTGGTTATAAATTGTTAAGCAAATGTTGAGTTGTTAGCAATTGTATTCTAATTAGAAAATATGTGCATTCTTTTATGGTGGAATAGTCTGAATGATATGCATGAATATTTCACTCAGTAGAATATCTAAGAGCCCCGTTCATGTCTATAGATAGACGGATACGTGAGCCAAACCATGAATTTCATCTCATGCATTTCCAATGAGTTTTCAATAGTTTTTGATAATATTAACAATTTATCGTAGTAATCTCATATCATAGGTAATGAACTTGGAAAATAACTAATATTTGATGCTTGTATTTCTGCAGTGTATCACATCTCTGAATTTTGTCTCATTATTCCAACACAATTTTATTTAGTGACATTATTGGGTTTTTGGTTTTTGATGCTGCTGTTGTGGCACTGTTTTTGATAGTATGCCGCAATTAGTTTATGTTTTTTATTATCTTCCTTCAGAGTGTGATATGGGTTCCATAGCGATATTCACATGTGTGGCAGTCATCAACTAGGTCACTAGAGTTGGGTTAGACTGGTTGCCATCTCCAGCTTGGTTTTCTGGAGTATCGAGGAAAAGACCCAATACTATAATGTCTTGATAACCCTTCCATTAAGTTCTATCTCGGTTTTGTTTTAAAAAAGGAGAGGTGGGCCCTTTTATTTTTAAAATATGATAAATCTTGGGTCGAAGGCATGCTTGTTGTGGTTCACGTACTCTTTGTGGGGCATGTTGTCTGGTTTTGCCTGTTGTTTTAAACTGTCAATAAGTTTGTGTAAATTCACAATATGATGGAGGATCACGAGTAAACTAACTCGTCTTTGCTTTGGAAAAAACAAATGTAAGCTAGTCCTAAGCTGTTGATTTTGGTACTTCTAGGTGAACCAGAAAATGATGAAATCTACATTGATCAAGGATCTCTATGGGGAGATTGATCGACTTAAAGCAGGCAAATAGGATTCATAAATCCTCCATTTTATATCTCATTTCAACGTGAGTTGTTGCTTACTGAAGTTTTTTTATACCAGAGGTATATGCTGCAAGAGAAAAGGTTGGAGTTTACATACCAAAAGAGCGGTACCAGCAAGAGGAAGCTGAAAGGAAGGTATACTCTGCTCTGAAAAAAACTAATTTGAAAAAAAATGTTTCGGTGTTTTTTTTATTTTTTTTCTTCTCATGTTATCTACTCAATTACTTGGGGTTATATGGCGTTTGAATTTGGTTAATATATAATTATAAAATTTTCAGTCTTCTGTCGTTCACTCAATGTAACTTTTGTTTCTAAAGGGAATGGCAGACCAGATTGAGCAGATGAATGCCATGTTAGAAACCAATCAAAAGGTAATGCGACTTTTTTGTTAGGCATTCTTTATAAAGCACAATATAATTTTCATTGCATTCGTGCTCTTTTCCATAGTAAATTCTAAAATAATGTTATTGAACAGCAAATAAGTGAGCTGCAAGAGAAGTATAATGCTCAGGTACAGCAATGCTCGGACCTCAGCAAAAAGCTAGCTGCAACAGAGGTATTTTTTTTTAACATTATGTTGCTTGATGCTTTTGAATTATTTTAAGCATACATAAGTTATTGAAAAAACTTACATTTGCAGAAAAGTCTTGAGCATACTAGTAAGATGCTTGGCACTACAAAGGAAGAATTGAAGCATACCCAATACGTTCTGAAGGAGAAAGAGTTTATTATAGCTGAGCAGAGGAAGGCTGGTCCGTGTGTTTCCATACCATATATGATCATGATTACTTTTTCTGATCTTTTTCTTAACCTCTTAAACTTTCGTAACAGAAAATGCATTGGCGCATCAGGCATGTGTGTTGCGATCTGATTTGGAGAAGTCAATACATGATAACGCATCACTGCATTCTAGGATTGGTAACCTTCCGCATGTTCAATAACTTATGCACCAAAAACACTTGACAGCATGTGCTGACATTATTTCGTGGATATAAATGTAGTTATCGTTTTCTCATTGGTTTTCAGTTTTTTTCCTCTTGGTTTGAAAATTTTAAATCTTGTTCACATCGCAGATAGAGAAGATCAACTGAGTGCTGCAAACAGGTCAATAGTAAACAACTTCCAAGCGGATCTGGAAGATAAGATAAGGACACTTTGCAGCACTGTTTCTTCTTTCATTGCCCGACAAAAAGAACAGCTTGAAAGTGTAGAAGAGATCTGTAAAGCTTGTATAGAATATCAAGATAAGGTCAGGATCATGCCATGTTGTCCATGTCAATAACTCATATCAATGGTTGAGGTATAGAACTTTGTGTCCTTGTTTATCGTGAGATTTTGTCATGCAGTCGTCAATGGAATTAGCTGAGAAAGTATCAGCTTCAAGGGCGCTGTATATTTCTCACGTTGAAACAATTCAAAATGTTGTCCGGTTGCACAAGGCAAACACAGATGGCAGTTTGGATCAGATGTCTTCATTGATTTCTGGAAACAGTTGCTCCCTTGAAGAAGTCAGTACCTATACAGCTGCAAACCGTTTGTTCCTTATTATTTGCCTCGGGTTTATGGTTCAGCACTTACCAGGAGGTATTTGCTCCATCTTCAATTTTTCATCAGGTACTGACTTCAGGGGAGAAAATGGGCGATCAACTAGTTGGCGATATTCAGGGGATGTTGTCAGCTCATCGAGGAGAGATTACATGCTTTGCTGAGGAGCTTCGAGATGTTAGTTTTCTTTTATTTCATAACCAATTCGCTACACTATGCATCACACTTTTCTTCTGGAGTGTGCTAAGAACCCGTAAAATTTTATATATTTCTTTCTCAGAGATTCCAGAAGGGTATGGAACAGTCCAAGGACATGTCCGACTTCGTTCTTGGGTTTCTCAACAGACTGGGAGATGAAGCACAAACGTTTTATGATCATATGAATTTGATGCATGGTGCACAGGGAAAACACATTACCGATTTCCAGAAGGCATTTGAGGTTACTTTCTATTCTCGGTTTCAAGAAGATGAGTTTTTTTTTTTTCATTATCCTCTTTGGGATTTCTTATTTCTATGAAAAATAAACAGGAACAATCTAGATCTGAAACAGAGAAGCTTTTAGCGGAGGTCACTAGTTTGGTCTCTGGACACATGTCTCGCCAGATGGAGCTGGTTAGTATGATTTATGACGTCATTTTGTTTTGGCATCTGGGATTATGAGGAAAACAAAGTGATCTTCCCTTGCCAGGTATCTGGGAGGCTCAATGGTCTAGAGGTAGCTGCTGTCGAGAACAAAGTAGTTCTGGACGCGCACACCTCGTCACTCAAGGGAATCACAAATGATGCCAAGAGGAAGTGGGAGCAACTTTCTGTCAAGGCAGATAATGATTCTAGAGAAAGTGCTGATTTTTCTGCGGCCAAACATTGCCGCATGGAGGTTATGCTGCAGAAGTGGTAGGTTTTCTCTAAAATCTTCATCTGGCTCTTTCTTTTGCTTCCTCTGTTCCTTGGTATTCTCAACTGCAAGCTCTCTTTACAGGGCATCATGCCTCACCATGGAGACGTCCTTTTCTCCACTAATTTGATCTGCTTCCTTATTTCTTTAGAACAATCGTAGATTTTTCTAGTTAAATATATTTTTCCAAATCTTTTAGCAAACTCTTTTTAAGTTTATAACGTGCATAATTTCTTGGTGTTTTGATGTTAAATTGCTTCTCTAATATGGCCTTGCGTCACAACAATCTCTCTCTCTCTCTCTCTCTCTCTCTTGACCAGTGTTGACGCTGTTGGAGTCGCTTCCGAGCACTGGAAGGATACAAATACATCTGTCAAGGACATAAGCTCTCGACACGTGTCAACAATGGAGAAAATGATCAGGTTGCTTCTGTGTAGAGACCACTTTACAACGCCTTTCCTCGTGGATTTCATCCACCGCATCCCCTTATTGCTCGGGGTTAATCTGTTATCTTATGCGTCTGGATGCAGAGCTACCACCGAGAGTAATGAACAGCATGATCTTGAGATCGCTTCAACACGCCATGTTGCCGAAGAGGAAGTGGCCAACAGCAGCGAAGACATTCTTTCCCATTTCGCATGTAAAATCCTCTTCCCTAACTTGTCGTTCCCTCTTTCATCACATCTTCCCTTTTATGGAACTATCGTCCAAGAACACATGCATGCTTTTATCTTAAGCTGGGTTAGTAGTGACTTGCTATCAATCCTGCTTCAAACAACTGCAGCCGTTTCGGAGCACGGGCGGGAGTCGTCGTCAAGAATCATTGCTGCGGTTGAAATCCACAGAGGGCTCCTCGAGAATCTACACGAGGACCACGCTTCCGGGGCGTCTAAAATCGAGCAGCAATCAGAGAACACCTTCCAGGAGAGATACCAGGCAAGCTAACTAGCTAGATACCTCCTCCTTCCTGGTTCCTTTTAATCCTCCCACGTCTGATAAATAAATTAACCAAAAAAAACCCTCTGGCAGGACTATAAACCCACGGGGGAGACCCCCGTGAAGTCGGAGCCGGACCTGCCGAGCAAGGGGACGATCGAGTCCCTCCGGGCCAGGCCGATGGAGGCCCTCCTGGAGGAGTTCTGGGAGAACCATCCGCGCGAAGCCGCCGGCAAGGACGCCAAGTCAACGGCCATCCCGCGCTGCCCCCTCATTCAGCTCAACTGACGCCATTCCGCCCTGTTTCAGTCCTGAGCACCTCGCAGCATCTTGCTGGGTACGAAGTCTCGTCCATGTCTCCTGTGTTATTTCTCGGATAAGAGCTGTATTATTATCGTTCGCTCCTTTTGGAAGCTTTTGACGAGGGGGGTCCTCTGCCATGGCACGACGCGCCAGAAAATCCAAACCTGCGATCCCACCTCGGAACGCGGAATCCTAGATAGAATGGGAGTGGTAGGTTCCAGCTGGGAGGCACTCTCTGCTGGGCCCGCCGCCTCTGCAGTGGAGACGATGTTGGAGAGAAGAGCGAATTCCCATTTCTGCAGGCCGTACCTGGCTGCGCCACCAGAACGGGAACTTGGTGGTGGCGGCGGCGCGCGTGCTTCTGTGGTTGACCCGGAGGTGGGTTCCTCGTGGACGGTGGTGCCTGGTAATGGAAGCTCTACGGGGGGGGGCGGGGACCTTCCATATCCAGAGCTCTCTCACTATCCTTTCCAACTCGAAGATCTGGGCAGCAGGTGGCAGCCCACTTCATTCAGTGCCCCCATGGAGGTGGGTAGCAAGGTAGGATTGCCCAAAGGGAACCTGCATGGGAGATGAGATCAGATCCATCGAGTGAGTGACAGTGGGCGACAAAAATGGAAATACTCGCCGATTACTTTGTGAAAGCCTGGCGAGGCATGAAGAACAAGGCTTTCCTTCCCCTCTCGATGGGGAGAGGGGAAGAACAATCCCTGCGCATTAACTCGGTCAGCTTATATCTTATATCATTTATTGGGTGCGTATGAATTAATTCGTATCGCAGCTATGGATCCGTTCAAATAACGCCTGCGATATACCCGAACAGTTGCCGCATGCGAGATGTTGACCATACGTAGCAAATAACTTCTGTCGAAGAATTATGGTACGTCTATCCAGTGCACCTGTTAATGACTTCTTATTCTCCTACTCTCCCTCTTTCTCTCTCTACCCACCCGGAGCACTTCTCTCTCTTTCTCTCTCCTTCCGTCTATAAATCGCTCCCCCTCTCCGCTCCTCTCAGTTCAACTCTCCCATCACCCTTTCGTCGCCGGAGAAACGGAAAAGGACGGCATTTGTTCGTGCCAGTGCCGTTCCCCTGGTGAGGTGGGGCAGCCATGGGAGTCTCCGAAGTTCTCGGCGGACGGGTTCCGCTGTTGCTCTTCGTCCTCTTCGCCAGGGCGGGTGACTGGGCGTCGGAGGCCTCCCACAGGGTGTTCCCCGAGTACCAGGACCACCCGGCGGCGCGGGTAGGCGGCCGGCACCGGACCGGCTTCCACTTCCAGCCCCCCATGCACTGGATCAACGGTGAGCCACCCCCGCCGCCGCCTCCTCCTCCTCCTCCTCTTCCGCCGCCTTCCGACGAGAAGACCGGCAACGGAAAGCAATCCGTGCTCACTCTTCGTCATCTTCTTCTTCTCTGGACGCACGGCGTTCTAGTTGCATTTCCTCTTCTAGTTTTGAAAATCCACCCTTTCTGCAAAATTTGTCGCCGTTCCATTCTCTGAACGAGCAGCTTCCGCGTTTTTCCTCGAGTTGTGATCGATATGAAATTCGCTTTCATATCTCCGATCGTGACAGTTAATGTAGATTCCTCTCGTTTGTACGGTTAAACCGCCGCCGCCGAACCAAACATGCAGCAGGGTCTTCAAAGTCAACCATAGCGGCCACCCCCATCGTCATTCATTTCGTACCAATAAATAACATGTAATATTATAGGCGATAAATCGTAAGTTTCTGACTCACATTTGACCAACTGACCCACTTTCTGTGTTCTACTGTTGCTTGCTTCCCCGAACGCTCCCGTTGACATATCCTCCGAACGATGAACAAACAGATCCCAACGGTAAGTCAAAATCTCTGTTGCTCCAAAACGAAAGAAAGAACCGCTTGGTTCTTCTGATCGAGGTCATGACTGAAGAACTACGGTGGCCACTGCGATTTTCTGGCAGGGCCGATGTACTACAAAGGCGTCTACCACCTGTTCTACCAGTACAACCCCAAAGGCGCAGTCTGGGGGAACATCGTCTGGGCCCACTCCGTCTCCACCGACCTGGTCAACTGGACCCCACTGGAGCCCGCCATCTTCCCCTCCGAGCCCTTCGATGTCAACGGGTGCTGGTCGGGCTCCGCCACCATCCTCCCCGGAGACAAGCCGGTCATCCTCTACACCGGCGTTGACTCGCTGAACCGACAGGTGCAAAACATCGCCTTCCCGAAGAACCTCTCCGACCCCTTCCTCCGGGAATGGGTCAAACCGGGCTACAACCCGGTCATCGCCCCCGACGCCGGAGTCAACGCCAGCGCGTTCCGGGACCCGACGACGGCGTGGATGACCGGCGACGGGCACTGGCACGTGGCGGTCGGCAGCAAGAGGGGTCAGCGGGGGACGGTGGTGCTCTACCGGAGCAGGGACTTCATCGATTGGGTCAAGGCCAAGCACCCGCTTCACTCCGCCGCCGGTACCGGGATGTGGGAGTGCCCCGATTTCTACCCGGTGGCGCTGCGGAGGAAGAACGGACTCGATACCTCGGCGAGCGCCGGGTCTGTGAAGCACGTTCTGAAGGTGAGCCTGGATGTGACCAGATACGATTACTACACGGTGGGGAAGTATTACCCGGCGGCGGCGAGGTATGTGCCGGACAGCGGGTCGGTGGACGACCGCACTGGGCTGAGGTACGACTACGGAAACTTTTACGCCTCAAAGACGTTCTTTGACCCGGCCAAGAATAGGAGGATCCTATGGGGATGGTCCAACGAGTCAGACAGCAGGTCCAGTGATGTCGCCAAGGGATGGGCGGGCGTTCAGGTGATAACTTCAACTTTCTTCCCCTTCCTTCCGATGGGCGCCTCCCACTGGCGCCGGGGATCCGTCCGGTGAGTAACAGTGGCACCGCTGCAGACGATTCCGAGGAGCGTCTGGCTCGACGATGGAGGGGAGCAGCTTGTGCAGTGGCCGGTGGAGGAGCTGGAGACGCTCAGGGGCAAGGAAGTGAGAGCCCACAACGTGGTGCTGCGGAAAGGAAGGTACTTCGAAATTAACGGGATCCGCACCTCACAGGTTACTCTCTCTCCCTCTCTCTCTGATCACAGTTTTTCTGTATTTGATGTTGGGTTTTCGGATGGCAGACAGACGTGGAGATGACGTTCGAGGTGAGGGGGCTGGAGAAGGCAGAGCGGCTAGACGCTGGCTGGACGGACGCGGAGTCGCTGTGCCGCTGGAATGGCCCCGACGTACGAGGCGGCGTGGGGCCCTTCGGCCTCTGGGTTCTCGCTTCGGGGGACCTGAGGGAGCGCACTGCCGTCTTCTTCAGGGTGTTCCGGACGCCCCACAAGCACGTCGTTCTCATGTGCCATGATCCCACCAGGTTGGACTGACTCTCTCTCTCTCTCTCTCTTGCTAAACTCCCATCTTTTGCTCATACTCTATCTACTCAGGTCGACGACTGCAGCCGGCGTGTGGAAACCATCGTTCGGAGGACTACTGAACGTGGACATCAAGAAAGATGGGAAGATATCTTTAAGGACCTTGGTAAAAACCCACCGGAAGATCAATTTACTTTCTCCTCTAAGAGCCCTAATATATATATATATATATATATATCCATCTATCTCGCCGCACGCAGATCGACGCCTCTGTTGTTGAGAGCTTCGGCGGAGGAGGGAGAACCTGCATCACGTCCAGGGTCTACCCCGTCCACGCAGTGGGAGACAACGCACACCTCCTCGCCTTCAACAACGGGGAGGCCACGGTGAAGGTCTCTCAGCTGCGGGCTTGGCAGATGGGTTCACCCGCCATGAACTGACCTGCTGCTGGACTGACCCATCACCACGTTCAGGCTCAGGAACTCTAGATGAAACCAAGACGATGATGTTTACCCAATGCGATTCATCATAAGCTTCCTAAATGGATTTGCATCTCAGCTACTACCAGCCATTACGGCCTCCAAATGAATTGGTGGGCAACCAACTAATGGGAACGAACCCTGGTGGGTCAATGGTCAACCATGGAATGGCGGTAAAAGTCTAAAATGGGAAGGCAACTCAAAGGAAAGAAAGACATTTGACCGTTGGTCAAATGGGATGAGAATCTGTCTCCTCTCAAACACAGAAAAAATCTAGAGAGAGAAAGAACGCATTACAATCGTCTCCTCTCAAAATCTACCGTCTCATCCAAGGTGATTCATTCAGTGTCTGGTAATAATAGTAATAGAATAGAGAAAAAAGCAGCAGTAGCAGCAGCAGCAGCAGCAGCAACAGCAGCGTGACGAGAAGTTTACTTGATCTTCTTCTTTGGCCTCAACTGGAAAGCGAAATAGAATTTTTTTTTGGAATCAATGGTTGGGTGAAAAAAGGTTTTGACGAGTGAAAAACGATCAACTTTACGTTTTCCTCTTGGAGATGGGGTGAAATCTACCTGGTTGCAGTGACCACACTTCTTCTTCCTGCAGTTCACAGCCCTCGGGTGAAGCCTAGCATAGCACCTAAAGATAAAAAAATTAGTAATTAACCTTGAAATTGGATCTGATAAAAATACTAATCCAGACGAAAGAAATTCCCGTGTGAAATACGATCAGACCCTTTTGTCTTTTGATAGAAAAAAGACGGGCGCTCAGCTTTAGAAAAGTTGGGTTGTGGCGGATCAGACAACTTGTATGCCTCAAAAATTCAGTTCAATAGATAAATCTATCTTCACGCATCTAATTGAATCATCATTTCCCACCACATATCCCAATTACAAAACCAGAAAAAGAAAAACTAACGGTGGCAAATATAGCGTGGCAGGTCAGACAATTTTTATGCCTCAAAAACTCAATTCACAAGGGATATCCACTTCATACATCTAATTGATTCCTCATTCCAGCCACGTTACACGAATATTCACCACAAGCAGACCCAATATGATACATAGTTCATATCAAAACATTCGAATTCAAAAAGAAAACCAGAGGTGATTTCTTTCCCTCTCTATCGGGAGCAACATCTGCGGGCACCCATGCACATTAGAGCTCCCGAGAAGACAAGATATGATGACATATCTAGCGACCCAGAGGAACTAAATGGTGGTGCGAGTGATGAATGCACCACGGAAGCGATGAAGGAAAAGTTTCAAGAAAGAAGAGACCTCTTTCTGAAACCATGGGTTCAATATAGCATGGTTATGACTCGAAACGCTTCCACAGTTGATGATTTTAAAAACTATCA